CGTTTAAATTATAATAAAATATCTTGGACAAAGAAAGGAATGACTATATTGATAGGATTAAATAATTATAAAAATAGTTAGATGAATTATCAAATGTTAATAATGAATTCAAAAAAAAGGAGTTGGAACAATAAAGATTGCTAAATAAATTATCAGAATATGGGGATGAAAACATGAGATTATTGGAATAAAACACTTTTATCTTGGATAAGACCAATGACACAGAAACATTAAGAGTTAATTATAAGAACTTAGTTAAAAAATATTATTATTTAAAGAGTGAAAATGATGGATTAGTATAATCAATAAATTAGCATATAACTAATAGTGCTATTTTATAAAGATAACTATCAAATGCAATTATTGAGAAAAATGAAGTCATTACAAATCTTCATTATACTTAATAATAATTACTTAACTTGTAATATTCAATAAGTCGTTGAAAAATTATAGTTTAATTATTTTAGATTAATAAGAATAGAAAATGCTATAAATTATATATATATATCTCTTTCAATTCTTGATGATTATAATAATTAAAAATTATTCCAATTAAATTTATGTTAAAATTCATTTACTTTAACCTTTATTAATTCTGTCTTACAAAATTAGCTCTAACATTTAGTTCTTCATTATAAATTACTATAAAAATAAGAATTGTTAGCAAAATGACTCTTTAGTCTAACTGTAAAAAATTGTATCTTATTTTTTACAATTATTTTAGTAAGAATTCCATTCTTTATCACTTCCAACTGAATTGTTATCATAAATTCAAGTACTATTATAAAATGATTAAAATTATTATAATTTTTTTATTTTGTCGTTAATATTTCTTCAATTTATTATAAAATTTGATGACCAAAATTATATATACAATTTTATGTATTTTTTAGTGAATTTTTGCCCAATTCAATATGTTTGTATTTGATTTTACTCAATTTAAGGGATCGTTGTCTGTACACTTACCAATATGATCTAGTATGACAAATTATACCCAATAAATGGTTAAAAAGTCAATATATATTTTGAATATATATTTTTATTCAGCACACCCTCCATCCTCATCTATATCAAACTCGTTATTTCAAAAAGTTATTACGGTAAATTAATGACTCAACTTCGGCGATGATAAAATTACATTAAACTTTCTTAAAAATATAATTTTGAGGACTAATTTTATAAAAACGATATTAATCAAATTTTAGGGCAATGTGAATTCCTATCAATCAATCACACAATTATCTACTTGGTGGATTAATTTAACATTTTATATTAGATATTATTTTAGATATCAGAGCTTTAAGCATAAAATTTACAACATCCCAAAGGAATTATTTCAAGAATTAATGTTTGTGAATTTCAAACTTCTTAATAAGAAAATATCAAAATTCATTAGATGTGGATTTAATATATTTAAAATAATATCAAATAAGTTATTATATGAGGACAGATATTGAATATATAAGTCAAACAGAAAAATCGTACTTGTCAAGGCCTGACGGAGTCCTTGTCTTTTGTTAAGACTTAAGCTTTCTTCTTTATATAATAGGGTTCTTTTCAATGGAATATTATTTGCTTCGTGATACCGGCGGTGATTGTACCAGGCTTTAAGTTATCAAATATGATTCAAATTTATCAGTTGTAGATTTATTTTGATTCTACACTATTTTAGTTTTTGTGACAGAACACCCCATAAATTTTAATTATTATTTTTAATCTTAATTAACAAGTCATAGGAATTTAATTTAAATAAATTCTTTCTACTGATAGTCAACCCTATCTAATGTTTAATTACAATATAGATTAAGACTCATTTCTCAAGTTTTTTCTTTAATTGAAATATTTGTCAAATGATTTTTCAGATATAAAAACATTATCGATTATATGTAAATGTTTAACTTTTGATATATTTGTTGGATTAATCGGTTTATTCCTTAACAAAAATCTATTTTTTAACTGTATATTTATTTCATAATTTAAATTTAATATGTATTACTTTAAAAACTTTGAAAAATCTCAAAGAATGGCCACTCTTGGTATAAATAATTTGAAAGTGTTATTTTTACTCCACAACTATTATCTATTTGTAATTTAAAGTTTAGAATTATGACCCTATCCGTAACTATCATTATAATGAAAAAATAAACATGAATCCAAAAAAATAATCTCCTAGTTGTTCTCATGAGTAAACTTGGCGTCAGGGATACATCAAATATAATTGATTATACTAACACATTTATACAAATAATGCAATTGTTTTAATCTAAAATGTTTTACTGAGTAGAGTAGTAAATCGGAATATATAAAAAATCTAATAACTATATTCTAATTGAAATTTTTTTTTATAAAAATATAATCAAAATAAAAAAAAATAATCTCCAAGGAATGAAAATTAATTAATTTTACTTTAATTGCATGCATGATTAAAACAAGCAATAATTAATTAAAAATCAAAATTTTGTTCTCCCATTGATTAAGGATTTATGATATCCAGCAACACAAATTATAAGTATAAAAATATCACTATAATCAAAAATATTATTCTTCTGAGGAGTGAAAAATAAAATAAATTCTTTATTAAATAATTGAGAATTTAATTTAACTATTATAAATTTGAGTATATTAATCTCTAGCTAGCTGTTTTCTGAATCCCATTTAAAATTTAACTACAATATATCCTTCTTTATTTATCCTAACAAACTACAAAAATATCGTAGACATTATTCAAACCTAAATTAGTGAAAGGAATCAAAAAACTATGTAATGTGTCTTATCTATTTCATAATTGTTATCAATTTAACAATTTACACCTTTAAATTCTCTTCAGAGAATAATTACTAAAAATAACTTTAAATAAATTGAGTCTATTTACACTAAAAGAGAACTTTAAATTAATATTATTGCTGGTTGTTGAAAAAAAGTCATAACCCTTCGGTTTTTATAAATATGTATATATAAAAATACTTTTTATTATTTTTAGATTAAAATTAACCCTTTTATTTTAATCTGAGTTTATGGAACATCAATTTTTTAGGGTGACAGTTACTTAATATGATATCAAAAGATCTTTTTTGTAGGAAGAACAATTATAATAATTTTCGAATAGGATGTAAGCATTTTCAATTCGTAATAATTATATTTTATATTTTATTGGAATTAAAAATGATTAAAATTATAATTACCTTTAAAATTGAATTAGTTTATTCGCAATCTTTTTTTCTTTTTACCCTTTATCTGTTAATTCAGCAATTAAGTGAATTTTATATCAGTTTCATTAAAATAATCAAGATATTGTTTTCAATAATAATATAAAATATATGAATAATCAAAATATTTTTCCATAATTATAATAGTTCACAAGGTTATGACAACTCATGTATTATAGCCAAGCTTGCGTTTAATACCAGTTTTGATAATTGGAGTACTAAGTGTAATAAGAATTATTATATGATTCATTATTTTGAAGGGTTTAAAACTCTTAAACTTATTTAGTTTCCACAATAGGTATTTCCTTTGAATTATTGTAATTCTATTATATTAATTCTTCTTTTTATTATTTTAATCTTCGAGTCCTCCTCTCTTTTTTCCCGACCCGGCCTTCATGTTTATAAAGAGAGAGAATTGCTTTCCCAGTTGAGAATTTAATTCCAAATTATTTAGCTGCTTGTCTTATTGTACAAGCTCCTTAATTTACTTTTTCGATGAAAGCTCTTCGAGTTTCATTTGAAATTTTGGAGTATTTCATAGATTCTATAAATAATTATCTTCAATTAGAAAAATAGCTTTTGGTTTTAAATTATTTGGATTTGGATTTCGGCAAGTAAATTATAGATGAGTTAACAATAATTATATATATATAAAATTATAGAAACAATTAAAATAGCAAGTTAAAATACTTATATGGCGTATCTGGTTATTGACATGTTTTGTTATCCATAATATCTTTTTGTTATTTCATTCTATATTGTAAGGCACTCCATTTTTAGATAATAACTTCCTTCTTATGATTCTATAATTATAGGACATTTAATTTGACCATAAAAAGGGCAGTTATGTGTGATTAAATTATTGCTGTGCATTATATAATTTGTGTTTAAATTAATCGAAGGTTAATATATGTATTATTATTTTTTATTATTATGGAAATATGTCAATCATATAACTTTAAACAAATTTAATTTTCTTTATATTTTTTTAAATAATTAAATTCATTTATATATAAGTAATTCCTGCTATCAAAGTTTATTAAGAAATTCTTCTTGAAATTTTATGGAAACAGCAACATTTGGCCAATTGTATTAAATAATTAATATCTACATTTTTTTTTAAATTAATTATGATTCACTTAATTATTAAATAAACATAACTTAAATTAATGTTAAAAAATACATATCAAAAGATTACTTTATAGCAATCAATCAGATCAAAATTTTAAGGCTTAATTTCATAGTTTAACCAGGCCAAATTGTAATTTTTAATATTTTGAAGTATCAACTTAGCAGGGATGGAATTTAACTCATCCTAATTATATAATAATTTTAGAATTGACTTTACCCCATCATTAAGCAAGTGAGATTGATTTAAACTATTTTTGATGATTAAAAAATACAAAGTAATAAACAAATAATTTAAGCTACTAAAAAGTATTATTATAAATCTAAAATAAAGAGGCAATCAATGAAAAAATAAATATTGTTGTTATTCTATGTTGAAAATTAAAAATATAGAAACTTATAACATATTCTTAATTTTCTTTATTTAAATTCGTAAAACTAATTATCCGTACTACCAAATTGATATGAGTGTTTCAAGGTCTTATATTTTGACTGTGATAAAAATGTGAAAATGTAAATTAAATTCATGAATATATGAAGTATTCAGATGAAATTTTACTAATGTAATAGATTTTCTTAGAATATTTCAAATTCAATAAGTATTAATACAACGAAAGTGATAATGAATAATAGAAAAATGATAAACTATTGTTTTAATGATTAAAGAAAACTTGTAAGCATAATTGATCCTAAACCTTATTAAATAGTTATTCATTCAATCGTACTCATAGTTGATAACCAGGTTTCAGATGATACAACAATGAAAAAACAAATATGCAATGATAATTTGATAAACTATGAAACATAATTTATATTGATAATTGAACATATTTATCAAAAGGCTTTCTCTGATGCTCCTCTTTGATCTATTATTATTCCATGCAATTTATATTAAACAGTTAATTTATTCTCCAAAACGGTCTTTAAATCTTAAATAGCTATCTAATGAGATCTCTTATCATTAGTATTGGTGTATAATCTTGCATTCTATAAATATTTCTATAAATTACACTACTGTTATCAAGAACAGAGATTATGTATACTTCCTTAATGTTATATGCATTGCTCATAGTATCTAGATATTATTTTAAGCTTTGTTCTTAAAGAGAATTATTCTGTAAACCAAACACACCTCCAGGATATGTGAATACATCGAAATCATCGATACCTCGAGTTCTAAAGAATGCAGACACTTAATTCCTTGCTGCTGAACTGCTATCAGTAATTGCAAGCACTTTGATAGACTTATTCTAATATTGAACATTTCCTTAGCCTTAGGTATTTCTATAATAATAAAATATGATGCTTACTATCCACCGCCATATTGTTGAGATACTCCATCAATTCCATAAAATTGCTAGAGATTTTTTTAGAATCTAGGATCCTACTCTAGTCTTTGGAGTTTATTTTATTCAATAGCATTAATTTATTATTATTATTGTGATTGTTTGGTTACTTGTTTTTTTGGTTGTGAAGGGTCATCGGCAGCAAAAAATTTATTAAGATTCTTTTAAAAATTGGGATCACTCACCAATCTAGGATCAGGAGGAGCATCATTAAATTATTGATATCTTTACTGTTATTATTATGAGTGGCTAGTGTATTATTTTTAAGCAGCAGGTTTTTTGACTTAGGAGGGATCATCAGCAGCAAAGAATTTATTTAAGTTTTGTTAAAATTGTTGATCATTTTAGCTTCTTGACTATTATCCTTGATATTGTTGTTGGGGATAAGATTATTGTGGATATGCATTATTTGCCCTAGAATTACTTTGTCTGATGTTATTATTTTATTTATTGAACTAAGAGGGATCATCAGCCGCAAAAAATTTGACAAGATTCTTCTGAAATTAAGGGTCTGATGGTATTGAATTGTTTGTTTTGTTATTAGATTTTTATTAGATTTGATTGGGGTCATCAGCAGCGAAGAATTTCACCAAATTCTTTTGAAATTATGCATCATTAACACTCCCTCCTGCTCCAATCAGACCTGCTGATGTAGCATAGCCACCAGCATTTTATTGTTGGCCTTAGGACGAGTATTTGTATTGAGTAGGGTCTTGTTGATAACTAATTGGATTTCTGACAAGAGGGGCTCCCGTGAGGGGATCTAAATTTTGAATATGAATATACTAATGGAGCTGGCCTATAAGGCAACCTTCTTATCAAAATTAGAATTATTATATTGCTATTAATTGTATGATTAATCAGGTCTCAACATTGCACCTGTTAATGGATCTATATAGGGAATGAATGAAATGTTGATTTACTTATGCTACTAGATTATAAATATAATTATTTTTCTTTAAGATTGATTGAATCCATCGTAGGTTCTTATTAATATCTAGTTTTGGAACTTGGACGGTTATACATTTAATGAATATATATATTAATAATAATTTGAATATAAAACTAACCACAAATCAATAAGTAATGCTTTAAATTTGAATAAGTTAGGAAAAGAGTTTGGCAGCTTTTACATTGGCAAGTATTGTCTCTTCGTCGAAATCGTGATGTCCTTCGATCTTGCCATTTAAAGAGATTTAGTAATCTTCTTCAATCCTTGATAATTTGACTGCCTCTTGGACATCAATCTGATTATTCCAGATCTGAAAAGCCAGAATGCATGACTTTAAGTTTTCTAGTGATTAATTCAAACATACCAACTTTGGAGTCCAGACAAACTAGTTGCCAACTATTCAACTCCTTAAGAATTGTTTCAATTCTAATTTAATCATATTATTTTAAGGGTTCTACATCTAATCCAAAATTGGCCTTTAAATGCATACCAAATTTTTGATTGAATAATTTTAATTGAGGGTCTAATTTTTACATTTATATTTAGTAAAGTTCTGAATGGGATTGCTCCCTAAATAAAACTGTATCTCTCTCCAGATAACTGATAATCGAATGCTCCATGAATTCCCTCATATTCTCATCCGCTTCAATATCCACAGCATTTCTAGCCAACGTCATTAATGGCATAGTGGCAGGGTTAATGAATTCTGCTTATGCACTAAATTCATCAGCAATTCGTTAAGCCAATTATGGTGTTGGGATTGACAATTCATTTTTGGAAGGAGTCTTCACTGTTTTCCCATCCAACTAAATATCTCCATGGATTCAATATACCTTTACTAGCCATTAGCGATATGGATCAGCCTCTCCGAATGCCATTTCAATTTTAACATCCTTGTAAAACCTCTTGATTTGTAAGGTCTGCGAAGTGGATATCTGTTCTGTAAATCTAAATTTAAGTAATAAACCCCTCATCTTAAATTATAAAATTAATAAACAACATCATTTATTTTCTATTCACATAATATTAGAAATTTAATAACATTCAACCAGATCCCATAAATTGCTAAGCAAAAGTCCTCTTGGCAGATGCGAATACTGAAGAAAATGCTCCTCCTTATATACTAGTGCTTTCTTGTTTTTCCAAGTTTATGGCTTCAGTATCTCTCATGGTTGCTCTGGCTATGATCACTGATGGATCTATTGTAATGATTATTCTAATATTAATTATTCTATCTATTTACATACCCCTGATCACAAATCTCATCAATTATTATTATGACTTGATCAAAGTTCTCTAATAAGGTTTTCTTATTGATATGATCCTTTGTTATGTGATTCAATGACTCATAGATTCCATTTATAACTTATGACAATATGATCTCATTTTCCTCAAAGTCACCCAACACAAACAAGTGTACTTCATTAAATGCCTTCATTACAATGTTAAACTAGCAATATTGAAATATCTCAGCTTTAAAATCATAAGCATCAATCATACTTTCACTTCCCTTAGTCAAACGAGCTCCAACTCTCTTTCCCTTCTCCCATACATTATGTTCGAATTATTTTTACACGTCAATATTTGTAAGCACACCCTCTGGCACTCTTAATAAATTCTTTGGAAACAACTATGGGTAGTATTTCGAGTACAGTCTTGTACCATCCTATGATCTTACGAATATTATTCCAAATATTTTAGATAAAGAAGTAGATAATTAACTCATTCAATAATAATATTTATATATATGTTTTAGATCATTATCCAACATACTCAAACATACTAATAAATCCATTGTTCTATCCTACTACCAATTGTTTATTATCATTTGATATATCAATGCATGAAACCAAATCCTTCACCTCAATTGTTTACATAAACACCCATTTATTGTCTTTCAATTATTTCATTATTCTCACTTATGAGCCTTCTCCAATAAGCAGAATGCTTGAATTCAAATTAAAATAAATCACCTCGATAGTCTTCTCACTCTAATACTGACATTATAATTCATATTTTTAACTTTGTTGGTTTTTCTCCCAAATAATAGCGTTACCCTTCTAATCAGCACCAACCAATATATCTTTTGAACTGCTAAATCTCACCTTGGTTATAGATCCTTGATGTAATTCCAATCTCTAATAGATCTACCATTCATTGTTTATTTATTTCCAAATTGATATATGACCATCTGTAAATCCAATTGCAATCTCTTGGGAATCTCGATTAAAACTTACGCTTGTTGTAAATATGCATTCATCTTCAGTGAAAGTCTCATTCAAAGAACTTATCTCAACCCATTCTTAATTCTAATTTTCCAAAGCAACGGCAAAATCATATAAGCATTACACCATTCTTGTTGATGTGTTATTCAATTACAATTCTAGAATTTGATTGCCTTCAGATTCTCTAATTGTTTTTGACACCCATTTATCTTATTCCTAATTATAGCTTAGTTGATCTATTTATCCTTTTTTATGAGCATAAACGAAGCTGCCTAGTGCTTAGCTGAAAGTGCAACATTGTAATTATTAATTCTCCAAAACTACTTCTTTCAGTGCCCATTCTTTATTTTATTACTCAAGTTTAATAAAATGATCATCCTTTCCTATACTAATTATATTAGTATCATCCTTAACAAATTTAACCGATAGAATCTTAGAATTCTAATGTTTTTGGTGGCATACTTCTTGATAATAAACCTTCTTGTTTTTTGAATCTTGTTACATATTTTAATAAAGAAATACAAATCTCGATATCAATTTATATTCTTAAATAAACCAGAATTTATTAGTATTTTCTATAATATAATTAAAGTTTATATTAGCCATCTAAATATATTACCTAAAACTACTAGAAAATAATATTGTTAACAAAATTAGTGGATGTTGCATCTATATATCATTTGATTTCACATAATTATTGAGATATCTATAATTTTTTAACTAAGATAATATTAGATATTAAGAAGATTTAGCTAAGGTGTATGGATAGTTGACTCATCTATATCTCATTTAGTAAGAAAGAAAATGATACTTATTTATGAAAGCAATTTATTTTATTTATATATATTTTTATAACTTAAAATGTAAAGAGCTTAATCTGCAGCACCTAATTTTGGTATTTTGAGTAACTAAACTAGACTTTCCCATGGAAGATATGTTTAAGATAGCAACTAGACAAACATCAGGTTTTGGAATTGAGGGGTATGAAGCTCCAAAAAAGTACGTTGATCCAATTAAATAAATGGAAGATAGAAAATTTTTAACTCAAAAGAAAGGTAGAGTATGATAATGATGATTAAGGTTAAAAAAATAGAAATCATGTCACAAAACGAGGACATTATTTAGAAGATTTGAAAAAATTATATGAGAAGTTACCTGCGCCAAACAAATATGATATTGTTAAACCATGGGTTCCACTAAAATAAGAAGGAAGAGTCAAGAGTGCTCCATAGAAGAGGTAAATATTCTAAATGTATTTTAAATAGATGCACATTTATAGACTAAATATTCAAAGAAGCAAAAGTAAGAGGAGTTCCTGGAGCTGGTAAATATAATGTGATACCTACTCTTGAGGATGTTTTAAAATAAGTTGAAGAAGATAAGAAAAAAAAAATAGCGTAATCGTTCTTAAGTTATTAGATAGACCAGTTGAAAGACCAACTTACTTAAATGAAATTCAACATTTAGCTGTAATCAATCCAGGTCCTGGAAATTATAATCCTCATGTAAGAGTTCTCTTGAATTATAATAGAGAATAGAGAAAAAACTGAAAATGAATGAGACAAAGCCAGCTGATTAAATTGCAAAACACAAAGAATAAGAAAGAAAGAGAGGCAAATCATGTTTGCCAGATATTGGAACTTATAATCCAGAGCCTGTCGAATTTACATCCTTTAACAAGTTGCAACAACTCTCAAAAAAGAAGGACAAATCTGATAAACATGTTAATATTAGTATCCCATAATTTATAGAATTTTGGAAAAGAAGACAGATTTAAGGATCCTAAAAAAACTAAATCGAAGTAACTTCCTGTACCAGGTCCAGGGTAATATCCTATGATTGTATAATGGGCTGGTAAGGAGAAGGATAAAAACAATCCAAAATAGAAGAACTATTTGGATGTCACCACAAGAGGCATTTCTCGTTCAATATATTATTGAATTAAACTTTATTTATTATTATTCAATTTTTCATAATAAATGTAATAAGTGGAATGATGAAGTCTTTTTATAAAGAAGACAATGTCTTAATCAATTGAAAAATATAAGTGGAGATTTTATGAGGTTGACAATTTAAATTGAGTAGTATTACAATGCCTCCGAATTTTTCAATTGTGCACGTGCAGATCTTTAAGAATGCTAATTAATATTTTTAATCTAAATGAATAAACCTTATTAATATAATCTCGAAGAGAAGGAACAGTATTAAAAGAAGAAGCAAGTATATTTAAGATTTTGCCAACTCAAATGTAGGTTTATGTTGCAAAATTAGTTTTCATTGAATGGATTTTGGAAAGTTTAGAATGTAAACAAAATAACTAATTATAAAATAGTGAATTTTCCTAACTATTATTCTTAAACAACCATCCTTTAAGTAGCAGTTTATATTAATAGTTGAATCTAAATATTGTACTCTCTATACTCAAAAATTTATGATTACCAAAAGATGTAATAATTAATTGAATATCAAAATAATTATAGAAGATCTTCATTCGACTTCATTCATCTCATCTTCTTTCAACTATCAAAATCCTTTCATATTTGTAAAGGTTAAATCATATAGCTATATTCTAAATTAAACTTAGGTAACTCGGTTTTGATTACCTATGTTATTAAAGAATATTTAAAAACAATCCTCTATTTTGTTGATTAATCTTTGGTTATAGAACTGTAATTTAATATCACTTCTGTTTTTCTCATTTCAAAGATATATATAGAATATTGACTTTGCTTATCTGATAATAGATCCTTTTAAATCTTTTGTTAGATCAATTGTATTTGCACTATTGCATTCTAATATCCATTCCTACTATAATAACTATTTTTTAAGGATCAAGCTAATATCGAAAAGTCTCAAGTTAGATGTTCATAAATGTAAATAAAATTTGTAAATATTTCTGATAAAAAAATGATTAATAATAATTAATAATACAAATTATAATAGATATATCAAGGATATTAATACTTAAACGAGGTATCATTAAATTAATTGAATTTTAATAAATTTTAACCAAAGAATAATTTAGAATTCAACTTCGTATTACTTTACAATGTTTGATTTAACCAATATCGATATCAAAATAGACTATTTTAATTAGCTTAATTAATCAAGCAATTAAAAAAAATATATATATTATTTATATTAATTATATCTTGTTATTTGTAATATTGTACAAAATTTCATATGCGCAAAAATATATAAGCTTAAAACTTTAATCATTTGAAGTTCAACAAATAAATATTACTAATCAAAAAAGCAAGAATATTTAAAAAGACTAAGTTGACTATTTGACATATCAAAGATCTTAAAATTCTTATTATTAATTAATGATTTTTTTATCTAGTCTATTTATAACATTATATAGCTTTGCATTATATCCCTCTTATAATGTCTATCTAACTTAGGGAGAAACTTATTCCCTACCTTTGAATGAATTATTTAAAGAAATAAGACTTAACTTCACTATTTTGGATTGCCCTAGCAATGTTCAATTATTTAAGACCTTAAATTTATTATCTGAATAGAATAATAGTATTATTAGATAAGTTATTTAGATTAAAAATTTACTTCAATTTCCTCATCATCTCAATACTACTTACTAACTACTTAAGTTAATGTATTAAATTTGTATTTTTGGAATTCAGGCTATTTAAATCTCATAAATAAAATAAAATTACCACAATAAACTTGTTTGAATGCTTTACTAACTAAAGAAGATTCAATAATTGTAGACTGCTACAATTTGAATAATTTAAGTATTTATTTATATCAAAAGAATTCCTGGACAATTGCTTACTCAGAATTAACTCAATAAATACCAAAAAAAACAGACCTTAAATAATTTATAAGTAATTCAATTAACTTTATTCTTTATGCATAATATTATGAAGATAATTAAATCTTAACACAGTTTTACTTTAGTCAAGATTAATTATACAATTTTTCAATTTGGACATAACCATTTATTAACTTTATTGTTACTAATAAATTGCAATCTCAAAATACAATATACTTATGGAATAATCAATTCTTATATATATTAAATGTTACTGAATATGAGTTGTAATCTACAAATATTGTTTATTTCTCTTAAATAATAGATGTTTTATTATTCAATCCATAGAATATGTTTTACTAATGCGATAAGTTATTAATAATTGCTCATGATCAAAGCTTATAATTTCAAGTATGTAATTAGAATACAATGATATAAGAATATTAAAATTAGATCAACCTTAATAATGTGAACTACATCTCTTAAGCTTTCTTAAGTAATTAGTTCTTAATTTTATAATTATTTGATCTAATAGAGATTTACGAGATTATTGATTTTTATTTCAACTTAATTGGAGGACTTCAACTAAATTCTTCATTTTCTTAAGTTTCATTTGATTATAATAGCAATTAATTATTTATATTTAGTGATACTGAGATTACGACTTACTAAGTAGCTTATCCTAAGATAAAATTCGAATCTGATTAGAATTTGTCAAATTATCAATTATTTATACAAGGAAGTCCATATTAGATAAATTAAACTGATGCCTATAAATGCTAAAATTGTATGGTATAGGTAAATGTTAGTGTTCTCTCAATTAATGATAACAACACATATTTAACTCATGAGATTAGCCATTAAATTGTAATTAATTTTTTAAGTCAACATTACCATAAATTCATCTCATAATACTCAGGTTCCCTCTTAGTTGCAAATTTCTCAGTTGATGAATCAAGCCTTGGAAACTTTACGGATACAACATTTCGAAATATAGGCTCGATAAATTAGAAATTCGAAAATTTACAATTTTTAAGTGGAGGTTATGCTGTTGGAATAACAAACCAAACTATTGTTTTAATATCTTTATAAATGTAGCACAATCATTTTAATTAACAAATTATGAATTTTATTGAATGTAATTGGGAAATATAACCACAACAACAATTTATATTAACTTTTCTTGAACCATTTTAATAATTCTATTTGCTATTTTAATAAATTGTACTTCTGCTTGAATCAAACATAATTTAAATTTGTAATTTTTTTGAAGATTGCACAGATTTATAAATTAAAAATGATATAAAACCAGTTGGTATAGCATTGAATTAACAATTATGTTCATCAACTTTATATATTAATAACAATCATAAAAGCATTATTGTTGGCTAAATAACATCATCAAATACTTATATTATATTCAGTTAAATAGATGTTAAAATTCAAGTTTAAGATATGAAAATTGTAAATAATCGGTTGATATTAAATTATTATTGCTAGTAGAATTAATTTATTTGTTTTTAAGTCTGGAATGTTGCAAATTTGAACTCCCCATATTTTGAAAAGAATTTAAGAAGTATTTTGAACTCAAATAATATTTAATTATTTGCTGATAATCTATTTTATTATGTTCAGACTAATAATTAAATCTATGTTTATAATCCAGTTGTGCTTGAACATTCTTCATTATTTTATACATTTAACTATAATGGATCCTATTTTACGACCACCTCTATTTAATCTAAGGCTTTCATTTCATTCAATTCTTAATTTTACTAGCTATTTCCAATCTTAGTGTATTCTTATCAAACTACAATCAATATGTTCCAGAATGATATAACACTTTTGCTTAACACTTTTAATGCTTCAATTTCAAGTTAAATTGGAACTCAAACTTTTATTGATTATATCTCCAATTAAGATATCATCATTTTGAATAATTTTTTGTAGATTCAACCGAAGAATTAAACATATAATGTTTCGCAAAGCCATGTAACATTAACATCAGATAATATAACTTTTAGTGGATAAGTTGGATGGTTTTCAATAAGTTGTGATGGGAAATCGAATTCTCAAGTTATCAATATTTTAAATTTTACCTCTATGCGTAAGAATGTGATTGCTGCATTTAATAAGTAAATTTTAGTTTTAGATTACTACCAGTAAAATTATTTAATATGTTACTTATAAGTTTATAATATAACTTCAAAAGGGACAATAAAAAGGGTATCACTCTAATAAAAATATCCAAAATATTGTTTAAACAGATTTGCCTAAATGAATGCTTAATATATATTTTTAGTTTGCGCTCAGACTTATTAGCAAAGCTATTTAGGATATGACTTAGTTATGATCAATATCACAAACGCATCATTAGGTTAAATGACTACCTTATCTAATTTTACAATAATAGAACTAAGTCCAATACTATAGGATGATACTTTATATATTTGCAATAGATACTAAATTTCAATCTATTATATAAATTAGAATATTTTTTAACGTATCCAAACGTAATGTAATTTGATTAGTTTTCAGCTCTTTGTTTATCAGAATTCTAATTACTCTTTTTATGCCAATATTTATTTATGCAAAGACGATCAGAAATTGTATTATCAATTAGGAAAGCGTTATTTACAAGAATAAATTTAGTTTATTTCGGTTAAGTTTATATCTATTGAAAATTTCTTCTATTTAGATTCTTATATTGTAGGAATTCTTATAGTCTCAGAATAAAAAACCCAATTAGCGATGATGTGTTTTACCAATTAAATTAGCTTTATTATCAGGCTTAACTATACGATTAATGAATCCGATTTTTAGCAATCTACTCTAGCATTCAAAAATTTATTGTTTTATTCTCCTCCTTAAAGGACTAACTATTTATATTAATTTAAATAGGCAATGATTTCTAGTGGTTTGGTGGTTGTGTATTATTAGAGTTATTACCCCCAATACTTGGATTATTATGTTCTTTATAATACTTCTTATTTAAATTTTACTTTAGGAAATTAGGAAAACACATTCTTATTTTCTGCTATGTAATAATATTCTTGTTGTTAAATTTAATGTATCGTAACTTTCAATAGTTCTTATGGATTCATATTTAATTATGATTAAACCATTCTAATTAATAGCTTAAAAATTGAAGTTCATCTTTAAAACAACGCAACTTAATGCAGTTTATAAGCTTTTAATTTAGGATATATGGCTATTTCTAATTACACTTTTTATTTTAACAAATAATTAGATTTCGGATTTGAATATGCTTTAATCGCATTTTTGATAATAGTTTTCATATTAGCACTATTTTTTTTATGGTATAGGACGAAAGATTAGGATTATTAATTTGGGCTACAAGAATTTGAAGAATTAGAGATCGATACATTCTAATAATGATAATTTAATTTATTAAAATTATAATTTTAAATAATCCTTACATCAATCTATTTTTTGTATTAGAATTCAGCAATTTAAAGGGATATAAAGATTAATATTAAAAAAAGTTAAATAAATCTTTATAATTTCTCTTTCAAAGATAATGAATTTAAATTTATGAATGAATGTTCCTTATGCTCATTCTAGAATGGGTGATTTAAAAAAGAATATCCATTTCAAATAAAAGAATTCCTCTCTAAATTTCTTTTTTTATAAAAAATAGTTTAGTTAAAACTTATACATAATAGTATTTAATTTTATTCTATTTATATTATCTTATATAATCTTGTTAAAGCATACATTTTAAAATATATTATCGAATTAATGGCTAGCACGTGTTGGTAAACTAATAAAAATCAGGCTGAATATCAAATATATCAATAGCAAGCTTAAACTAAGGCTTAAGCTCAGATTTAATATTTTGTGTTCTAAGACTTATAATATGTTATCAATTTACTCTATTAACTGAAAGCTGTTGCTTAACATTTTAAGAACTCTGAACATACTATGGTTAAACTGTGTAATAACAAGTTGATGTTATAGTTAAATATATCATACGGAATACATTTTGATTAATTATAACAATTTCAGAAGGATTAAACAAACTTAAACTTTTTAATAGCATAAAGAAATACTGCAAAAGGGATACTTGAGTCCATTATTGGAAAAATGAATCATGATGAGTAGAAATTATTAAAAGAGTAATTAGAATTTATTGAAGATTACAAAACTAATTGTTTAGGATCGCAATGTAATTTGAAGCAGTATTCATTAAAAAACACAAATTTGACTCCCTAATTCAATGAGTAAGTATTGCAATAATTAATTCATTCAATCTAATAAGTTGATAATTAAGTAACTCACATAAAAGAAAATACTAATTCTAGCTTTTCATTGGAATAAATTGAAAGAACAGCATAGTACATTATTTTTTTATCATTTTAGATAGTATGAAAGAAAAACATAAGATTAATTGAATCTCAATTTTCCAAATGTGAATAGTTCTTCTTACAATATGCATGATAATCAATTTCCTTAAGGAGATAAACAAAATATAAGAAATTGCAACAATACTTTTAATTTTAATTAAACTACTTAATAGAATTAATTAAATAATTAAAAACCTTATTCTCCTTATCCTGATTTAATAAATTCTAATGGTATCACTGATTTTTAGAACTAATCATTAGAATATGTCTTATGCTATTTTGAATAATCTAACTTGAACAAAAATACAATATTATAATAAATCTATAATCATTACGAAAGCTGTAGAAATCACGTATTTAATCAACTATAAAAATATATTAATTACAATTTATTATTGGATTATTAAGAATAAGGACACTTAAGAGAATAGTTCAAATTTTTTTAGATCTTTAAGATTTATAATGATTATTTGCAATAAACAAACTAGAATTAGACCAAACAATTAGCATAGTTCTTGGAATCTTACTCATATAAATATTAGCATTATAACGAATTCATTAATTATTACAACCAGTCACAAAATATAATAAATTCAAAGAACAAATATACATATCATAATAATAATCAAACCATTGTGGATTTTTAATATTGTCATGATCTCTATTAAAAGTTTTTACTTGTATTTTAGTATCAAAAAAGATGATTTATACATATCTATATCAAATATTATATAAAAATTCAAAAAGTTATTTATTATATACCTGAGGTATTTTGAGTTATTTTAAATAAATTAATAATTATTCTGTTTGAATTTGAGGAACTTAATTAATTTGGGTTTTAATATTTGATAGGCATATGGATTTTTGAACTCTAAAATTAATTATTTGATTCAAATGAAATCCAGAATAATCAATACAAAATGTTAATGATAAGGTTTATTCGAAATATTATATAAGAATGAAAAAGTTCCGAATTTAACTAAAAAGATCAGTATTTTTTCAGATCAAATATTTCAAGACCCATAAACAGTTGAGAATCGATCTAAATTAATAAGATGATAAGTTTATCATCCATCTCAATCAATCTCCATCTTAGTCTGAGATTCATCCAAACTCTGAATACATATCCTTTTCTTTATTTAAGAAAGATTAATTTTTGTTTAATGTAAATAATAAAATCCATCTAATAAATAAATACATCTCTCATAATATAACCCAATAATTTTTAGGTAGATATTATAATTTAATGATGTAGAAGTTTTTACTTTACTGTATATATTTGATGGGGTATTAACTTCTAAGTTAATATCAATGGATTTGAAACCATATCAAAATAAATAAATTATTCTTGAAGTTATAAAACTTCTATATTAGGTTTGATAGATTAAAAGAAAATATTTCTATTAATATAATATAGGGAGGTCATCCAAACACTGTCTCCTCTTTGAATATTATATATTTTATATGCACAAGTTGAACTATTTTCAAGTTTAAATTAATAAATCTACTCAAAATATACTGTTTAATTTTTGGCTATTATTAGAAGAGAGAAATACAATCAACAATTTTGAATAGTAATTCGTAATAGCTTAGAAATATATTAGATTTTAAATGGTAATAAATTATTTACATAAATAATCTTATTCATCTATCATTATTAACTTGCATCTTATGTATTACAACTAGAGGTTAATTCTGACGAACTTTTCTATATTCAAGGTAGTTTTAATAATAATCAAAATCCTCCTTTTTGACTTTTTCATCTTATGCTTCTTTAAATTAATATAATGCAAATTAGCCTTCATATTCGCCTTCTAATACTTAAATTAGTGAATTTGAGTTATTCCTGTTGACATTATGGATCAAAACTACAAATTCAACATTTGAGGATAAATATAAAGTTTCTAGTGAGATAAACTTTTTAAATGTCATTATTTACTTAGCTTGTCTCATTTCCTGGATTTTAAGTTCTTGAAATTTCAGTTTCTATGTATTGATTATTATTATTTATAGTATCATTGATGCTCTCTATTACTAATTCTTACAATTCTTTTTTAAATATAGCTTTCTTTTATTCATCTTTGATAAACTAATTCATTAAAATTGTTGATACTTATAATTAAGTTTAGTCTTTAATGGCCGAACTCTCATTGAATGTGGAATTATAGTTTGTTCTGTCGATATTAATATTTTCGAGGATAGACTCAGTCTAATTGTGATTTGAAAATTCTTCCTTCTTGATATCTTCATAAAATTATTATTATACTTTGATTATTATTTGTGTTGATGATAATTTTAATTTTTTTACAAGGAATTTTAAAATTCTTCAAATTCTAATATTATTCTTGGTTATTGTTAAGAGATTGTATGGTTTCATTCTAAATTTCACATAGTTTTTAAAAATTTAAAGTAAATTATTATACTTATTCAATTTAGTATATATTTTTATGGGTATCGATAATTTAATCTTTTGTCAAGCATTTATTTAATCGAATTTAAAATAATTCTTCCAAACGATTAAAATATTAATTCTTTTAAGGGTTTAACAGATAAAAAATGATTTAATAGAGAGTCCAAAATTCAATTGTTTATAAAATTCTTTTCCCACAAAATGTTGTTTGATAAGGAATTTACATTGGAAATTCAATGTGCTTAAGCAATGGACTAGTGATATCAAAAACATAATCCATTAATCCATCAATTGTCGATTATGATTAATGCTGTGTTAACAAGCATATTTTCTTTTTAAGATATTCAACAATATTATCAAATTCATCTCTGAAACTTAATTGTCTTTTTTCATAGGATAACATTCCTCTTTAATGGACGTTCCTGGGGGCAGTCTTCTAATCTGATTTAGAATACATAATATTATTTTATAAATTCTTATAAATTATTTAATATCAATTATACTCATTTCGATTAGATTATTGATTTACTAAGATGACTTTGATGAATATCATAGCTTGGTTGAGTTTATATAATAGATTTTTGAAGTGTATCTAATATTGATGGTTTTGCTTGGTTTGTTTAAAGCACTTATTGCTATTATTGGAATTAGTTTAACAGCATTTGATATTTCTAATTCAATTCATTATATGATTATTATTTTTCATGAAGTTGCTACTCTAAACTTTTTATTTATCTTCTTTATTATTCTATGGTTAATCTTAATTCATCACTATTTTATGAAACGTCCTCATCCTGTATTATTATTCCAGAATTTGTTTAGAGTTTTAATTTAGTAATTAGTTTTGATTTATCTAAATCCAATTATACGATTGTTTCATACTAATTGCAAATTATTTTCACTAGTTCTTCAGTGTATTGATTGCTGTTCTTAAAATCTACTTCTAACTTTTTTTTCAAATTGTTAATTTACTCTTAGAAATTAGGAGCACTAAATTCCCTCTTGTTGAACGAGGCAAAATTTTAGCATTTATTCCTTAACAAATATTATTACTTGATACCTCTCATATTCCAAATCATCATTAAGCACCTCATTCTTATAAATAAGATCGTCACACATATTCCTTAATTCATTAACTGTGGTTTAAAGTTACAATATCTTATCCTCATAATTTATGTTCTATTCATTATTCCCCAGAGCAACTTGCCTTGATTCCAAAAGAGTTTTTATTTGAAATTTCAAATTCATGTTTTCCAACTTCAAAGTATTAATTTCTCCTTGCAAGGTTATTTTATCCATAATAAGAAATATCAAATAAATAAATATATAAAAATAAATTTTGTATTTTTAATTACACCTCACTTTGAATCCATATCTATTTCTTGAGAATTTATTTAAATTCTATTTCTCTAATATGATGTTCAAATAGTATTATTCTGGTTTCATTAATTAAAACAGGATTGCTTCTCTTTTCTGAAAAATAACATATATTTACAAATAATTGATCAATAGAATGCCTAAAGAATTTAATAATTTTACTGAATATTAAGTTCATTTTTGTTCTGAAGTAGCTTATTAACATATTAATTGATTTCTTTGAATCTAATATCAATTCAGAAAGTCTGTAAATAATTAAAAAGGAAGGAATTTATTAAATTAAGAATTCATTAGATAAAATGATAAATAATATTTTCAAGATTATGTGCGTATATCTCTTTTTGTATAATATTTAAGTCTAGATATATAATATCTTATTAAAGTACTGCAATAAAACTAACAATACGCCTTGATTTTGAACAATTTAGATATATAAAGCATTTTAAAATAAACTTTATAAAACATAACTCTTTATTTCATTTTTTAATGAATTAAGTAATCAAATCAAAATTAATTTTTCTTATTAACCATTTTTTCTTTAAAAGATTATTAATTCAAGAATATTCTGTATATTTAATTTTATTTCTCCAAATTTGTTAGTTCTATATTTTGAGGGGATTATCCTAATGATTTCTTTTTTTAAGAGATGTCATACAAATCAATTGATTTGTTATTTGAATGTCTAGTTACTTCGGTAGTCAACATATTGTTTTTTCTTTTATTATGATTTGCACTTAAATTATTGCTCTCTAGAGAAATTTGAGGAGTTTGAACAAATAATTCTTTTAATTTAATTATCTAATTTTATATTTTCGCTTTAACATTTTATCCATGTTTTGCATACTCTTATAAATAGTAATCATCTTCTTTATCACCTAAGTCTTATTCTAAAATGAACTATTTTGGATCAAACTGCTATTATAAATCATCTAGATCATCCCAATTAATATAGCTTGCATCCTTTTAAACAGTCTCATTTTTTTTTTATTTCATTCTGCATCTTTCAGTCAGATTTACCCTTGGAAAATGAATTTCTACAGTATGTCTTTCTTTTTTGACACTTTCAAATCTTGCATTTGGTTTTGGAAGCAAGAAAATTTTTCTTTCATAAAGTTTTTCTTGTGTTAGAATTTCACTATGTTCTTTAGAGTTAAATGGTTTACCAATTAATTACATTTTCCTTCTATATTATTTTGGATCTATTAAGCCCAAATAGTTATAGAATAAATCATTCTGTTCTGGAAAGGTTATTTAAGCAAGCTTGATAATAACCATTTAAAAATTTTCATATTTCAATTCCATTTAAGGATTTGCATTCTTTTTATATATTTCAACTAAATTAAATTTAGTAACTATAAAGTTTTACTTATGATTGAATTTAAACTGATTTTTATGCTTATTTATAATTATATCCAATTTACCACCTAACTTAAGGATTAAATCATTAGTAATTTCTAAATCTATTATTTCAAAATCTTTGCAAAAAAACATAAACTTTTGTAAAATCATAATGTTAGACAATTATAACAGTTTTTCAAAGGTATTATATTTATTTGCTGTGATTGATTATTTTGAATAAAATTAAAAAATCTCTTTCAAATTTCCAATCATTTGCTTATCAAGTGGTTTTGGTTTAACAACTTCTTCTTGAATAGCTTATTATTCTACTATCTAAACAGTTTGTTATATATTTTGATTTTAGTTTTTATTGCCAATTTATAACATAACCTACTTATGTTTATCTATCTAATGGTGGGTAGTGTTGTCAGTATTCATGACAATTAATTGAGGTGATAATTTCTCTTGATTTGCTGTTTAAATTTCGAATAAATCTTATTAAGAAAAGGGTTATTTATGATTCACCTTATTTAATATTTGTTTTCCATCAAACTTTATATCATTCTCTTTGACATCAGCTTATGATAAATCACCTGAGCTAATCAAAATATTAGTAACATTTTCTTAATCTTACTAAATCGCCATATTATGATTCTGAATATCAAATATATTTGCTTTGCTGCTTTGCCAGCTTTAAGTATTTTTAGAGTTTAATGATATTTGATTGGATTGCAAAGATGACTATTTTGGATTATTTTACTTTTATGGTTAAGTAAGGTGATTTATTATCATTGATTGCTCAATAATGTTTGTCATTAATAATATTTTTTGTTCATTAAATCAATTTATTCAATGCTTTCATAATGAATGCTAGGATGAATAATATATATAATAATTTATAAAGTTAAAGAATTATATGGGGTGCTTAATGACAAAAGTGTTTTAAGATCTAAAATGCAATTACAACATTATTAAGACCTAAAGGAAGCAAAAAATATACCAGTATATTTTATAGATGTATAGGCATGAATTTTTTAATAATTTCTCATAAGAGTATCAAGTGATAGTCCAATTAATAAACAGATTTATAAAAAATCTCATTTTAATCAAAAAAATAAATAATATGAAATAAAATGTAGGGAAACTGAATCCAACATCATAATTACATGAGAAAAAGGTAATCATTTGATTTCAGTAAGGTAACCTTTATTTTTTAACAAGTGAATGAATCAAACTTAAGATAATGTTAATAAAAATTAAATAACTAAATGAATACAAAAGTTCATGTTTTTCGCATAGTATTAGTCTTTTTCAGAATCTCCTAACTATTTTCATATTACTTATCAATCAATTCTAAATCTAAGCATTTTTTGCTTTAGTTTCTTTTGCTATTTTGGTCGCTAAAACTTTTAGCTCTCTAAATGTTATATAGATAAATTTAAATACTGAACTAAGATACTCATATTTTATTTGGTTTTATTTATTATTGGAATTGTTGATATATTGTATATTTTAAGGGATGTTATTCTAATACAAGGACTTAGAACCTGATCTTGTATTATCAGCAAAATAATTTTAGGGTTTTGTATTATTATTTGGTGTTTTGGAAATAGATTACTGCAACGGAATTTGAAACTCGAATCCTGCAAAGGAGTTTTTATTTTAACAAGATTAGGCTATATTTTGGGATCCTCCAATATTAAGGAGAACCTCTAAGTAAAAGATTGATTTTATACATACATTTAGTTGCTTATTAACTGTTCAAAAATGCAGAGGGTTCTTCAACAACAGTTGATAATCTTTATTCTTTAATTTTAATTTTTTTCATTTCAAGTTATTTAGAGTTTTTCATATTTTCTTTAGATCCTTATAGTTGTAATTGTTTAGAGGAAAGAGTGCATGGCTATGTAAATTGTTTTCTTTCAGTGTTATTTTTGGTGCTTTAAGGGAGCGAAATACCTTCCATATTTAGAGTAGCTTTTACACCTTATTGCCCCATTTTGTTGAAATTCTTAAAGACTTCTGTTGATGGTTCTGTTACCTAATTTTCAGGTTCGAAGTATTATTGCATTTCTCGGTTGATACTCTCATAAGCACTATCAAATGGTGTACCTTAATAATTAACTATGGACATCTAAAATATGAATAAATTAACCTTTTTGGGATTATTTAATTCATTTTGAAGGTTGTCGTTGTTGTAAATCTCTGTATCTTCGAACTTTCTGAGAAAGAAATCATCTGGCTCAGTTTTATGTACCATCTTTCGAATAGGAGAGATTGGCATTTGTTATGGTTTCTTGTTGGGTTTAGAGAAGTATTACAATATCTGTTATATGAGAATAGTCTAAGTATTATTAATAGGATGATACATTCTGATTTTGTTGTTTAGAATTCTATACTTGTAATTCCATGATTTAGGTAAACACTTTAGTCCAACTTTTAAGAGTCTTTTTAATTGACTTGATATCATTGGCTAATTGATCTCTAACTAAGACGCCTTGTTCATCCATCATAGTTGTTATAATTAAATATATAAATATCGTTAATGAAGAATTATGCATCACCCCAACTATAATAAAGTGGTAGAGGGAGTATTTAAGACAATCCTTATTATATGGAGTTAAAATCGAAAAAAAGTAATTCCAAAATAGCCAACACTGAAAGAACAAGCGGTAAAAACACTAAACAGGACTTGTTGGAATACTTCAAAAAAGAGCGAAATACTCTGACCTAAGTAACTAATAGTATTAAAACGTAACTTCAATAAAATCGATCCATCGATAATTTGAATAGTCAGAAGAGTGAGCGATTCAAAACTCTCAATGCCCAATATCAGTAAATTCCCCTGTCTTTAGATCAGAGGCTACACACAGATGAAGGAAATAACATTAAACGATAGCTTATAAAGGGAAAGAATCTGTCCCTTGCCACAATTCAGATGGAATCAAAGTAGTAGAAGATAAATAGCAAACAAAGCAAAGTGAATCAAACACCATAAAGCGCTTATAAGATGCCAAAATCTACAGTAGATCAATATTTTCAAGACATGCAAATAAAAAGTGCAAAGCAATATAAAAATCATCCACAGATAGAATATCAGCAATATTTCAATATTAGGCCTAGCAAAACCTCATTGTTGCAAGAGTCTCAAGCATTAAAATAATCAATTGAACATATCTTGTCGAAAAATAAGGGAGATTCTAAAAAACATGTTAAGAGAGTTGACTCAACTGAGCCTCGTTCCATCAATCAATCTACTCAATATAAGGGGGAATCCAGCAAAAAGATTAACAGAGCTGAAGAATCAAACCATTATGACCCCAAGAAGTAATTAAAAATTGTACTATTTTATAAGAATTAAAAGTAATTTGTTTTTAATATTTAGATATAATTATTTATTTGATTACCAAAACAAAACAACTGATAACTTATATAATTACTTGATCCAACAAATAGGTTGCATCGAAAAATCATTTGCTAAGCAAGGTGGAGGCACAGGATCAACTGAGGAAGATCAAATTTAATAAGGTACATTCTATAATACTAGTATTAGAAATCAACAAAATATGTCAATTTTATTGTGTCTAAAAGAATGTCCCATATGATTATTATCTAAGTCTCCCAAATTTATCATTGCATGTGTTTTAAGGAATTACTCTACAATTATAACCATTAATTGCTTAGTCTGCTTCAGGCAAAAGAGTAAATTTGAAAGACTTTGCACTTGTAAAATGCATAGGAGTAGGTGGATTTTCGAGAGTTTATTTAGTGAGAAAGAGAGATAACGGGAAATTTTATGCACTTAAATTGATTGATAAAAGCTTTATCATGGAAAATCAAAAGGAAGTTATTGTTTAGAATGAAAGAGACATAATGGTTAAAATGGATAATTAATTCATCACTCCATTACATTTTGCATTTGAAACGAAATATTATATTGCCTTTGTTCTTGATTATTGTGCAGGGGGAGAATTATTCTTTCATTTAAGAAAACTTAAAAGATTGAGTGAGTAAGATGCCAAATATTACTTTGCTGAAATATGTATAGGAATGGCATATCTACATGCTTAAAATATTGTTTATCGAGACATTAAACCTGAGAACATCTTATTGGATTTGCAAGGACATCTCTTACTTAGTGATTTTGGACTAAGCAAACCCAACATGTCTCCAGAAGATTTTGCTTATTCTTTTTGTGGATCCCCTGAATATATGGCTCCGGAGATGCTTCTAAAGAGCGGTCACAACTATTTAGTTGATTGTTATTGCTTAGGAGCATTGCTCTATGAATTAGTTACAGGATTACCTCCATTCTATTCTCATAATACTCAAGAAATTTACAATTCAATCTTGACGGAACAAGTATTGTTTCCTCCCTATGTGTAAATATCGGACTTGTTAAAAGACTTGATTTATCAATTGCTTGAGAAGGACCCCTCATAGAGAATAGGGTAGACCTAAGGAGTCATTGAAATCCTAACTCATCCTTGGTTTGCTGATGCGGATTTTGAAGCCATAGTTAATAAATCAATCAAGCCCCCATATAAACCAGAGCCCTTATAATATAACTTCGATGAGGAAGAGTTCAATAAAGGAGATGTAGAATTTAGAAAATAATACAATGCAAACTTGCAAAAAGAATATGTAACATTGCAATATTAATTTAGTATAATGATAATTTTGGTAATTACATCCTTCAAAACTTTTATTATTCCAGAGAAGATCTACCAGAATCACCAGAACACAAGTCAAAAAGATCAAATGTTATTGATTTAACTCAACTTCATTTTGAAGGTGTGCCTGAAGAATAGAGTTCTCCAGAAAGAGTTGGAGTATTCAATCTAATTATTCAATAGGTTTATACAAATGATTTCAGAAGAGTATAAAAGTATTAAGGAAAATCAGATATTCAGGATTTTTTAAAAAGAAGTGATCAAAATAACAATAAATCATCTTCTTTGATTTAATCTTCAAAAATAAGTCATGCTTATTCCAAAACTATGCAACAATAGCATTCGCATACTGATTTACAAGTAGTTCTTTTATTAATCAAATCTAGACTCTTAGATTGATGATCGATTCTACTAAAATGTAACTCAGTTCTGAGAGAACACCCACTTTGCCTGAAAATTAAAGTTCAAAGTTCTAAAACAATCGAATTAAGACTGAACAAATCTCTTAGATGTTATATCCTAAAACAACTACCAATTATTAGTTTAATAAATAAACCAATCTATAGAAATTGTTTGGATCTGATAAAAGAAAAAAATGAATTAATTTTGTTGAGTGATATATTGATTTTACAATTAATTTTAAGTTTACTTAATTTATTTATGATATAAGTTCTTGATCAGAATGATAGAGAAATCTACAAATATCGATTGTTACAAGGAGAAAATAGGTTTGGAAGTGATCCAAAACAATGTAAATACCTAATCCGAAATGTTCAAGGTGTTCTATTCTCTGTCGTAATATCTTCATTCTAGAAATTTAGGCTTTACTTAATAACGATGTGTACTTCACCCATTTCAGTAATACAGATTAAGTTTTGAAAGAATCAACCTTGAAATAAGATTAAAAAGTAGAGATTCCCAAAAACTTCATAATTGAGATGGTCCCACTCAGAAATTATTATTTTTAAAACTTTAAGTTCAAATTACTTAACTCCATCGAAACAATTTAGTAAAATATCTAATGCACATTACAAACAACTTAAATCTTAGAGGATTTTAGTGGTACAATGGCATTAGATGATATCCTGGATATTCCGTAATAAGTTGCCCCTAAGGTTTAAACCACTTAATAAATATCCACCACTTAAGTACTTAGTTCCTAAGACCCAGTCGTAACTTCTACTTTAATTTTAGATGAGGTAGATTAATCGACATTATCAAGCTTAAATGAATTAATTTCATAGTATTCAGGAATAAATTCTATGGTGAAATCAAATCACCTTTCCACTAATGACGCATAAACCTAAACAGAAATCATAGAGGCAGAACCTTAATTACAGAAAACTCGAACCTTATTTAGTGATCTTTTTAAAACTAAAAGACAAACTTCTTAAATCTCATAGTAGATTTATTAACATCCTTAATAGCCTACACTTATTGACTAAACAATGATTGATTCTCAAATGTAAAGTATTGATCAAAATTAAAATCATGACTCCTAATTTGTGAACAAGAAAGCCGAAATTAAAGGTACTATGATTGACGATGATTTAAATAAAGCATTTTCTTCATCACAAAATAAAAGTGTTGATAAGTTAGAATAATCTTAAATCAAACGTTTTAATAGTATTCAATCAGATAATGTATAAATAACATAGTCTAAATAAGAAAATAATAATTCAAAAATTGAACTAAATGATCTATTTGGTAGTTTACCTGAAATGCCAAATTAATAAATTTAACAACAATAAACAATTAAAAAGTTTCCCTAACCTAAGTCAAACATTTTAAATACTCGATATGATGATTCTTAAGATGATAAAAATAATTAATAATAAGATTAAACTCCTATTAAAGTTAAAAATTAAAAATTAAAATAAACATCTTCCATTGAGAAATAAGGAAAAAAGCAAACCAAAGGGGATTTGAAGAAAGTGGCATTGCTCAAAAAAATAACAGATGAAATTTCTGATGAAACCTCAGAAGAATCGAATTAATCAAAATAGTAGATAAGACATACTAATTCTATTGAATTGCCTGCTACTAAAATATTTTAGTAAAATGATTCTAAAAATAATAAAAAGTTAGGAAATAAAAAAAACCAATAAAAGAAAGTTAAAAATGTTCAATTAATAGCCTTTAGTGGATTTTAGCCCAATGAAATACCACAAGCAAATGATTTAAAAAAACTAGGTTTAGAAATAGTGAACAATCAATTAGAGAAATTTGATTTGTTAGTTTTGAACAATCCTCCTAAAAGAACATTCAAATTTCTAAGTGCCTTGCTGCTTGGGGCTGAAATAGTAACACTGGATTGGTTGACTAACTCACTTAAATAAGGAAAGGCTATTTAAAAGTTCCATGATTATGTTCCCAATAGTGATGAATTTTAAAACTCTTTCGGATTAAGCATTGAACAAATTGTTCAAAGCAGGGATACTTATTTTGAAACTAACAAGAATCTAGTAAAAATCTTTGATGGGAAATATCATGTTAAAGCAGATGTAACACCATCAAAAGCTGAAATTGAGTATCTTATAAAATTAGGAGGTGGAGAGGTACTACAGAAACCTGGGAGAAATGTCATAACCATATGTGATACCAAAGTAGGCAATTCAATGCCATCAGATTTCATATTAGATGGATGCATGTTTCAATCATGAGAGTGTGTTTTTGAAACTTTTTATCACATTTTTTGTTAGTACATTATGTATTATTACAATTATTAATAAAAGGCTTAAGTGTATTTAAAATATTGAAACTGATTTTAAGATTCGGTTAGATTAATTTCAGGATATTAATATTTCATTATAAATGCTCCATCCAATCTTTTGAACCATTTATCCAACGTTCCTTATCACAAGTTGTATTCAAACTATTATTTCTGTACATTGTGGCCATTAATAAGTGCTGAAATGCATTATATCTTTACATCAGTGAATTTTCCATCATGATTGCTCTCCTTAGGAACTGGGATGTAGGACTGTTTGCTGCCAATCAATTACCCATGAGTTTTATAGAATTGCTTTGCATGAAGTTTCATAAATTCTAATGGGATTGTAAGTAAATTTAGTACCTTCATCTGAGAGTTCTTAAGTGTTAGTTTATTAATTAGTGCTCATTGTATTTTTGAAAATATAAATATTAATTAATCATTCATATTATGTAACAACTTTTTAATATAAATTGCAATTCAAAATACTTCAGAAATAAATGATACTTAAATTATTAATATTATCAGATTTATTTACTTATGGGTTGTGCTTAAATTGTGAATCATACTCAAGAAGTTCACTAGCCTCAATTATAGAGAAATTAATCAAAAAAGACTACTTTGGAATAGACTAAGAATGACTATGATTCTCCAATTATCTTCCCCCTCACTTTCCCTGAAGGATTCGGAAGATACAGAAAATAATAGAGAAACTCCACTGTGAAGTTGAAAAACACGATGAAAGTGGAAATCTCTCTGGACAGTAGTAGGAACACAATCCTGAAAAGAAGAACGACTCTAAATCCCTATACTTGACTTTTGAATATAAACTTCCTTCATAATCTAAACCTTTAATTTCTTACAAGATTATTAACTCTATCTAAATTCAAAGCCCTTACAAAACTGTCTTTTGTCCTGATTTATGATGTCAGTGACTAATTTTCAGATGAAAAAAGATTTCTCAATTTATATATTATTCACATTACTAATGTGAAAAGTAGTACGCAATTTCTGAAAAAACATAAAAATCAAAAGGGAAGGGGAGACTTTCGAATTTCTAGGGTTAGAGTTCTAAGAATAGAATATGAATTAATAGAGAGATGTTAAATGTTTATTTAAATTATTTATTTCTTTTATGTAGTTTACCAATTTGGAAGAATATTTAACTACTAGAATGCAGGAGATGTCTAAGTTTTATAATCAACTAAATATCCCAATATGTATCAAATGATTATATGATAAGATGATGAAATAAAGTATAATGTTTAAGTTAAGGAATAACAATCAGATATTAGAAGTTAAAAACATTTTGAATAAAAGCAAGAAGCTTCATAGAGTTCATTTATGAATGAATTTACAGAAGAAAATTATAATCACCTAAATCAACATGCAGACATCTTCGATGAAATACCAATAAAAGGAGCATAAAAGCCATTTGAATAATTATTACAAGATCAGGGAATTGTGTAATAGGAGAAAAAAGATAAGAAGGAATTTCTAAAGAAGGGAACTAGATAATTCTTGTCCAATGCATAAACGAGATCTGAATTATCAAGGAGGGAACATTAGGAGATCTTGAAAATGAATAATGAAAATGCAGTAGAGTAATAATAACCAAAGAAATTGCCAGTTCATTTTTTATAGAAAGGTAAGGGAAAGCAATGCACTCAAAAAGCAAATGATTCAATATTGGATCATACTAAAAATGATGAAAGCATAATCTAATAGGATGATGATAAAAATGAATCAAAAAAAGAGAGATAATTATTGGAATAACAAAAAAAGGAATTATAAAGATTGAAAATTCAATAATAGAAATAATTAGAATAAGAGAAATAGGAATTTGAAAAATGGAAGGAAGAGGAAAAGAAAAAAATCGAGAGAATAACAAAAAAGCACTATACTATTCAATAGCAAAGATAACAATAACTAACAACAAAACAATTGGAAGAATTAGATTTCCTTAGAAAAAGAGTGGCATAATAAAATGAAGAAATAAAGGAACTAAAATTGTAATTGGAGAAATCACAGTAACAAATCTAATAATAAATGAGCAATAGTCAAACAACAAGCACTCATAATATCAATAAATTAATTGCTTAATCATCCCCTCCACAAAGTAATTATTCTACCAAAGCATCTATTGCTTCAGAAAATAAAGCAAATTCTTATGCCGTGATGCACAATAAATAAGTTTGCATCAATGAGGAAGAGGAATTTGAATCTTAGAATGGAGAGGATCAAAATAGTTATTAAAATGGAGATAGTTATGAATAAGAGAAAATTAAGATTGATTTAATTTAGTTAAAAAGCTAACCAATAATTTCAATAGATATAATTAATGATTTGATAGATGAATCAGAATTCGAATTTCAAAATAACAAATACTATGGATAATATTTAGATTATTTGAAATTTGATGACAAAGTCATTTAATAAAATCAATCAGCAGATGGGAAGATTTCAAGAACATATTAAAGTGGCAAAAAGGAAGTCGTTTTCAACAATGGAGTTAAAAGAGAAGTTTTTACTAATGGGTTTACCATTGTTCATTTTACAAATAATGACAAAAAGCAAACTCTGCCTGATGGAACTATAGTTTACTATTTTGGTCAAGCTAAAACTACTTAAATTACTATTCAAAATGGACCCCAAGTATTTTAATATCAATATATACATAGATCTATCGATTTTTGAATAATTAAATAGAAATTCACTTCTAAAATGGCGAGAAATAGATTAGATTCGCTGATGGAACCAAAAAGTATATATATCCTAATGGAGAAGAAGAGACTTTGTTTAGTGATGGTATATTCTAAAAGGTGGATGTAAATAAGGTTAAATACATTGAATATCCTGATGGTAAAATTGAGATTACCTATCCGGATGGCAGAATAGAAAATTAATCTCCTAAAAAATAAAATTATTGAATTTATTATATCTGTTAACTCAAAGATTATTTATTATAAAAATTGAAGATTATAACCAATGAAACAAGGCTAGGTCAAGAGGAAATTTGAGAGTATTGAATGATCCATGAAATTAGGTTTCGGCTTTTGTTCTTCAAATCCTTATGACCCTCGTGCTTAGTAAGAATTGGTGCTACATATTTCTAATCAAGTTTAAAAGGGAAATGATTTTACAATAAAAATGTATAGTTGGATGAAGATTTCAATATTGAAACAGAAAATCCACAAAACAACGAAATTGGATCTAGCAGATTTTAGAATTCTTTATAAAAATCAAGAACTCTCTCTAAATAATGAAGATCTAGAAGTAATAAATTAAACTCATAACATTTCAGGATTATGGAATCAAAAATCATGTCACTCTAAAATTGATGGCTAGAAAATAGGCATAATAGTTGTATTTTATCAACAGCATTCACAACATATTGGAAGAATCCAAGAAAACATAAGAGTCATTTTAAAATGCCAAATGGGCAGTAGAAGGAGCATTCATGAAAGGAATTACACCTAAATTAACTGATTTTGGCACGCAAGGCACTTATATTTTGGAGGATCTAAATCATAAACCTGTGGCTATTTTTAAGCCCTACGATGAAGAAGCATTTGCGTATAAACTATAATCATCAATAGTCCCAATAATCCAAGAGGAATGAGAGCCAAAATGAATTCACCAGGACTTAGACAAGGCATTTTGTCAGGGGAAGGAGTTGATCGAGAAGTGGCAGCCTATTTGATAGATCAATAATCTGGACATTATCATAATGGTAATCATTAATATACACTATATAGTTCCCATAACTAATTATGTATAGATTTGTCATCCTGCATTCCATGAGGCTGAGGAATACAAGTAATTTTAATACGAGAAAATCCCCATTAAAGAAGGATCTTTTCAATTGTATATAAAACATGACGATAATGTTGGCAATTTTGGGAGTGGGTTGTATCCATCTATTGAAGCAAAAAAAATAGCCATCTTAGATATCAGAATACTAAATTGTGATAGAAATGAGGAGAACATTTTAGTTAGAAAAAAGTATATTTCTTATATATTTCCCGATTCTAGAAAAGTCAATCAACCAATTGGACAAACTAGATAAGCGTATGACTACTTTCTTATACCTATTGATCATGGATACACATTTCCAGATTCTTTCAAAATATGCAGAGATGAAGTAGTATGGTACCATTGGGGTCAGATGACTCAAGCATTTACTTAAGAGGAGAAAATTTTTATTGAGAAGATTGATCCAATCAAAGATATATAAATTTTGAGAGAGAAGGTCAAATTAAGAGAAATCTGTTTGAGGAATGCTAGGATAGCTACGACTTTATTAAAGCTTGGTGCATAAGCGGATTTGACCATCCACGATATTTCGTAATAAAAATAATTAATTTATTAGTGAAATATTATATAGAGAAGATCCGGATGAATTATCACCTATTGAAATTGCTATTAGTAAAGCTGAACACAATTACGAGTATGTTAATATATTTTATAACCAGTAATAATATAAGAGTGCCAAAAGGATATTCAAATTTTAAAGAAAAAATATTTTCAAATAATTTAATTTAAAAATCTTTGGAATTTGATTAATCTAAGTTATAAAATGAACAAAAACCTAAAATAGGACAACCTTTCATAAAATTGGAGATTATCAGAGATGAGGATGAAAACAAAGAGATTAAGAGAGATTAAATAATCAAAAATAATTAATAGAATTCAGACAAAAAGTTAGCTAGGGTTGGTTCTTAACAAGAAATCAAGAAATGTCCTAAACCTATTGAGAAGGTATGGAATGAAGATTTCTACTCGCATGTGACTTTCTTCTTACAACAAATTATTGATAGTAAGTTACAAGAAAAGTCCCAATCTCCTCGTAAATACAGAGCTAGATACATAAGTGAAGAAGTCAAATGAAAAAAAAGAATAATCTTAAAAATAGTTTTAGGAAAATTTTATATTATAATATTTATTGATTCAAAATTGTTGATGAATGGAACTTCAATAGTGTTGGATGCTATTTTCTTCATATTCACTTTTGCTCCTCTTCTTAGAAGTGGTTAGTAATTAGAAGGAATTTACACTAGAAATTATAATATTATATAAATCACCTATTGCTCATTACCTACTCTTCATCACTGATGTAGTTCTATTCAATCATTTCATTATTCTCTCCTTTGAGCTACTGTTCTCCCTCCAACTCTACCAGATCTTTGAGTAGCCTATTCTTCTTGGATTGCTTGGTAGGGTAGGAAACATCGTCACTCTCTGAAGACTCACTAGTAATGCTCTTATACTATTTAATCATTAAGATAATCTCCAGAGCCTTCTTTTGTAATGGGTCATAATCGTTCAAAATTGAAATTCTTATTTAAGCTTCTTAAGATACCCTTCTCTTTAAAATTTCTACTTAATTTAACCCAACTTCATTTAAAATTCAGTCATTCTCTTTTTCATGCCACTATTCCAATGGTTCTTAATCGAGTTATCTGTTCTCCCTCTGACATGTTTGGCTATTTCAGCCCATTTATTGTCTTGATCTATTATGAGGATTTATACTTAAAGCCTTGTGATAGAGGAATAAAATCCATTCCTCGTCCTCTTCCCAAGGGGTTTTCTTAATTGATGGATTCAAATGGTTATGCCATCTATTAAATAACAATTCACAATCACCTTTCTCTACATTATTTTCCGATTCTTCCATCTAATTATTAAGCAATTTGAGTCCATTTTTAAGGACCAAATTCTTAAACTAATTCAATTACCCTTAGATCCTCTTCGTCAGTCCATGGTCCTATAGGACATTAGAGATTTAAAATTACTCTTGCGGATAACCTTATGTATATTTTATTTATTTTATTTCATTTATTTTAAATTAATCAAAAAGATCATTCATTATAAAATTTATTTAATATTAGATAATATTCCTGATAATAAGTTGTTAAATATTTTAATTATATTTTATATAAGATAATTTAATGAGTGAGGATATATTAAGTAAAAGCAATATGGGTGAATATGGAGAAGTACATTTTCATATAGATTTGTAATTTAGGACATTGATCAACAACTCTATGAAAGATGTGAGCAATTTTGCTAAAAATTGAGACGAACAAATTAATAACTTTATAAGTTTGAATTGATATCAATTTTAGACAATTTTCGAATATTGTCAATTAAAATACGAAAGCAGCTAAAGAGTAATTGGGACAAATGTTGAGTGAGGAACCCGAATTATTAAAGGAAGTAAATGCCCTATTGGAAGATGATGTCAAATTCAAGACTCAGAAAGAGAAACTGACTGAGTTTATCAACAATGAGACTAGCAAACCCAAAGCATTGGAGACAATTTTGAAATAAATATAAAATGGACATCTAGATGGACATCAAAACAAAGACCATATCTTGGAATTATTTAGCAATGAACCTCAATTACAATAACAGTTCTTGTAGAGTTTCAAAAAGAAGCATGACCAAATTCCCCCAAAAAAAAAAATTGAAGAAAATAGAAATTATTTTTAAAAACTACTGGATAAAAATGGAGTTGTCGATATGGTAAGACTTACATTTTTTAAATTAGAATGAATTACTTTTTTGGGATAAATTTAGAATGAGAGTTGTCTAACAATTCCCCAATGAACATTAGCAATTTATGAACGAATTCATGAAGATTATACATCTATATTCCGAATGCATCATCACCTAGATGGAAGTGATGGAATTAATCAATCAACAACAATGGTTAGAAACAGAATACATAGACGAAATTAGATCCATGTTGTCTACAAGGGTCATTGCTCGAAGAATACAAACTCCACTTTTTAAACCTCTAAAAGATACTGATTTTGCTTAGGTTGACAGGGTCACCAGATCCTATGTTCGAATGCCTATTGGCTATGCAAAAGCTAACAACAATTCAGAAATCCTCAATCATTCTTGGGTGTCAGTGCCATTTGGTTCTGAAGATCAATCATTCTTAATTATGAGAAAAAACACTTTTGAAGAACAACTATTTAAAAGTGAGGATGAAAGATTCGAATTTGATGTCAATATTTAATAAATAAAAAGAACCATAAATTTATTATAAGAGATAATCGATGGTAATAAAGAGGATCCAATATTGATTGCTAAAGTAATTGACATGAGAATTTTGCAACAATTATATAGAAATTAAACTCAAGATTAAAATGAAGTCCTTTAGATATTTTAAACCAAACCTGCTGAAAGTGCTAAAATCCTCATTAAGAGAGTCAAATAAAAATTAAATGAACTCATTTCAGCAAGAAATAACAAGGCTAAATAAATTTGGGAAAATGTCTCCCTGAATAACTTTCATCGTTCCCTTGATCATAGATCCTTTTATTTCAAAAAGAATGACAAATTGGTCATAAATGGATAAAGATTTGCCAGGGAAATCGAGGAGTATGCCAAAAACATCTTAATTAAACATCTTGGAACAAAGGAGCATGTTTTTGTTAAAAGAAAGCAAGATCAAATATAATACACTTTCGAAAACTCCTTTCTGAATTCCCTTGCGTAGATGACTAATATAAGACCTATTTTACCTAAATAGATGCCCTTAGTACCGGCTACTAGAGACAATATCAGATTTTTCCCATTGATTTCGCTATGGATGGGAAATGAATAAATTTTATAGGAATGTGGTCAATTTGTTATTCATTATCTCCAAATTATGGGAGGTAACAATTCTCTGGATAAAAGAAACGGAACATTTTTTATGATAAAATTGATCAACCATTTCTTTTAAGTTTCCATGAAACCAATGCAAATATCCCAATTGACATTAATAGATACTAAATTGAAAAATGAAATTTAAGAATTAGAAATTTATGACATTCATTACAATCCAGAAGATGCCTCCACCTCTATTCCAGAAATAGAAAATGAATCCCCAGGTGTATTCCTGAACCTACAACCAAAAGTTAAGTCAACCACATATGTGACACAAAACCTGTATATCCTATTGAGATTTTTGCATACGATATATCAAAGACTAGAGATGGCTTATGTCATAAGTCAGCAAAACAAGTTAGGACAAGATAAGAGATATAACTTATTCAAATCTGCTCTATTTCTTTCATTAAAGGCCAAAGATTTTAAATATGAGGATCATTTACGAAGTTTGTTCGGAAAGCATGTACATTGATTCTTAATTATGTTAGGGGTTCATATTTTCAACTTTGGAGAAGGTGTTTCATGATGCTGCAAAACAGTTGGCTATTTGCGCTTCTGATGTTGTGACTATGTCATTTTTTGAGAAATCAGTTTCAGTGGAGGGAGACCTGGATAAATACTTTTAAGTTGTTTCCAGCATTGTAAATGGGGAAGGAATTAAGGTTTGTGATTTAGAAGCTTAGGTTTTGTGTAAGTTCTCGTAACTTCAAGAGGAGGAACAATTATTGAAATTGCATTAGGCATTTTCTCATCATAAACCAGAAAAGAGGCCTATCTATAGAGTAAATTGATTGATTAAATATAGATTGCTTGTTGGCATAGGGCTTGTTTTATTTCAATATTACCAGCATATGGAGGATGCAATCAAGAGACATGTAAATCTTGTAAATAACCTTTCTTAATGAGGAATATGAAAAGAGGAGAAAGACGTATGATGATTACAAACAGTGTTGAATGGAGTGTCGATGAGTGTAGCCATTTCAAACCAATCATTAATTAAGGAGAAGACTATTTAAAATGTGTATGAGTGTGATCCTGATATGAAATGTTATTTTTTAATGTTATATTTTACATATTATCTATCTGGGTCAATTAGGGTTGAGTATGATGCAAAATTAGAGGAAAATATAAAAAGAAATTAAGTAAATGAGAATATAATTCTCAATTTCCTCTTATTTCGATATGATATTGATTTGTATGTTTTTCATTTGTAATTATGAATGTATTGTCTATTTAATTAGGTGGGGACTCTATTTTTAGAAATACTATTAAAATAAATGCATTTATGTGAGATATAAAATATAACTAAATTTATTGAATTTGTTTGGGATATGACGTATTATGATAAAATGTGAGTTAAAAATATCATAAAAATATTAACTCAGCTGAAATTCGTATGATATCGTAATGAAATATGAATTTAAATAGGTTCTAGAATAGTGATTATAAAGCAATAATTAATATAAATAGTTTTTAACCAACATTTTACAATGGAAGTTAATATGAAAGAATTACAAGAAGGTCCTGCTCTGGCTATCGAAGGCCAAACAAATATAGATTTAGATTCTGAGGAGAGGAATTTAGAGGAAGGAAAAACTAAGAACCATATATAGGTTCCTGTAAAACCTGCAAAATATATTCTCACATAGGGTGATAAGATGGCATTGAAATTGGCAAAAGGTCTAATCTTGAGCAATCTAATTGGATTTGTTTTGTTATTTATTGGATGTGCTGTCATCTACACAACGCTCAAATCTAACTGGTATGATGAGATGATAGTGTCCTTTTAAATCTTCATATTTTCAGACGTCCTTCTTTTGGGAGAAAAGATTTTGTTTTTCGCAGCCTTGATAAACAAGAAAAAGATGGTTAAATTATGTCCCTTCTTAAATGTAGTCTCTTTATTACTGAAGATAGTGGCCAGTGGATTGATTGTGTAAGACATGTAATAGATAATTATAGTCACACTCTCCCTAGTCCACTCATAGTTAGTCTCATTTTGGTGTTACTCTAAATGCCTCATAACATCATGATTAAAGTGATCACCAAAAGATGGAGGAACATCCCTCAAAGGAAGTGGAAAAAACAATTAGTTTTAGTTAGAAAACCAATCCCTTAGAAGTGAAACCTGTTTAATGATCAATATTTTTGTTTATATTTCTTATTATATTTTTATAGGTATTCTCTCATCTCTACGAAATGTATACCAAAACTATAGATTCCTCACCATCACCATTTCTATTAATTTTACTATCTCTTTTTCAAATATAAGACCCAAGAACTTGTTCCTACTGTTATTTTGACTGATTCCCTGTCTTCGAACTTCTTGGTTATCATTTCAAACCTCACTCCCTCTAAATTATACATCTCATTGGACTTCATAGTGCAAAACTAAAATCTCTTTAAATTCTTAATCTTCTCAGATCATTATTAAAACATATTTTTTAAGGAATTAAAAAGACATTAATCAATAAAAATTAATATTATTATGATTGATTATATAAAGGAAACAGGCGACATTCTCATCACTAAATAAGGCTCCATGAGTTCCTTTTAATAGAATAGCGATTCAAGTCCAAAAAACTTATTGGGTAGTCACAAACAATTGCGTTTTCCAACAATTTCTACTTCATTATTGAAATCAGCCATCGAGGCCAATTACTTGGAGGCTGATCAAAGGAACAATATCATTAGAAATCCCAATCAATTAACTGTGTTTAGAATGCATTTTGATACAAATTCTCCAAGAACTCAGGCTGCAATGGAAATTCTGAAATTGCATGTTGAGGATCTTCAAGTGAAAGATTATGAGGAATACTATCAGAATCGCAAAGATCCACTTCAGAACCTCATATCATATTTGTAATATGTAACCAATAAATACAAAATATTGAACGACATCCTAAAGAAGAGAAATTAAATTAAACACATCCAATCTTAGGTCTCCAAACAAATGAACTCGAAGAACATCAAGTTTAAGGATGAATCTATCTCTCTCGAATAGACTGAATTGAAGAAGCCGTCATGTGAAGATGTTCATTCAACTATTTTAAGTGCAACTCAAAAGAAGGAACTTTTTGATAAGAAGTTGATCAAAGCATCAGAAAATTACAATAAGTAAGTAAATATTAATACCATTAAGGTTTCTGAATTTGGTGCATGACCAAATAAATAAACAAGATGAATACTACAGTAAGACTGCCCCTGAGATGTATTAAAAAGCAGAGAGATTGAAATAGAAACAACTAGAATTAGTGAAAAAGAAACTCAAGAGGAACCATTTGAAGGTAGATCAAATATGTCAGAAGGCCAAAATGGAAGAATAAACACAATATCGAGAACATTAGAAGATGGTGTAAGAGTTGGAGAAGGATCACACTCTTCATTAAGAGAGAAAATAAAAATAATTGTAATAGGCATAGGAGGAATTACTGGAACAATTGAGAAAGAGGGAAGAGAAGGAAAGAGAGAGATAGTTAAAGAGATAGATGTAGATGAATTTAGAATAGAGTATGATTGATTAGGTGATGGATTCAATAAAGAAGAAGTCTGATTACATGAACGAATATTTACATAAGAAGTAGGAGGAAGATAAGAAGAAGCATAATTAGAATGTGAAAATATTTGAAGAGAAGTAAAAAAAATTACAAGAATCCTATGTATAAAAGGAGAATCAGAATGTTTAGAATTATTTCAGTAAGTCAACGTAAAGACTGGTATTTTATATATATAAATTTATGGGTAGATTCAAATAAATAAGCATGAAATATCATAATTGAAGTAATAGAAGAGTCTGTCTTTGAAGAATAGTAGGATAATGAAGAGGGTTGAATAATTTCAGGAGTCTTTGGATTAGAAGAGATTTGAGGAATTGAATTCTAAATTGTAGGAGACAGACGAGAAATTAGAGGAGGGAATGAAGAGGTATGAATTTGATTTACAAGTGTAGACATTAATCTCTTTTGGATTTGAGGAAGATTAAATTAACTTAGAAGAATGAGCACAGATTCAAATTGGCAAAGCAGAAATAGATGGAGAATATGTTAGAAAAAATTTATAAGCAAAATAAAATATTATAAAAAAATCTCGAAATTACTTAGAAAAATGACAAAATAAAATAAGAATTAGAATTTTTGGAGAAATACAAAAAAGAATAATTATAAGATCATGTTATTTAGAGAAATATTTTGGCATAAAAATTATCATCTTGATTTTTATTTGGTTTTATATTATTTTTTCATTATTTGTAAAAAATGTAATATTATATTTAGATTATAATTAGAAAATATATATGAAGAGAGAAATGCAAATTATTGTAATAAAATGAATGAAGAAACCCAAACTTTATTAAAAAAGATATTGGAAATGCAATTGGAATGCACTTAATTATTGACAAGCATTTTATTCAAGAAGAATCCAACATCAAATGACGGAGAGCAGCAGAACAAGAAATCTGAATAAATAGAGGAGTCCAAATTACAGTTAGAGGGGTCAAAGAGAAGAGGCAGAAAATCAATTAAGAGTGCAATTCAAGTTGATACTCTACTGTAAAGTGAAGATGAGATCTAACTCTAGCAATTATTTTAGATGACTCCAAAAGGATTACTGTCACCTGAACAGTGCTATAAACAACTCAATGTGATTGTATAGAAATTCAGATAGCTGAATTCTTTGGCCAACAAGAATCATTAATTAGACATCGAATACATTAAGGCATATCATAGTAAAAACAAATTTAAATATCTGAGAGCAATAACTAAGTTGTTTGTGCAGAGCATCAAGAATTTAAAATAGATTTAATCTAAAGATAATCAATCTGACATTTTCCAATGTCCCTCATGTGACTTTACAGGTATTAGCAGTGTATTTTACCCTCATATCTTGAAGAAGCATTGTTAGAACTATCACATATTCAGTTGCTTCTTGTGTTCAAAAGATTATCAGTCTCACACTTTGTTACATACTCATCTGAAGAGATATCATGGTAATTCGAAGAAGAATCAAAAATCAGAAACTAACATATTGCTTCAATAAATAGATGATGATGTGAGCATAAGTCTATGAAAATTTTATATATTTTAATTAATTAAATTTAAAATGATGAATCACTTTTTTGAGTGTCCCCACGGTTGCGGTAGAAAATTCGATGATAACTAAAGATTGGAGGATCATATTAAAAGGAGACATTTCCTTCAATAGAAAGTCTATCCAAGTCTATACGAGAATACAAATGGAAGTGCGATACAAAAGAGAGTCAATGTCTTAAGATCAAAACTGCCTCAGCTCAATGATAATCATTCGTAAGTTCAATAATAATACTCCTAAACATAATAATAATTATCTGAGTCAATCAATACATAACAATTACCTCCAAAACCAATTTCTAAATTGTAGTTACAATTCAAAAAAGGTTCAATTCTTCGTCCCAATTCAAGTAATAAAAAGTTAGATGATGTATAAAAAAATGCTGATTAAAAAGATAAGCAATCTAATGAAAACAAGGAGATTCAAAAAAGCGTAAAGATAATCGAACCTTCTCCAGTAATATCAGCTTAGGATTTGGTGGAAGCTAGAAAGCTGATCACCAAACAATTTATATGCACAAACAGTGATGCTTCTGATTTGGAATCAGTTACACACTTGACCTTGAATGAGAAAAATCTCTTGGTTTTTGAAAGCACAACAGAAGTTCCATTTTAAGATTTAATGTAATCCTATATTAATTTATTAGCTCCTTAAAGAGTCTATCCTTATCCTAAAACAAGTTGATCAATGTAATTGGAATCAGTGTGTTGCATAATATTGTAGATTTGAATCTCAATAACAACAAAATATCTACACTATAGCCATTGGGAGAATGCAAGAGACTCCAGAAATTGTATGCAAATAACAATCTAATCAACTCCATAGAAATGGGATTGATGATTCATTTGAAAATCTTTCAAATCGGCAATAATTAAATTACTGAATTTGAACATTTGGTCAATAGCATTAAGTTGATGCCCAGTCTTAAGGATCTTGTTATTGAATGCAATCCTTGTACTCATAAATATGCTTACAAATACGACATTCTATGGACTGTGTTCTTAGACAAATTGGACAATCAGATTATCACTCAATAGGATTACAATCTGGCTTAGGCTTTCAAGGACAGCAAATAGGAATCCAAATTATCACAAAGTGTGATGTTTTCTAAGGGTATGAGACCACAAACAGCTTCTACTATGAACTAAAGCATTCCCTTTCAAGATCCATAAAATGAGAATTCTCAAACTAACATAGTGTTGGAATAGATCAATTAAGAATTGGAGGAAGAGATAGAAGAATTATACGACATCAATTCCAATATGAGAGAGAAGATTGATAAGTTGGAGAAGTAGAATGTTGAATATAGACTTATTGCTGAGAGAGTTCCATTTCTAGAAGAATAATTACAAGATATGAGATCGAAGATTAGTGCTTATGAGAGTTTGATAATATTCAAAGATTCACCAGATAATGAATTAAGAAAACATATCTTTGCTTTGACCTAAGAATTGGAGAAATTAAAGAGTAATAATAATCATCTTGAGAATTATGAAGAGGAAAATCAAACTAAATTTAATATCAATTAATCTAAGTTTTAGAATACAGAAACCACCTTTATCTAGTAATTATCATAAGCAGAAAGTGACAATGAGAATAAGGGAGATGATGAAGATGATGACGATAAATACTTGTAAGTTATTGAATCTATTGTTTCTTAGTCGAGATGATGAAAACATTTCCCAGATTCCAGGATAAGAAATAATGGAGTTGATAATGAGGAATTCAATGACCTTGAGCAAACTCAAAGATGAATTCAAAGATATCAATTGACTCTTGAGTTTGATAATTAAATATATAAATTATATATAAATTAATTCAATAAATGTCAGAATATTTTAGAAAATACATTAAAAAAGAAAACTATGCTAATCATTTGTAATTTGATATCTAATTAGTAGTACTAATATCAAATATAAAACTTCATTTAGAAATTGCATCTTGGAAGTATAATTGCATGAATAATGAAAGGCATTTAAGAGGAGAAATTGGAAAGAGACTGATGGTGACGATTGGGACATTATGTGGGCTGAGAAGGAATGGATTCATGAAGTTATGGACCATATTCACTTGTAACCTCATTAAAAAATAAATCATTTTCGGAATCATTATGAGGTACTTCTCAATTTTCTATTTCAATTAGTTAACTCGAAAAGATCTCATGATTAAGAATCTCAAAAAGTAGAAAAGAACACTAGAAAAAGAGGGTAAAATTGACGAAGCCAATGCGTAATTTAAGTAATTTAACGATGTAGTTATAATTTCTTTCCACTGACCTACCATTTACCAAGTGAATATCCTATCTTCAATGAAGAATTTAAAAAGCAAGGCGACAACAAAACTGCCTGGATCATGAAACCAGTACAAATTTGATTCATCATCTTAATTAGATAGGCAAATCTCAAGGAAGAGGCATATTCTTGTTTAACAAAATACAGTAGATATCCCAATGGAAAAACCAAGTCAAGTTCAATCCTGAAAATCCATCTGCTGAATCCTATATAGTTTAAAGATACATAGCTGATCCTCTCCTAATTGGAGGCAAGAAGTTTGACACAAGGATCTACTTGTTGTGTACTTCCTATTCTCCGTTAACATTATACTTATATCGTACAGGTTTTGCGAGATTCACTCATCACAGATATGATAATGAAGACATAACCAACACTTGTATAGTTATTAGCATGATGTAGATGTTCATTTAACCAATGTGGCCATTTAGAAGACCTCAGATAATTATGATGAAAAACTAGGAGGCAAGTGGGATTTATAAAAATTGAAACTCTTTCTCATGACAAAGTATGGACAGGATAAAGTTTAGGAATGCTTTTACAATGTTCAATAATTGATGATTAAGTCATTATTGGCAGTTCAAAAGATCATAATAAATGATAAGCATTGTTTTGAACTCTATGGATTTGACATCTTGTTTGATTCTCAATTAAAGCCTTGGCTTTTGGAAGTGAATGCAAGGTATAAAACAAGTCTATTAACAAAGTCCTTCTATGACATCTAACACTCCTATTGACTTTGAATTAAAATGTGGATTACTAGATGATGTTTTTACAATTATTGATGTTGAAAAAATATTAACTGGAAATGAGGAACAAATTGGAGGGTTTGATTTAATTTATAAAGGAGGCCCTATAAAAAATAATTATAATTGTTCTTCAATATCATTTCTTGGTACTTTTAATAATAGGAAATTGCAATTGAAGAAGTTAGCCAAGGCATGTGGTAAGTAATTATAAATATTACTCTTAAGCATTGAAATTGGCACATGCAAATGAGGATAATTAAGTGAAAAGTTCAGAAGGAACCAAGAAGGATAAGGAGGAAAAAGAGAAGTAAATGAGGAGTTCTTCAAAGAGTTCTTAGATTGCATAATAAGTATTTTTTGAATTGATTGCAGAATTAAAATAATCCGAACAAAGTTGTAATCCAATCAAAAGGAGTGACGAGTATTAAGAGAAACTCTACGGATCTACCGATATTAATGAATAAACAAAATACAATACGGAAGATGCCTTTATAAAATACTCAACAAAAATAGAAAATATAAATTTAACAATAAAAAGGGGAATACCAATTTTCAAACTAGAATAAAGTGTATGAAATTTAGTTCGATAATTTAGAATATCATAGTTAAACAATTCTTCGTTCAGTCCGAATGTTAAAATAGAGAGTGCTTCGAATCATCAAAATCATTATTTAGCAAAGGATAGTTTTCGGACCTTACCCAAAATAGCAAAGAACGAATCTTATATATCAGATGTTTGATTTAGAAATGTAACCATAAAAAAACTCAATTTAAATTATATATATAAAGGATTCAATTATTTTAAACAGAAATTGTTGGCTAAAAATAAGATCTTAATTAAAAATAAAATAATATATATATTTTAATGTAAATATTACCACCAGCAGAAAGAGTGCTACATTTCTAAGAAACAAAGAGCTGGTTCAATTCGAGACATCCCTCTAAAGTAAAGGAGAAATATAGGAAAACAGAGAAGGAGTTATTCGATGATGAAATAGTCACAGAAACATTCCATTTGATTGACAGAGATCACTCAAGTATATTGCATTAGTATAAATTGTAAGATACAATTGAGATGGATGAACTGTACTCCATGTTGAAAAAGAACAATTATCCTGTGAATTTGGGGCTTCTGAAGGCCTTCTTCGAAATGACTGATCGCGATGGCAATAGTACGCTTCTATAAATATACTTTAAGAATGCATTGATTTGGATGAGTTCAAATATGTTATAAAGGACGAGGGAACTTCTCAAAGTAATGTAGTGATTAAGTTTTGATAGCATTTAGATCATTGATGAGGAAGATGAGAGAAATAGGAGAAGAGAATTATTATTCCACTGATTTTGTAAATTTACTGAGATATTTGTCTTATTGTGCCAACCGAACTGATCTGATATGGCAAATAAAAGTACTTATTCATCCTTATATTCATTTCAATTATAAAGAATACGCGTCTTTCATTCGAATAAAGATCTAAGTTAGTGTCTGAGTTGTTTAAAGTCAATTAGCAATTTACAAAGATATCAAATCCAAAGGAAGAATAAAAATGCACATTGAGACCTTTCATGAAAACCAAGGGCCAAGATGAAATTAAGTACCTCACTCCCATCAACAAAAAGCCCCGTATCATAACAAACCTGTCAACAAAAACTAGAATAAGCACCAGCAATCAAAATTCAATATTATCCTTCGATATAAATAGTATTTCATCACCCAGATTATCTCCGTTAAAAACAGACAGATATGTATTTAAAAAGAAAATGAGTTTAACCACTACTCCATCCACTAAAACAACTTTGTATTCAACCAAATCCACATAAAAGATAAATAATAAGTTTTGACAATATATATAATATATCTACAATATTTTTAAAGAATCCAAATTTATTGTTAAAATTAATAGTTATTTTATCATAAATATAACATTTTCTTATAAGAAAATTTAAGTATTTTAGTTGTTTCAATTTCAAAATGAATTATTGATATGTGAGTACATCATCCATCTTCAAGAAACCAATCTGTTTTAATTGAGAAAGTGAGGTTGATATTTGAATTAGCAAAACAAGGCTGAAAATTATTGATATCAATCGAATATTATTACTGAAATATACATAGAGGGAGGAAGACAAGGAGGAATAGTAAGTAAACTAAAAAAATATGAGGATTCCATTCTGAATATGATTTAGTAAAATCTAAAAAGAAAATTTTCTTAAAATAACGAAGGAATGAAATGGTATTGTATTCTCTCCACAAAAAGGTATTTTACTACATTCGGATAAGAATGGAGATTATATAATATTGTCTAGTAATTAGAATAAAAGTGATAATAAAAATCAAGATGGGTATTGAATATACATCTAATAAATAAATCCATTTATGTTTAATCATATATCTGAATTGAAGAGTAATAAACTAAGTATTATTCACATAGTTCAATCATTTTTTGATATTAGAGTTCATCCGTTAGCATTTAAAGTAATATTGTTTATGAGTATAATATTGGTTCAAATCAAAATGCATCCATCTTGTCAAATCCTCATTAGATGAGATAAAATCAACTAATTGAATTTAAAATAGAAAGTTTGATCATGAAAGATGGAACACATCTAGTTTTTGAGTCTTATTCATATATTAAATGGAACAAATGAAGAAATAGCTTCTGATGAGAATATACGTAATTAGTCTAGAACAATTATTTTATTTTTATTATAGGTTATTTCATAATTAACCTAAAATATCTTAAATAGAAAATATATTTAAAAAATGATGAGAGATTATAGATTGTTCTAACACATTCTTAATTATTGGATGTGCCATTTGATAATCGCAATACTCGTAATGTAATTTAGAAGATTACTGAAATTTTAAGTTGAAAACTTATAATTCAATTAAATTGATTTGATTAAATGTTTTAGTTTTAGGAATTACATCATATAAATTAATTATAAATTATTAATCCATTTTGAATGTAAACATAGTGATATATTCTTAGGCTCAAAGAGTATCAGTTAATACAGAATGTCTAATAGTAGGTATAACGAATTTTTTAAAAATATCCACTGATTATAAATGTTGATTAGTTTCAAAAGGACCTTATAGCATTGTTCTCTATTTAAAGTTAAGAAACCTTGAAAAAATAACTAGTAAGTCTTCTTCATTAACATAAATTGCCAATTCAATCCCTTGATTTTAATTAATTAACTAGAAAAGAAAATTAAATAATTATAAAAAGCAACACAGCACAAATTAAAATCACTCTAGATGGAAGGTTCATTTACAATCAATTTCAGACTGGAATTTCATATTAAGTCTTTTAGAATAAATGTATATATCACGGCCAAGTTCACAATAAGAAACCAAACGGTGAAGGAAGTTTTAAATGGGAGAATGGAGAACAGTATATAGGTTAATGGTCGAATGCTTAGAAGCATGGCTTTGGTTAATGGATAGGAACACAAGATGATTATTATATTGGTTAATGGGTGAATGGACAGTAAGATGGATTAGGAGAACACAAATGGAATGGAGATGTTTATCTTGGTCAATGGAAAAATTCAGTTAAAAATGGATATGGAGTGGAGCAATTTCAAAATGGTGATAAATATATTGGAAATTATTATTTTGGTAAACCATAGGGACAAGGTGAATATAGATGGGTTGATGGATCCATCTATTCAGGACAGTTTTAGGAGGGTATGAGACACGGATATGGGAGGTATATTAATAAAAACGGCATCATTTACGAAGTATTATATGATGTCTAATTAGGGAGAATATTAAAAAGATTTAAAGCATGGCATTGGCAAATTAATATAAAATGATGGGAGTTCATATTCAGGCTCCTTTGTCCAGGACCATCGAGATCTACCAGAAGTTGACTATTAAAAGAGCGATAAAATCGTTCATGCTACTCATTAAAGAAATTAATCCCCTTTTATTAGTCCCCATACTTTAGAGAAACCAAAGCAAGAGTTTACTTAAAGAGACAATAAAACTATCAATTTATAGAATTAGCAATCTCAATTAAATTAAACTTATTTAAACACTTACCAAGACCCAAATTTATAGTTTTTTCATAATAAATTACAAAACTTATAATTACCTGAAATTTCCAAAAAAAAAGTTTAAGTTCCAAATAAATCCGCACGAACACACTCTATGAATTAGAAAAGGATTTCGTAATTGAATGAACTTAAATAAAATCAAAAGTCTGCTTCAATTGATCTTAAAGATATATATATTGGAGATGCATATAGAACTATCAAAAAGAAATAAAAGAATTACAAGGATAGAAGCTATTTAGACTTAATAAATAATAATAAGAAATCTATTAAGAATGTATTTGTATATTGATTCTAATTATCTTATTTATTAGTATTCTTCATTTATAACTAATATTTCAATTTGATTTAAAATATTCTTTTTTATGATCTAATTTCAATTAATTAAAAAATTTGATAAATTATTTTAAGAAAAATAATAAGTCATTTTTTTCATCTTTTGGGTCCTATGGAATTTTAGCTGAAAAACTTATTAAATTTGATTACTTCATTAGTTTAGCTAAATTTAAAATCTCAGCCTAATCCTAATCACCATTCTCAGCTTTGAATTTATCTTCTATTTGAAATACTATTAAATTTAAATTACCTTCACTCATAGGTTCTATTTACAAATCCTATAATCTTTATTCAATTTTGACTTCCTAAGCAATCTGATTAACTTGATTCCATATTTGAGAGTCTTTTCCCAAGTCAATCAACCAATCTTATTTTTGCTAAATTGAATTATCAGTAATATAAACTTACCAGTAGGAAGATCTATTACGGACCCAAAATACTGCCTGGTCTACATATACGAATCCATCCTATAAAGTCTTAAGCTGGAAATCTAGATATTATATGATGATTAACTTGTAATGCTTCATTGCATAAGCAGCTATCAGAGTACCTGTACGACCTAATCCTGCTTTGCAATGAACTGCAACAGCTTTTTCTCTTTCAGCGATTTCTAAAAATCTTAGAATTTTATCATCTCCTGGCACAGATCCATCAAGAAAATATATATCTTCATGCTTTATTCCATTTTTAATAAATCTCTATTCTTCATATTACTTTTTGTTTAATCTCACAACACAAGTCACTTCAAATTGTTTGAATATGGGAACATAATCTTCAGGAGTAAATGTTCGGTTCTAATTAACTAATAATGTTGGAGTACTCCATCTGCATCCTTTTAAGTTGCGGAAGGTCCTGAAAAGGCTATTAATTTATTCGGAATGATCCAGTTCAGATCTCCATTGTCTACTCTTTCATAAAATTCATAATCTCTAAGATTGAACTTTCTAACATCAAACCACTTTAATTTTATTGCATACTCGAGGCCTCTCAAACAATGAAGGATCTTTGCTAATATATTAATTCTACAGTGCATTTATAGTTGCATTGTCCATAAGTGGCATCTCTGAAATCCTAGAATTCTGGCTTTACATTTAAAAATGGCTTCCATGCGTCGTCAGCACTGTATTTCAGAATTATGATTTGGAACGCACCCATCAAATAAGCAGCATTTGCTCTTTTAGCACTATCCAGACTTGTATAGTGATAAATAGCATATTTTTGATATGTCTTATCGTTCAGCAATTTCTCCAGTTCTGTCACAAATCGATAGGTGTGACCCAAATTTAGAGGGCCAAAATCAGCAAAAAATGGTTCATATACAAGATTCTAAGATAATAGTAAAATACTCTGTACCTAATCAATACAAAAATAAAAAGCATTTGGCTGGTTACGAGGAGCCTATCGATCTGAGATCCAATATAGTTTATCTAGAATTCAAATAAGAAAATTACTTGTAATGATTTCCACTGAACCAGCAATAGGGATTTGATTAGACTACATAAAATATAATATTTTTATGATATTTTTATAATCTAAATTTTATAGCATAAAACTACGATATAAATTATAAAATAATCATATACACCATTCTATAACTTATTACAATGGAGTAGCGACCAATCCATTCTGATTTTAATAACTCAATCATATATACAAATAAGGAGTCGATATAAATACAATTTATGGCCATTTTTTATTTACAAAATTATAAATTTTGTTAAATTATTATAATCATTTATTTGAGCGGAAAATAATGAGCATTGACGATATTTATTTAAAGAAACCCAAAACTAAATTTACTATTGAATCAGGAAGCAGTGATGATTTTACATTTACTTGTGCTTCCATGTAAGGATGGAGAAAAACAATGGTAATCAAATTAATTAAACTTTCATTTAGGAGGATGCAATTATAAAAGAAAAACTGTCTACAGGAGAATATTTATTTGGAATATTGGATGGCCATGGAGGATTTGAAGTTTCCTCTGTTGTATCCAAATATTTACCGCGCTTTTTGGAATCAAATATCAAATTTAGAAATAAACAATATGAAGAGAGTCTGAGAGAATCTTTTATTGCTATTGATAAATGGTTAATAACCTCAGAGGGACTTTAAGCTCTGGTAGAAGAAAAATATCAAATGCCTGTTGATGATTGTATAATGACATAATATAAAAGTGATCAAAAACATTAAGAATTAAAAAAAACAATTGAATAAAGAGTTTTTCGATTTAAGTCAACTGGCTAAATTGGCATCCAAGAAAATTGTAGAATTGATTGGAACCTCGATTATCGATGAAAGTGGGTCTACTGCCAATATTATATTAATAACTAAAGACTCAGTCTATTGCGCGAATATCGGCGACTCAAGATCTGTTGGTATTCAAAAGGGAAAAGCCATTATAATGAGTTTCGATCACAAACCTACTCATGCGAAGGAGAGATCAAGAATTTGTTAAGCAGGCGGATTTGTAGCTGATGGAAGAGTCTGTGGAGCACTTTCACTCTCAAGAGCATTTGGAGATTATCAATATAAGGATGATATGGTGATAGCTATCCCTGAAATTAGAGTTTTTAAAAATATTTAAATGATTTTTATGGCTTGTGATGGAATATGGGAAGGCTTAAATGATTATGGCGAAAATATCACTTAAAAGATATTTAAAAATAATAGAGAACCTTGTAATCATTATATTAAATATATTTAGCTGATGAAAAGTTAAAATCGTTAATGAATCAAATCTTAGCTCCTTCAATGACAGAAGAAACTATTTGGGGCTTAGATAATATGTCTTGCATTCTGATTGACTTTAAGAATCAATAAATTAAAAATAATAAAAAACCATTAAAAATTAAAAAAACGATAAAAAAGTAGAAAAAATGAGTTAGAATATATTTATTTCCTTTTTGACATATTCAAATTTTCCTTTAATTTTTACATTATAATGGATTTTGTTATAAATTGATAAATTTACCACTTTCTAATATTATTTTGGTTTAGGTAGTTTTAGGTTATTTTTAGATTCGCATATGTTTTTCTACATATATTAAAGATATATTAATTTACAACAAAGAACAATAAATTTTATTAAATATAATCTTAGAATTTCATTTATTCATTATAAATTACAACAAGCCATATTCTACATATAATTTATTTTCATAATAATAATTCTATTAGAAAATAAAAATTTGCTTTTTAATTATATAAAATGATAAAATCAAAAATATAAATTCTGCAATTAGTTTGTTAATATTGCTAATTCTCTATCATTGGGAAAGGCATTGTATTTATTAAATAGTTCTTGAATTTACTTTTTAATAATAATAGACTCATCATTATTATTGGCCTTCTTTAGTATATATTAAACATAGCTTTTTTTAAATGATTCTATATCGATCTATTCCTATAACAATTGTCTGATGTAATCAATTGTAACATTGCTGAAAATTTATGGGTTAAACTATGAATTTTCATCAATATCAGCATCATTTTCAAAATAGATTAGTTTCTTGAATTGTTCATAATTTATTTTAAAGTCCTAGCCATAATTTAATATTAGATCTCTTGGTCCACCTTTGATTTGGATTCTTAATTTTCTAAAACCTGAAAGGAAGTCTTCCTCTGTTATGAATCCTTTATTTTCACAATCAAATACTTTGAAGATCCACTTACAGCAAAAGTCATGTCTCTGAATCAATTTTTACTGTGTTTTTTAAAGAAATTTACATTTAAGAAGCAATTGATACAATAATTAGTAAGCAAATTTATCGAAACTGGTTATTTCAATATTACATGTCGTCTTATTTGATTTAGGAGTGAATGTAAAATCTTATAATTTCTTTGTTAATTCATCTACAAATTTGCTACTGGTATTACTATGGGTTTAATCACTATTTAGTAGTTTGAGTTAAGCTTGTTTATATTTAACAGTGGATCTCTATTCAGGAGATTGAAATGAATCTTCATTTTAATACGTGAATTATTAAAATGCATTTTTCTTGAATGGTGATTAGGCTTTTTCCTGTTTAATATTTTCATGTTCCAACTGTGGTATGACAAAGATATCCATTAAGTTAATTTAATCGATTGTCTCATTATGATTGCCCATCATATAAAAATAATTTGCATCTTCTTGAGTCAAATTAAAGTATTTTAAAAATTCATTTATGTGAATGATTCCATTATTATTCTAATCTAATTATGAAAAGAGTTTAAAGTAATTAAAATTTTCTTTTTCTAAACTCTTTTTTATTTCCAATTATTCTCTTAAATAAATTAATAATTCTCCAAAGTAGTAAGTAAGCCCAGTTTCTATAATTTCAGGCAGACACATTGATTTTTCAATAAAGTAAGGCTCTCTGATTGCAGCTACAAATCTTTTTTCACGATTAGTTTTTGATAGTATTTAAATAGCAAGACTAGATTATAATAATGGTCTGATACTCATCAAAAGTAACTCTGCCATCTTTGTTGACATCCAAATATTTAAGGCATAGGAAAGCGTCATAATGCTGGCAAGAAATATCGTTATCTTAGCAAAACTGAAGGATATCGTATGAAGTAATATGTCCTTAATTATTTGAGTCCAATCTGTGCATGATGGGTTTGAGAGAAAATAGGGACTATTAATTTAATTCAATTCTTATGTTTTCCAATGATTTTTCACATTCAATTATTGATGAAATTAATTGTTTAATCATTAACAGATAAATAATAATATTAATACATAATGTCAATTTTTAACTATATAAAATTGAATAAGATAACTTAAAGCGATTCCTCCTAAATTGAGTATGATGTCTTATCTTTCGTTGAAGAAGTTGAATACTTTTTTCGGGATAGATTTTTCTAGTTGAGCCAAGGAATTGTAATAGGGTAATTGGGATTTGAAGTTTTGCTAATACACAATAGAGCTAATATTAAGTTAAATGTTAAACTTTTAAGAGAATTAAATATGTTCTTGATCGCAAATGAGTTCAAATCCATATTGGCTTTCTAGAGCCTTGGTTAATTACAGGACTTATTCTATTTTAAGGTCTGAGATTCTATCTTTGTTATTCAGATTCTAAAACAACTCCTAGAATTCCCCAATAAGGTCGTCTTCATTTCTCAAATCCAGGACTTCGTGATGGATGACAATGAAGGCAGCACAAACATACAAGACAGTATTCTGTTTGGAACACAAGAGGAAATCCCAAATTCTGCAGATATCGTTGATATTGTCTAGGGAGTGAGAGAACCATGTTAGAATCCATGGAATAACACAGGTGGGGTGTTCAATGCACAACATCAATTGTCTGAGTTTAAGGTTAGAGGTGTCTCTGGAGTATCGCAACAGGAGATTCCTAATGAATTGATATTGTGGAGTGATTGTAGTAGATAATTCTTGAGCTAAGTAGTCTTTGAAGAAGTTTTGGGCAGCATAAGTAGCTGCGATATAACCTTGTTCCACGCCGAGGACGAGTATTAAAATTGAGGCCACATCGTGATAGCCTTAATAATAGGAGTAATTGGGATTTTGGCTGAAAATAGTGTCCAAGACGTCCATTAAGCATCTTCTTAATTGATCTCTAGACTTTAAAAATCGCTTATACATTTCTTTAAAGTTTTTGACTTGCTGTATGGTATTCAATGATCGATTGACGTCCTTCAACAGCTAATCATGTTGGAGACACTTCTCTGCTTCCTAGTATGGTAATTGTTGATCTACTCCCAATAATTTGGACCAGATTTATCTTCTAAAATATCTATTGGAGTAGCATTGAGGCAAACATACATATTGTGAAATCCGTTGGTTCGGCCATATTTCCGAATTTTCTCATAGCCGACATCATGGGGAATGTTGTGAAGGAGAGATCGCAGATTTTAAGAATTATCCATATAAAAAATAATATTTCAAAAATAGAGTTGTTGTGGTAATTTTAGTTGGAAGACTCAATAGATCGATCAATAGTCTACGAATTAGCTCATGAATTAGAAATAAAAGTTAAAGATTTACATTGTCTCAATTAAAAATTTATTATTTATTGTAAGTAGAGATTTGAATGATAAATCAATAGTTGTTGCAAACTACAAAGTGGGTACAGGATAGGGATGCGAAAGCGTGTAAGAAATGCTAAAATCCGTTTAAGGCCATATTCCGAAGAAAACATCATTGCAGAAATTGTGGGTAGTTGTTTTGTGATAGGTATTGATTTGTATATAGAACTTCAGTTGTTCAAATTACTTTATGGATAAAACTAACTTCAAGAACTATCAGGAGATCAAAAAAAATAAAGTATGATTCGTTTTGATCAATAATAAGGTGCGATTGTGTTAGGATTGCTACATTGACATCAATAGAAAGTTGAGAGCAAGTGGAGAAGTGGTTGAAGATAAGAATTCCCTCACCGTTCTTAATTCCTAATAATTGAGAAGACATTCCAAATCATTTAATGTGACAGACGAGAAATTGCCAGAATCTGCAAAACAAGTATATATTGTGTTTCGATTTATCAAGACCTCCCCTCCTCCCCCTTTGCAGTTAGTACCTCAGATTGCAATTGACCCACAGCCACGCTCACAGAATTGCAAACTTCAAATTCCCGATACAATAACTATGGGTGATGACATCGAACAAAAGTAAAAGAAATTTGAAGAGAGGATGATTTCCAAAGTAGAAGAATTCGTGGAAAGAAGAACTTTGGCCTATGGAATCAAAGAAAAGTGGCAAGGAATGATGCTCCAATTTATACTTAATGCGATTGAATACTTAAAATAAGCAGAAATTTTACCCTTAAAAAATAAAATACTATTGATTAGAATCAAAATAATCCCCTTTATTCATTATGCGTCTACTCGATATTTACGAGGAGTCACCATCACCAAGAATATCGCTCATAAACGTATGAAAACTCATCACAAATCCCCTTCTTTTTTGTTACTAACTGGGTCGCTTGATTTGGACATTCAAAATTTCGATAATGTAGTTAAGAATCATAATAAATATCTACAACAAGCTTTGGAGTAAATAGACATGCTTAACCCAAATATCATTTTGATTGAGAAGGGCATCAACAACATTTTGTTAAATGAATTCTTGAAAAGGGATATCACTGTATCTATTCAATGTAGTACAAAACAACTCTAAAAAGTTGAAGTCGCAGTTAAAGCCAGAATCTAGAGGGCTGCAGATGTGTTCAATAAGTGTTGTGATAAGGATTGCTTGGGCAAGTCCGACACAGCATTCTATGAAAGTTGTGATCCAGACTCTATTAAACAAAACTAAACCCTATATAGCAGATTGGATGAAAAAGACAAGGCTTTACTCGAAGCACATCTTGGAAAGAAAAACAAAGACAAAACATTGTTATTCATTCATACACCTTAATATGCAACCTCTTTTTAAATTACGTTAAGTGGACCCAAGATAACTGAATTGATTGATGTGAAAAAATGTTTTCAAGAACTTTGCTGCATTTGCTATTCGATGTCTTTGGAATTATCAATGATTTTGTTGGATTAAAAATTAAAATAAGACTTGGAATAAAATTACAAGTAGATTGATAATCAAAAGTCTCCCATGATGAATTCTGGAGAAATATCAGATTTTTCAATCTAATCTATGACAGAACATGAAAATTAAGGATTTAAGGTTTGCAAAGTAAGGTTTCATCCAGCTGTCATCAGCACCATCCATGACATTCAAAAACGAAATAAGTAAATATTAATACCATTAAAATTAGTGACCAGAGTTTGGAAAACTACATTAGGTAGAATATTAAAAATATTAATAATAAGAAAATTTCATATTTTAGTTAATTTTGTAACTTTACTAAAGAAGTTGTCAAATTTTACGAAAATGAAGATTTCGGTTTGGGTCATTATATCAGTAGCAAGGCTATAGATACGACTACCAAATATTGTTCAATTAAATAAATACATCATGTTTCAATCAGATATGGGCCAGGAGCATTCGTTAGATGTGTGGTAGAAAGGAAAAAACAATAAAACTTGTAGGTTAAGGCTAGTGTCAATTTATCCAAAGAAATCATTAAGAAGGAATAAAGTTTCCTATAAATGCAATATGATGAAACCTCAACTTAATGCGAAGCCGTCTAAGGAGACTTGGATTATAAAGTTCATCAATAGTTGAATACGAACATTATTACTTACATCAAATGTCTTAATGCTAATTGTGATAGATAGTTAACTAAATCTTTTAAATTGGAAAGAAGTCACTTAGAATTCTCATTCTAAAAACTAATACAATATCTCATCATGAGTGCTCTAAAATGGAAGAAATTAAATAAGACAAACTGGCTTGTGTTTGAGGGAGAACTTAATGAATAAGGAGATCAATTTGATGGTTGCAATCACAATTAAACTGAAAGGGTGTTTGAATGTAATGATTTCTAAGTCAAATTGTTTACTAATTTATTTGATATTTATAGGATCAAGCATTTTCAGTTCAATTGTTAAGAAGTTAAATAACATATTGAAAAATGTGATTAAGAAGAAATAGATAAAAGAAGGGATACTTTAATCTCTCATTTACAAAAATTATAATAGCAAATATTAAAGAACGATAAAAGTGTAAGGAGTAGTTATATGACAAATTCCACTTTGAGTTTTGATAAAGATCCTAATCCATTCATTCAAGCCCCTGAAAATTCTATAACTTTGATTGGGAATTTTATGGAAAAATTGACATAATCACCCTTTCCAGATTTCCTTGCATTGGAGCAAGAGAGCATGTAACTCTACTCGCGTATCTATTCAATAGAAATAACTGACCAATTAAGGATTTCCAGAATTAAAAATGATAACATAATTTCAAAATAAAAAACATCCTAATTCTCATTTGTAACAAATGAAAGTGGACCCGTAATTAAGAATCTATCTAAAAAAATCTTAAAAGAAACTACAACTACTTTGTCATCTATTAATGAGAATTCCTTTCCAATTTAGCTATTGCCTACCTAATAATATACACAGTCACCTGAATCTCCTAGCTAAGAGAACTTCAATTAATTTGAAGATTAATCGGAAATAGGATTTGACAAACAATACGATAATGATTAAAATTAGTAAAATTCTATCAAATCATTTTTGTTAAACTGGCCTAAACCAGCTATCAATTTTGATTAAAGTAATATGCAAATAAAATCTTTTTTTGATTACATTCCAATTTATAATCAAAATGATATCGGATTAGTTGCATCAGCTCTGAATCATCCAAAATACTATGATTTATATGAAAATAAGTATAGATTCACTGAATTTTGGGAAAAGATACAAGATTAATCTCTCTAAAAGGAAGTTGAAATTGAGGCTGCTAAAATCCTAAAGGATTAGTTAAAAAATGCAGTTATCGAAGAATTCCAAATTAAATTATCTAAATTTACTGCACTGATGAAGAAAACCAGCTTAAATAATTTATAGGAAGTGGATGAAGATGAATAAGCTGTAATTTAAAATACAGCAGAATCTCCTAGAAGACCGTCTAAGTCTGTTACAATCCAATTATATTATCCAAAATAATTTGAATGCTTTAGAATGTTAAATGGAATTAATATCAAACAGTTTATAAAGTCAATTGCAAGTTGTTCTAATTGGAATTCTGCAGGAGGAAAGAGTGGTTCGACTTTCTATAAATCAGCTGATAATTTATTTATCTTCAAAGCAGTTAAGGAATCTGAATTTAGCATGTTTGAATCCTTTGCTCCAAAATACTTTGAGCATCTTTATTCTAACATCTTTAATCAAAGGCCTTCAGTGTTAAATAAAATCTATGGAATGTTCACTATTAAGAATTCAAGAGGAACGTCCTACCTTATTGCAATGGAAAATCTATTTTGGGGTATGGAGGGCGAATTGACTGTTTACGATCTCAAAGGTAGTAAGGCTAAAAGATGGAATCGTAAAAATCTGAAAACTCTCCTCGATACCAATTACATTATAGATCGAAATGGTGAACCGTTGCCTATTTAGGAACAAGATTTCAACTTCTTAGAAATAGCACTAGAAGCCGATTCTGAGTTTTTACTTGAAGTTGAAGTTGTTGATTACTCGTTGTTGTTAATAATAGATAATTAAAATCATTAGATTAAATTGTCAATCATAGATTATTTGTAATGCTATGATTTTATGAAAAAAATGGAAACTAAGTATGATTTAAACATTAATTTAGATTAAAAACTGCTATTAATTTCGGAGCTGCTCCAACCATTATCAAACCAGCAGTATACAAGGAAAGATTTATTGACGCAATGAAAAAATACTTTATGGGAATATACTCAACACTATGATATATTTATTAAAACAGTAATATTGATGAATAATAAAAAATTTAAAATTGTATTTTAGTTATAAAATAATCAAACCTATCTTTTAGTAAGCTATCTCCTACAAATTTATAGAAAAATAATACATAAAATACTTTTACGGTTTATTAGTAGGTTTTGGATAATATAAAACCTATTTTTACTACTATTTGGCTAATTCAGCCTTTTTCCTTAACTCCTTTCCTCTAAAGATTGCAGTATAGAGGAAAGAATAAAGAGATTAGATGGGGAAATGCTCTACTTGTTTTTGATATTTTTCAATTAGTTTTAACACTGTAGAGATGTTATGCTGTGGGAAATACTTTCTAAACGTCATAATCTTATCAAAGTCTCCGACGGATGGAAACGTAATGATAGGCTATTTAAATTTTAGATCATTTACAAATTCAATGGTTAAATATTAATTCTCTTATAAAGCTGCTAAGACATTATCAAAAACTATGGCTGTATTGTTTGTTTTGGTAGTTCCCCTTTTGATTGAGGTTCTGGGTCTAATATTAGCCGCAGATCCAGCTGTTTGTTATTAGGTTGATGATGCATTGAAGGTGACTTTCTAAGCCATTTATTGCTGATTTTTTGGATTTGGATTTGTCCCTGAATTTTATGGACTTTGTGATCCTTTGGAAACTGATTTCCCAATTTATTATTAATGTTGACTACTAGATTCTTCTTCATATTCTTCTTCGTCTTCCTCTGATTCCTCTGAATTTTCAATGTTCTGATCAGCATTGGATGGTTTATTAAATTTATTACCGAATCCAGCAGTTTCTATAGTGTTTTTAGGATCATTTTTTCGATTGAATTCTTTTCTATTGTTCATTTAATTATCAAAATTATTATCGGCTTCTTAGTTTTTCTCCTGTTCTTAATCTTCAATTATTTCAACCTCAACTTCATCTTCATCCACTTACGGAAGATGATTTCCTTATTGAATAACCATTTACTAAGCCATATGAGATTGACCAATTTTGTAATTAGAGGATTGTTATTGCATTGATAAGATTGAATGTGTGTTAACCCTAGAGACAGATCGCGTTCTCATCTATGAGTAGGCTAGATTTAAGATTGAACCATACATCTACTATCTGAGTCTGATACATCATCTTATATTAGGACATGTGTTGCTTAGGTACCTTCTTAGGTTTCATCTTAATACTATTGCATTTAATATTCTTTTGCTATTTATTCTATTATTTGTTATTGCAACAAAGCATTGATAAATTTGGACTTTCTTGGTCTAAATAACATATAAATAGATGTGTACTAATAAGGATCATCTCGTTCTTATTAATGAGGATACAGGGATTGTTTGATGACTCTATCCTAATTTGGATTGAAATGCAAGAATGGACAATAATTGACCATGTGAGTATTGCCTTTACAACCATAGCACTTGATTTGTAAATCGGACAGATCCTGATTGATTATCACTTTATCTTTGATCATGTAAAAGATTTCTCGTTCATCAGGAAATTGGTCTAAGAGATTTACAAAATTATCTCTAGTAATCTTAAACAGTTTCCCAAATCCCTTGGAGACAACAGTTGCTGTTCTAGGTTAATTTGTAATGAAACTATAAAAACCAAAGTATTCTCCTTTCTCTAAATCAAAAAAACTCAACAAATACTTCTAAGACTTTGATATTATTTCTCTTGAATTTAACATTCATCTTATTTTTGGCTTCAAATACTACCTCCATTTCTCCCTTGTTTATAATATAGATGGAACAATCATCGATATTATTCATCTCCACTACTCTCTCTTCAGGTATTGTATTTATCTCTTGCATGAATGGAACCAAAGCTTGTTGAAATTTGAGTGAAAAATTCTTCTTAATAAAATCACATGATTCTAAAATAGATGCTCTTAATTGATATTTCAATTCAGCCTATAACCTTTCTGACAATTTGTTAATGATGCTCGACACATTTTCATCAATCATCGATTATTCTGCCTATTTTTGTAATATTTAATTTACTTTGCAAATGTAATCCAAATAATTCCTTATTCGAACTTACAAATTAAAATCGATATTATTCATTGACATAAAACTATTCATTAAATTCATTGATTCTGAATAAATTTTGTTTCTTTGAGATTTGTGGAAGAAGAAACCCAAAGCTACAATTATGATACCCACGACGAATAATGATAAAAATGAAATTGCCGCTGCAAAATATTTCTCATCACTATTCGCTATCATTATATCTGTGGACCCAACATTAGTAAGGTAAACTGCTGCCCAATGCAACGATTCTGCATATCTTGCACTATCATTGGCTCCTCTCAATTAATTTACATCCAACCACGTTTACTTATATGTAGGTTATCCTAATCCGTGCCATAAACAGGCAGTCAAATGAATGAAATATAACAAGCCACATACTATTTGAGTCATCTATAAGCAATCCTTCAATGCACCCTTTATGTTAAAGTATTCTTAAATCTAATTAAAGATCTATTTCATCTTTATAGTTTTGATCAATCCATATATCAAACACAAAGTGATTTACAAAGCTATAAACTAATTTTCATAATAATGAACTAGGATTAATTCATAAAGCAATGCAAAAATACTTATCATATCTGGTAATGCCGTTGTTTTTAGATAATTCATTATGATATGATATCTTTAACTAAACATATTTCATGGGTATTATTACTTTATAATAATTCCTTTATGGATGTAGGCCTCATTCAAGCAAATAATAATATCAAATGCACTTATCACAAAAAAAGCAATTTCGATCTACATTGTTTTTTCATCATCATAAAATTAAGAAATGTAATTTGTTTCAAATGCTAATTTATAGGGTAGCCATAAAAATATTAAAAAGAATGTAGATACTTGAATTGAATTCCACAATATTTTAAAATTACTTTATGGGTAGATGACAGATATTTTATCTAAATAACTTGAAAAGAAACTGTAAAAGACATTGTCAATATCATCTATTTATTTATCAGTTCCGAATTACAGATCATCAAGTACCTAAACTTGATACGTACTTAATGTGCCTATTTTTTTAATATATGAATTGTCTATGATATTTTTTATAAAAGACTCTTCGTAAAGTTTTTGCAAACTTTATTTAAAGACTCGCTTCTCTTTTTATAGATAATCATCATCAAAAACCCTACTATGTCCTCTATGCTTTTTTTTATATCTACTCGTGCCTCCCCCGAACCTCCTTATATCATTCACACTATTTCGATCACTATTATTGTCCCTTTTTTATTAAAATCTAATTTTTACAAAAAGTTGTCCATATTTTCTTATCTCGGACTGTTATATTTTGAGGAAGAAATATAAGAGGATTTCTCAAAAATCATTGAGGGCTATTTCAAAAACTATTAATTCATTTATTATAATTTATAATATTTATCAATTTGCTCATTTGAGTTGTTTGAAATCTCTCATTATTAATTTTATTTAATTGAGTCATTTTCAAGATTTTCATTTGTTGATGTTTTAAAATTTCACCAAAAAAAGTATTTTATATCTCAATTTTAACATTTTAATTTTAATCATTGCTACCTTCAATTACATCAATTAATTCAAATTTTGTGTGATTATTCACCCTTATCTACATATCACATCTATTACTAACAAATTACAATTTATTGAAGTAGTCCTAGTACTATTACAATTCAAATTAAAAACCTGATGATTTAGTTATTTTCACACTTATTTCCTAGTTGAATTAGATTGAATTTATAATTTAAACTCTCTATCCCACACTTATTGCTTCATATTGTAATGGATCATTTATGTATACAATAATATCTTTGAGTTCTGTAATTTTCGATTTCCTCTCATCGAAGTAATTTAAACTATCCATAACTGTTATCCAAAAACACAAGTTAGAATTTCTAAGCTGTTGCAATTCTTCTTCATTTTCAGTTTCAGAATTAAACAATAAAGCTTTTCGTTAATTTTTTTGATTTACTTTAATTAGGTAAGATTTAGAAACAATAAAGACATCAATACACGGGATGGTTCCGTTTCTCAAACTCTTGAGCGATCGTATGAAATACTTTTATTATTATTTTCCTAATTTGCTATTTATTTAAGCCTTTTTAATAGAATTAATTTTAGTAGTAACCAACAATTTAGTAAAAGGATATTATGTAATTATTTTAACCTATATGATACAATAACTATACATTAGACGTATTAAATATAATAGGATACTCCTTTAAATTTGTTACATGCAATTTTTGCCCAATCTTGATCCTATTGTATATCTAATCAAAACTTTATTCACAAACAAAAAACAACGAATACCATCCATCTGATAATTCTAAAATCCTCCTACTTTAACATTATTCAACACCGACAACTAATAAAATCATGTGCTAATTTAGAGATTAATCATTCGTCCAAATCTCTTGAATTATAGTTCGACTTTATAATCTATATTAAATAAAATATCGATATTCTAATTCTAAAATTATCTTTTAATCTGTGTAGTTGTTTTTTGATTATAATTTCCAAAAAATTAGCTTTGCTTATTGAAAAAGCCAATCCTTTTCAACATCGTATTACTTAAAATATTCTTTAATTAATTTCCAGTCTAAGTTTTCAGGTATTATTTGTAACCTACAAAATGAACTTTATTTCAATACAGAATTCTTCATTAATTGTTTTGATAATTCACAAAATTTTTCTCCAATTAAACACTTTGGTAATTTGCTAATTTTCGAAAGTAAAATGGCATTCATCTGAAAAATCTCATTATAATTATTAGGTTCTTTTTTTTTTATTGGAGTAATTATTTCCTTCTTTATTTCATCTGCCATAATTACTGTTTAATAGGAGATTTTCTTTTCTGAAAGTGAATCCCTTGGGGTTTTACTCAAAAATTTAAATCCCTGTTCAGCAAATTTACTAGGATGGTACAGTTAATTGTTAATTTTAATGGCTTCTTTAGAAAGAGAATTAAGTAAATTTAAATCATTTTTTGTTGGTTTATTTTCTGAATTTGATATTTCTTCTTCTTCTGATAGATCTTCAAATTATATAATGATCTTATTGTATTTTTCATTTTCAACTAGCTATATTTTTTAATTTTTTCCTGTTTAAAACCCGCTAATCATTTAGTAAATAATTTATATTTTAATTAAACAACTATAATTCTTAACAATATTATTATTTTAAGAACTTTTTGATTTTAAACCTAAAATTAAGTTCAAATGTTTCATTTCAATCTTTTTAATTCCATTTTAGATTTATCACACACAAATGATGGTATTCTATTTACTTTATTTTTAATGTGATAAATTTTCATTTTTATCGAGATTCAGATTCAGATATTCTATTTCTATTAAAGAGAGATTATAGAACAAAATAACGAAAATCAAGAAATTAACAATTAATCTTCATAATCACTTAATGAAATCAATTATTACTTTAATTTATATCATCTAAACTTATTGTTAGACAAAATCAAAAATAAATTAAATATAAAATCAGAGATGCAACTTGATAATCTTTAAGAAAACAATAATCTAAATTGAGTGAACTATTAAATTACAATTAGATATATCATTTGAGTTTTAAAACAATTTATCAATTTCGGGTACAATTTGAGAAGTTCTTAATTGAATTTAGGCATATAAATGTTTATTTAACACTAATTCATCAATATAAAACGAATTCTAAAGGACTAAATATCTTACTTTCTGCAAGAATTTTAGAATATTAAAAAGTTGAATTATATAAATTTTAAAATTGGATAATATGTTAAAAATTATTGATAAGAATCTTTATTTAAAAGTAGAACATTTAATCATATCATTCTGTATTTTTGGTATTTTTCAATTATTGGCTGCCTAATTTTTGGATTAATTGATATATACATAATTCGATTCTGTAATTGTTATTTCTATATAGTTCAAGGTAAATTATGAATAATTTAATTATGTAAATTTAATATCACTATTAATAGCTGATCGATGAACTAAAAATGCATGAAACAAACAGTTTATTTAGATAAAAGCAGGAAACGCTAATTGAAAAATTATGTTAGTAAGAAATAATTATGGAAAAAGTGTTCATCTATTAACACAAGAGTAAATAATTCAAGTTCTAGGAAATGTATATATATGATAATGTCATCGTTGTCAAGAATGTATATTATGAATTAAGCAAATGTTACCATGAGATCAAATTAACAAAGACTAAGAATTGCGAAGGACTTTATTTGATCGTCTTGTTTAATAATTAAGGAAAGGAATTTATTATAGCAAATAATGAAGAACAAATGAAGAGGATTCAAGTTCTCCTGAAAAGATTTTGCATAAACAAGAATTATTTTGGAAAGTATTAATTATTACAAAGGAGTTGCCTACCCATATCTTAAGCTATCAAAGTATGATTTATTATTATATTAGAATAATAGTGAGGAACATTGCACTTAAGTTTATGAAAAAAGGCTTCTAAAGGATCCCAAAGAGTTCCAAATATTTCACAATTCAATTACTATAATGCACACCTTAAAAACAAAGCATAGCACCCCAAAACTATATGAGGACAATTATAAATATTATATCCTAGGGGAAAAGATGAAGCTACAATCATTAGAGAACTTGCTATTGAATGGATTCGATTTCCAAGAGGTGCCGTTCGTATCAATAATATTTATGATCTTGCAAAATTTATAGAAGTACTAACAAAGAAACATTTATCATGGAAATATCAATCTTTCATCTATTTTCATCAATGTTGAGAATGAAACTTTAGAAATAGTTATACTTTATCCAAGATATTTAGAGGATAGCGATTTTACTATTGAAAACGATCTTTATAACTTGGGAATATTAATATATCAAATTACATTTTATACAATGTCAAATAGAATTAATTAACATGTTGATTTGGATTTGATTGATAGAATTCATAATTTGATGGCTGATTAGAATTACAAAGAAAACAAATACCCATATTTGTATAGAGTGAGTTAATTAGATCTCATAAGATAATTGTTATAACCGAACATCAGTTTATGTAGAGCTATAAAGCATCAATGGTTTGTTACTATATAGTAAAATATCAAACATTAGCAAATTCATTAATAGTTAAATCCAATTTTCTTGCCAACTATTGTAGAGATCAACGATTCTTTGATAAATTCTCCTCATGTCAAAGAGGGGAGAATAGTAAATTTCAATAATTAATAATTCTTGCAAGATCAAGGTAATTCTTATTGGTATTTATGATTGGTAGATCCTGAAGAGTATTAACTAATCAAATGCTAGATTGTGAATACGATAAGGATGATTCCTTCTAAAAGGAAACATGATGAAGTAAGCCAATGTGTGGTTCATAATTCTATAGTAAAAAGAACTTCTCTGACTGAAATTACAAAATCAACCACTGTAAAATGATTATCTTTCTATTGGGACAATTATGATTAAATCATAAGAGTTTTTAACATAATTTAATCTAAATATTACTATTTATTTTTATTAAACTTTAATGCAAAACTAGCTCAGGTTTAGAAGAAAATGCAAATCGATGAGGAATTTAAATCAAGAATCTATAATCGATTAAATCAACAGCCCGAGAGATTAGGAAATCAGTTTATTCGAATTTAAAAGGTTTTGCGTTTTATTGTAAAAATAAAGATAAAAGGATAAAGCATTGAAATAATAATAGAAGAGAGAACATCTAAGGAACTTGATGGCGAAGAAATTCAGATTGATTTACAATGTAATTAGGCTGCTTCATCATCACGAAAGAGTAATTTTGGAAAGACATGATGAAGGACTCAAAAAGAAATCTGCTTTTCTTATATTTCCAGTAAGCTATGAATTCAACTAGGGTGATCCATCTAGGAGGATTTGGGATATTATCTTACTGATTACCTATATTCAAACAGCAATTTATTTACCTTTGAGAATAGCATTCATGGATAAAGGGTCATCTGGAGTTTACTAATTAGACCTAATAAACGACATTATCTATTGTATTGAGTATCAATCGATTTATATAGTTACAGACATGCTTTGTATACTGAGATCTTGTTACTATAATAGATAAAACGTATTAGTTTAAAATTAATGGTTTATATTTTTAAATTACTTGAAGGGTTGGCTCATTCCAGACATCATAACTCTTATTCCCTTGGATTCTATTTACAAGTAATTAGTGGTTAAATAGTTAGTTTACATGTTTAATATCATAAATTCCCAAGACTCCTTAGAATATTTAGAATCAACCGTATATTCAAAGTGTCCACTTTTCATAAAAAAAAAAAGTAATTATTTAATGTTAATAGTTTTTGTTACTAGTAATTGGGAAAATGTTTTTAATATATTTAACTCTTATTAATTGAACATCATCAAGATTATAGTGAAATTCATCTATGGTTTACATCTTTTCTCTTGTCTTTGGTATCTTGCTTCAAATATCAATGATAATCAATACGAGACAGATCAAGATTACAAAGGACTATTAAATTAGAATTCAGAATACATCGGTTGTTTATTTTGGGCTTTACAAACATTTTCAACTATTGGCTATGGAAATGATGCAGCTAAGAATTATGCTTAATATATTGTGGCTATATTGTGGATGTTTCTGGGTGCTTCATTTTATTGTGTGATATTGCTTAATCTCTCAGAATGGCTAAAAAAACTTAATTCAGAATGCGTGTATGTAGAAATGTAAAATACTCTGAAGCTGTTTTTCAAGAAGATTGATGTCATTAAAGAAGTGCAGACGAAGATTCAATTGTATTTAGCATTGAACATAAAATAAAATTAAGCATGGTCTCTAAGCTTGTAAGAATGGTTTCAAAATTTACCAACAATTAGGCAAAAGGAAATTACTCTCTATGTCTCATATATCGAAATTATGTAGATTCATTTTTTTCGACTTAATCTCAATTTTTCTGTATCCATTTTACCAAAGATGATGCTTATGAAAACTTAACAAAATTGTAAAATCTGGATTAAAGATGAGGTTGTTAATGAAATTTACTTTCTAATTAGAGGTAAATTACAATATAGAACTCAATTTGGAAAAGTACTCTTACAAATAAATGAAGGATCAGTTTTTGGAGAGCAAGAGTACTTCAAAAAACTCATGCTTTCAAAATAACACACCAGAAAAAACTATGCTGTTGCCATTGAATTGTGTGAATACATTATTTTGAATGGAGATTATTTCTTTTAATAGATGAGTTCGTTTCCAGCCTTACGTTAATATTTAGCAATCATAGCTCACAATAGAGAACAAAGGATGAAGGCTTAAATCATCTATAACCGATTTGAAAGGGAGAGGGAGATTATGAATACCTTAAAACTGGAAAAAATCAAGGAAACTTGCAATATTGATGTAACAAGATACGAAGGAATGATTAAACCTCAAAAATCGATTATATATGATACACAACACTCAAGAACTTAGTAAATTTTAGAATAGTTAATTCACAATAGGAGAAATAAAATTGATAAACTTATGTAGTAATTTAAAAAAGTTGTTCAGATGATAATTTTTGCGAATAAATTAATTGAGAAACAGTCATTTAACGTTAGTAAAGTGCATCCATTAATGATATTTCAATAATAGCAATAAACCTAAACAACTTTGAAAACACAATCGAATGAATCCAGAGTATTTATTTCGCAATAACAATAATAATTCATTAATTAAAATTACTAGAATCAAAATACTAAAAAAATTGAAAAAAGCATTATAATTAAAATGAAATAATTTAGTAATGCAAGCTACAGAAAACGAAAATAATAAATAAGTAAGAAAATATGGATCCACAATTAATGCAAAAAGTATGTCCTACAATAAATGTTCAGAGTCAAATATTCAAGACATTAAATTCAAAATACTTACAGCTTCCAAGATTATGTTATAGAAGTTGATGATTTTTCACATTATGAAAGATAATTGAAGATCTTCAGAACTAATTTTCAAGACCTTAAGAAAATGAAAAAATAACTAAAACAAAATAAAGAATTATTGAAAATTCAAATTGATGATTTTGAAAAAGAACTACTTAATGTGTATACTTAAATTGAAAAACTAGAATTAAAAGCTTGATATTTAAATTTATGTTTCTCGATTTTCATTCTAACTTATATTATAAACTTATATTTAATTTCACACATGAAAATATAGGAAAGTATTTATCTACTTAAAATTGATGATATTGAATAATAATTAAAAGTCTCAGAATAATGATTTACATATACATAATAGAATGAGTTTATCAGTTTTACTTGGGTTACAACAACAATATTTACGGTTACTAAAAATCAGAAAGATATAATGATAAATTGAATGGAGTATATTTTATGAGGTTATATATATTTCTATCTTTATTCATTCTTAAACTTCTTATCCATCTTATAAATCCTATATTTCATCATTCTATTTGTCAAAATTTAGCGTTTAAATTTCTTGATAATTTTAGTTTTCTTAATTTAGATCTTAATTTTCTCGTTAATGTGTTTCATCATGAGAATTTTATTGGATATTTTTAATTTCATCTTAATTATTTATCTCTTACTCCTATTGTTCTTATTATTTATTTTCCATTTCTTCATGTTTCTCTTATTTTGATTCTATAATTTCCTATTAGTTTTCTTCTTGTTAATTTTGATGAGACGTTATTTAGTTGTTTTAATTTGTACTTTAAGCTTTATCTTCAGAAAATTAAGGTTTTTCAATCAATTCATTAACGATTTTGGCAACCTCATCCTGATAAGGCTCATAAGGTTAAAAATCAGATTCAAATATACTTCTATAAAAATATTGTTGAATTGCTTACTTTTACTAGAAGTCTTAAGGAAATAGTAGCTATTTATACTCTAGATTATAGTCTTATCTAATTCTTTGTCTTAATGAATATATAATAGTTTGTACTTGGTTTATTGACTTTTGCTTTAAACGAGAGGATCCAGTTTCTTATTGATTTGGCTATCTCTTTCTAAGAGATTATATTTTGTAAAAATACTCTGCATTTGGGTTTCACTAATCCTAGAGTTGGTCCAGTATTGAACAAGAGTTTTGGTTGGCTTCAAATCCTTATAGGGATATTCTGAGATGCTGGCAATATGTTTTTCAACGCATTTTCTTTCTTCATTCCAATCTTTAACGTTATATTGAGACTTCTAATCTTATATTCTCTTCAAGAGTTATTAATTTTCCATGACAATTTTTATCAATTCCTTTTTCCTATGATCTTTATTTAGAGACCTCTTTGGAACAACATTCAAAGAACTCGACTTATTGATTGGAAGAGTAGTAATAGAGTTATCTGGAAATGAAATAAAAAAAAAGTACTTGCTGATTGTTACCTGATATTAGTTAATTTGGATATGAGATTTTAATTTTCTCTGTCTATTTCTTGTTACTTTTGCAGTTTAATAGCTTCCTTAATTGCTTTATTTTTTAGAAAGTTGTATTATTTAGGTGCACTTGTGTTGATTTGTGGTCTCATGTTTAAGAGGTGTTGATTCAATATTACTTGATTTTAAAAAATTTCCTTAGTGGCACAGATTTTATTTCCGATTGGAATATTTCGATTCATTTTATTATATTTTAATATATTTACAAATATTAATTCTATCGTTACCACAATTGTACTAAAATTTTATGTTATTATTTACATTTCTTGTCTTTGACTAGTGATGATAATAGGGTTCTCATTAATTTAAATTGATGACTCCAAAAGAAGGAGATATTTATAATTGATATGTGTAATGAACCATTGAAAAGAGATTGAGCAATAGAGGAAGTGAGTAATGAATAACAGAAAGAATAATTAATTTTGTGAAGCATATTGAATGCAAAATAAATAGGGATATTAATTTGTATTATTATTAATTGAAATTACTTGATATTTTAGATTATCTTCAATTAGTATTGATATCAATTGAATGATGTAGTGCATAGCTTAGTAGATATGATGTTTAGCGAGCCATATAACGTTTCAAATAAAATAAATATATTTTTAAAATGATCAAGAAATTATCTTTAAACTTTATCTCCTCTGAACTTGAATACTCCTTTAAGAAATGGGTTATTGAACAGAATTAATTCATTTATGAGACCACTCTTGCCACAATATCAGTTTATCTTTTAATCAATCTAATCAATTACAATAACGATGTCATTTGCATCATTACAACTTCAATCAGTCTGTGTATTGAATTGACGATACTTTTTTTCTATTAGAAATATCCTTTGTAAAGGGAATAAATTCAAAGTTTGAATCTCATCATCTACGCCATTACAATTGATATTTATATGATTTAAAATCAAGCTCAAGATACCGTCACAGAAATGGGGATGCTGAAATACAGTATGCAATCTAATATTATAGAGAAGTATTGTATCTATAAGGGAATCGATTTAGAAGCCAAACTTTGCTTTTTTTTCTCAGTTATGGAGTGGAGGTGTCAATCTCCGATTGGAATGTGGTTCCACAAATAGTTCATGGTTTGTTTAGACTCTTCGTCATTTTCTGTCGTTACTAGGTCGAAATGAAAAGAAGATAACATTATTTGGCATATAGATCTTAGATTTAATATGAAAATTTAATTGAAGAACAATTGCCAACTTGGGTAGTCTTGATTAAACATGACAAGTAATAGGGTCAATTGAAGATCGACAAAATTAATAAAGTAATGAGAGAGACCTTTAACATAGTGTCTGATCAAAAATTCAGAGAGTTTCTGAGAGATTCAAATATCTTGCCTTTGGAAAGACAACCTAAGAAACAATTTAATTTCGAAGAGCTTTTGATGGAAGACTTGCTTGTAAAATAGTAATCGAATCAAATTAAAAAATTTGAGGGCTGTTTTATAAACAATCAAAAAAAATGGTAATTTTAAATCACCAAAATCTACTTCAATTCAATAGAACCAACAATATTACTGTTATTTATAGAATAAGGAGGCAACCAATATGAGTACTATAATCATCAGCTCAAGTGGAGAGATCAATAATTAGTCAATCACAGCAAACAATGTCTTAATTATATTAAAGATTAAATCAACATTCTCAAATTCATCAAGTTTCAATCAAATGCTGATTAATTGTTTCACCTAACCAATTAAATCTGCAATAGTTATATTCTATTCAACCAAAGTTTAAACATACATAATATTACTTAGATTACATACAATAAATTAAAATATAAAATCAATGAATTTAAATTAAATGATTTAGTGAATCAATTGAAGGAGGATCTCAGATTTACTAATAACCAATTAAAATTGAATATCATCTTGAAAACAGATAGATCGAAAATGATATCCATTATCTTAAGTATAACTGAGTTCATCAAAATCATGTTGGCCATCATAAACAACGATGAAAAACAATTGTATGACTGTCATCCTTCAGGACATCCGATCTAGATCAAATTCAAAAGAATCTAAAACAAGCCTGGATACTTGAAGATTATTATGAAACATCAACTCCTCAAAATACCACTTTAGATTTAGGAGGCTTTGTCAAAAGCTTCTTCTTACACTGATCATAAGAAAAGGAATTGGGGTGTCAATCATTATTATGAGAACATTTAAAATTTAAGCGATCAGATTCATGATTTGAATTTGAAAACTCAGAAAGTTACAAAGAGCCAAATATCCATCCAGGACCCTGATTCAACTTTATAACAACAACCCAAAGGAATAAATTTGAAAGGGAGTGCAGAGCCGTTTAGTACTTTAGGCTTGCCGTTAGCTTAATACTTGATCAGTTAAATAGGACCCAATAATCAAATCAGTTTTAAAGACATTTAATAATAAAATATGGGGGATTCTTTGTCCTTTCGAAATTCAACTCCATAAACCAAGATCAGTTTTGTAATTTATGAAGATTTGAATGATTTTATATATCAATTGAATGAGCAAGAACCCAACCCCTATTTAGACTGCTTTTGTTCAAATGAAGTCTAGCAATCAACTTTTAAGACATTCCATAGTTTATCTCCTTCACATAAACCAAAAAGAGGAAGCTTGTAATCATTAATAAATACTCAATTGAATTGAATATAATTTAATTAATTATGCTAAATTATTAGATTTTAATAGTATACTCAATAATATATTGTTCTTACTCAGTATAAATACCAATTGAAGAAGTGAGCATCACAACTTATAAAGAGTCCGGATTTAAATTGACTAATTCAAAAATCCTTATAAATAGCAACGATAATATAAAAGGTTTGATTGATGATGATGATTTAAATTTTTTGCATTTAGAATTTCATGATGTTAAAGTGCAACAACCAAAGAAAAAAGTGGGAGGTATACTAGAATAGTTTTGGAATGATGCTAAGATGGTTCCAATCAAATTGAAAAATTCATTAGAATTTATGTTTATATTTGATTTAATAATTTTAGTGAAATAGACCTCAAAAAACCCAAAAATGCTTAAGTTCTGGTGAATGAATTAAATAACAATATTTGGTCAATTTTAATATACTTGAAAAATAGTTCGGATGTAATGGAGATTAAGTTTAAAATTCCATAGAACCATGATAATGAGTAGTTTGCAAAGCTGAGAGTACTTCTTGATTTTATTTGAAATAAGTATTATAATAATTGTGCGCAATGGATAATAACTAAATCAATAGGGGGCTGAGAACCCTTAAGGAGCCAAACCACTATTAGGATCTGTTCCTTTGGGTCTTCTGAAAAGTAAAATGTGTGGTTCAGGTCTATGACACTCATAATGAATCCAACCTCTGGATTGTTGAACGCCTAGATTTCTCCATTCCATTTCGCTCAAGAGTTTTCCTAGAGTTATTGATCTTTCGTGTTACCTTTGGTGATCTTTTTGAAAATATGCTTGGGGAGGATTACATGTCTGTATTCGTAGTAATCATCTTGATATTTGTCCGAATATTCGATATCTTCTGGATAGTGTGGCATCAAATAGTAGTTAGATAAATTAAAATTTAAAATAATAACTGCTTATGTTTTGGAATTTGGTAATATTTTTAATGTTGATAAATCACCTTCTAATGGCCAAAAGTGCTAGAGACATTATAGATGATAGGCCGAAAAATAATGAATAAGCTTAATGAGTTTACGGTGTTGGTAGAGGCTTATCGAAGTTGTCTTTGGTGGCTGGGATAGGATACAAATTGGCAGATTCTTCATCATACTCTTGCACCAATCTTTCAATATAGGCAGAAGAGCTATCGGTCTATATTAATATAGCATATTCTCATACCAAATTGAATGACCTGTATAGTCTAGACATGAACCATAAGTCTATGTAATTGTAAACACCCTCTCTTGGCCAATTTCGACGTCCTTTTAAGATGTCTTCCTCTTCTCCTCTTCTGACCATACCAACGAACTCAACAAAGGGCATTTAATAATCTTCTTCCATATTTAAAATATTTCTATTGAACCCTGTCAATTAATCATCATCTTCATTGTGTGGAACATTCTCATAAGTCTTAATGATATATGAAAGATCTATACAGTAGTACCAATGGGTTCTTGTCCCATTTGGATATCACTAATGTTGTCTTTTGGTACCCAGCCCAAATTAACCATCACTTAAGATTTAGTGGTTTGTTCTGGATCCTATTCAGTATCATTAAATTGCAAGGCTGTTACAAAAGGAGCAAAGACAAGAAAACCATCTCTGCCTTCTCTTTCTCTTCTAACGAAAAATCTTTCATCCTATCATAGTTATATCAATAGAGTACTCTGAAATATCCGTATAATTTGACTAATTTGTATTCCCAATCCCTAAGATTACGAGCCCAGGGATATCTATTTGCATTTAATCCATTTATTGTTACAGGTTTCCATTCAGTGATTTCATTTTCAACCTTTTCGTATAATTATTTCTATTGAGCACCTCTCCATTGATGCCATGCACATCCATAGGCTCCACCAAAGAAGACACCATAAGCCAATAATTTGATTATTCCATTACTTTGTCTTTGAGCAAAAGAGTTAAATACTTGTGTTGAAAGCATAAAAGATTGAAAATTAATATTTTAATAAAATGATCAATCAAGTCTGTGATTATCATCCTGAACAAAGAATTACTATTTTGTGTTTATACAATTCATGTTCAGAGGATCGTCTAGGATGCTAGAAGTGTCTTCTCTCATTGCACAAGTCACACATCAAAAGTTGTGTTTTGATATCAGAAATCTAAAAGAAATAAAATTGCGTCGAATTATTTGCTAATACTCAAAATGAGTAATAAATTATCAAGTTTTCAGAGGATGAATTAGTTCATAAGGACAAACTCAATAAAATCACAACTCAATTGCAATAATCTTTAAAAGGTTGTTTAAACATATATTAGATATTTAGGATATCTAAAGCAAATCAAATTGGATCTTTTGGAGCAAGAATCCAAACAAAAAACAATTTAAATGAAGCATAATAAAGAAATCTTAAATTCTTACTTCAATTCTTACGAGTTTGAGAAATTAAAGGAGTAATTAACCAAATTCAAAACTGGTTAATCAACAGAAGAACAAGTATGATTGTCCTGACTATTAGATAAATGATTTTATATCTCAAATAATAAAGGATAGACAAAATTTATAGAATGTTTGCCAGAATCAATTAGTCCAGGGATCCAAACAGAATGGATTGACCTTAGAATTTAAGGATATGGTGGTGACAGAAGTCTGCAATTCATTGGAGTCTATCAAAAACTTTATGAGAAAGGATGATTGTAAATACTATATCAATATTTTAATAGCAATCTTTTTCTATAAATCCCAACTATCACAAGAAGAAGATGCCAATATCCAAGAGACTATTAAGGGGAAATAGTTTATATTCAATGATTAAGATGAAGTGCAATTGATTTATGGATCATGCACACTCTCAAAAGGAATTTATGAATTCCAAATTGCTATCGAATATCTACAAAGTGAGTAGTAGAAACAAGAGGAGTAATAGGAGGGACTGGCATCCATTGTGAATAATTCCCCTCAATTGTATAATCCTTACTCTTAACATACTATTGGTGGACACATCAGCAATTCTGGGATATTTACACAATAGGAATATCAACACTTGCATAGAGTTTACATCGGAGTAGTGGAGGATTTGGTAAAGGATCAAATGGCCACCTATTCCATAATGTATCAGACACAGTAGTGTTGTGCTGTCGACATTGTGAGAGGAGCAGCCATCGGATCATTTCATATGAAACAATAATTAGGCGAAAAGATAGAACCAATCTAGTCTTTGTTTCATAAAAATATGAAGAAGGGATTGGTTCTGGCATTCAAAATCAATTTAGATGAAAAGTACTATTAGCTATTATAAAATATTAGCAAACTCATTTTGACAGATAGTGAAGGCAAAACTAGGTATGAAGGACAATTGTACACCATGACAGGAGACAATATTAAACCTTATATCTTAATTTACAAGAGCAATGTTAAAGTAACGATTAATTGAGTTTAAAAATATTTTTTATTTAATCGAGCATCTGACATGAATTTTGAAGAGGATAATCGAAGAAAGGAAATCTAAATATATGACAAACAGTGTAAGGTTTGGTATGAGTTCTTGAAGGAACAAGCCAACAAAATTAACAACTATTTGAATGATACAAAAAGTGGATTAGATAGCTACAAGCTGAATTTGGAGGAGAGATTAAAAGAGCTTGATGAATAATATGACTCTCATTATGAAATCTTGGATTCACTCCAAGAATAGATCTCTACTATTGAATATTATTAAGAAGTTTAAGAGGTATTCAATTTATTTATTGTACTCTAGTAAGAGATTGAAGCATACCAGAATGCCATCGATTCTGCTCAAGATGAGAAGGATAAGTATTCCAGAGAAACATTACAAAAGGAGAAAGAGGAATTGATAACTTTGATTTGTGAAATGAAACACAGTAAAATTGAAGATTGGCTTAAAACAATTAAGAAGGATCTTCCAGACGGCGATTTGAAGGATATTTTGAAGACTTGTTATCGTCTCTTTTATGGAGCTAAGACATTTTCGTTGGAAGAATTCATTGAAAATGTTTTGTCAAAGGGAGAATCTAAAACAGAGGTTGAAGCTCCAGCAAATTGGATTAAAGTATCTTATTAAACTATCAAAAGGAAAAAGGATTACAATAACAAGGGAATGAGAAACTTAAATTTAAGTTGTCTTCCTTCCTAGCCAAATTTGCTATATATAATAGACAAGAATTAAACAAAGACAGTCGTTAAATGCTCAAACAATTACTTGATTCATAATCATAAAGATAGAAATAGACAGCAGAAATTAAATTCCTCGTATCATTATTAGAAAAAGTATTCTTATCAGTTTAAAAATAGTTTAACAATTGGGACAATGCTAGTTCTGAAAATGATAAACTTGAACAAAATATCAAAGAATTAGAGTAAACCTTAGAAGAAAAACAGAACTCGCCAGAGTATATTCAATAACAAAACCATCTCCATTTTCTTTAAAAAGAGCGAGAATTTACAAATGAAATGATAGAAAAAATTACTAATGCTAGACAATCCTTAGAAGAACTGCTATCAAGTTTCTCAAAATATGAAGAATATCAATAATAACAAGTTGATGAAATGCAAAGGACTGTAGAATTTAATTCCAGAAATGATGAATTAGAAGGTCTATACGTAAAGGAATAAATTGAATAAAAATGATTTAATTTATATCTTAAATAATAAACAAAATAAAATAATATTATTTATATTTCTAATATTGTTAATAAGTTGTCTTTTTTAAAGATATTTATTAAAATATTTATTATTAATCTATTATAATTCTTTATTGAATTCTGAAAAAACAGTTACACAATAAGGTTGGTCTCCTCATTATTTTGGTTGATTTATGTAAAACCTTTAATGATAAATATATCTTCATTATAATTACTAAATGTTGTTAAATATAACGTAGGCTTCTTGAAATGGTAACGAATCTTGTATGGTTAGGTGGACATTTTTTAAATGATCAATTTTCAGCCAATCAAACCGGGCATAGTATAAAGCTTTGAAGACTTCAATTACTGAAATGCAAGAATGAGTATAGAATATAATTAAAAAGATTAATGTCGAGTGATTACGAATAGTATTATATTGTTTCTACCTGATAGGGAGTTCTACAATGTAAGCCAGGCAACTCTTACCCCAAGGTTGCAGGAGGCCTGTCGAAGGGAAGGCATTCATCCTAATGAATTATTTAAGAAGACGAGGGATTAAGTGGTGCAACTAATCAAGCAACGCGATACAGTGGGTGCATAAATTACAGAAGACATGGTGACGGAGATTGAGAAACATTTGGAAGATAAGCGAAAGAGAAGAATCAATATTGTCAGATCCTAAAGATAAAAAATACTATAGGAGGACAACAATGTTAGTAGGAATTCAAACCACATCTCCAATTTAAACCTGTCGACTATGAGCTTTGCTGATAAACAATAAAAAATGCTTGAAAATATAAAAAGGAGATAGTAGATGGAAATTGAGAAAATGGTTGAATAGGAGTAACTTAAAGAGAGGAAGAGCCATATAGCACTTCAAAAAATGTTAAAATAGCAAGAGAAGGAGAAACAATACCAAGATGAATTACAAAGGAAACGCTAGTAAAATGAACAGTTACGATAAAAATAGGAAATGGAGAGAAAATTGAAGGAGTAAAGGGAAAAAGAATTGTTGGACTAAAAAGCAAAAGAGAATGATTTGAAAGAATAGAAACGTCGTTAGAAGGAACATGAAAATATGATGAAGTCAAAATGGGAAGCAGAATAGAGAGAATTGGACAGAAAGAAAAAATAGGAACAAATGCAAAGGGAAAATGAATAATTTTAAAATGAATAATAAAGATAATTAGAAATAAAAAAACAATAATTAGAATAAAAGGAGAAAAAGAGAATCTAAATGATGGAAAGTAGAACTATTGAAAGAAAGACACAGGCTGAAAAAGAAAGAGCTGAATTAGAAAAGAAATTACAAATGGTTAAATAATATAATGAGAATCTGCTTGAAAAGAAGAGGAACGATTATAGTTTGAAAGAATAGCATGTAGAATAGAAGAGAAGAGAATTTGAAGAATATCTTGAGAAGGTCAGACTAGAGAAAGCGAGATAAGCAGAAGATAAATAAAAGTAAATCAATAAAATTATGGTAACATATATTTATTCTATTATTAACTAGTAAACTAATTAATAGAAAGAGGAAGAGAAAAGATAATAATATGAACAGAAATAATAGGAATATTAAAAGAAAAAAGAAGTTATGAATGAGCAACAAAGATAATAGATGGAAGATAAAATGAAAAAATATAGAGATAAGGAATATAAAATATAAATGATTTTATAAAAAAATGAACTTATGTAAGAATAACAAAAATATGATTTACAAAAGAAATTAGATAGAACATAATAAAAATTATAAGTGCTTGACATAAAGAAAGAAGAAGATCAAAAATAAAGGTATTAAGTTTAGACTAATATAGAATAACTCTATAAATAATCAAAGATATTGATAAATTTGATAATCTATCTAGGATGGAATAAATAAGCGAGCTGAGAAGGACGAAGCTTGAGATGAAGCTGTCTAAGGATGATGAAAGAACTGAAATGGTGAGAAGAGAAAGAGAGAATTTGGCAAAACAAGCTGAAATCATTAGAAAGGAAGCAGAAGAAAAAAGATAATAATTTATCCAAGAATTTGAGAAGAAAAAGAAACTGTAAGTGATAACTCAAGACGGATAAAGAGACAAGCAGGTTTCAGTTAATAATAGATCCTAATCATCAGGAATTAACATGAGATAATAATAATGAAATCCTTCTTGAAAAAAAATTTTGATTATAAATAATTGCAAAATTTAGATTTGCACTTCGCTCATATCAGTGATCTTCAAAATTTAAATAAAACGGTAATAATTGTTTTAAATGTCGTTTTCTTTTTCTCTCAATCTTGTTATAATTAGTAAAAATATTATAATTTATTTTGTCATTAAATCTTATAAGTAATAGAAATTTCTAGATAAGTTTTGCATTCCTATGTGAATTAATCAACTTTGTATATTATTTCATGAGAACAAATCAAATATTATAATTTAATTATGGTATAATAACTCTATTATGTAATTCAAATTTCTTAAATTCATTATTGCGTAGACTATTTTTTCATAATCTCACTAAGAATTTAAGTTCGAGTTTTTTAAAGAATTGTCTCCATTTAGGAGATAATGGTCTTTAACATTTGGCATTATTATAATTTGGCAATATCGTTAGACATCTTGAATTTAGTCATTCTCTTTTATGATTAGACATCTGTTTCTGTGTCTGACTTCTTGATTTTTTTTGATTTTCTAACAATTGATTTTTATTTTTTTTTTGGAGCTTCTTCTTCGTAATTAAATAATAAAACTGGTTCTTCTTGCAAATAACCATCAAAAGTATCATTTTTATCAATCTCAATATTAGAGCTTTAATCATACCCATAGTCTTGCTCTTCATTCTCTTAAATCTATACCTATTCCTCCAAAGCTTTCATAGATATTAATCAATACCCTCATCATTTTGATCTTCAAAGTCAATAGCATAGAAATTCATAAGTTTAAGATATTGGAAATTATAAATAATATTGTGATTTTTTTCATTCAAATCTACGATAAATATTACAGTTAAACCTAAATAATTGGAATTCCAATTTAAAAATATACGTAGCATTTTATGAACTATTTTCATTTCATTATAAACAATTAATATTCTAGTTATAGTGATCCACTCATAAAACTACATTTGAGAATAGTGATCCTCTTATGTAAGTAGAAATACATTAATAGATCAATGATTATTTGAATATCAAAATGAGATAGGTTAATATATTATGAGTAAACTAGAATTAATAATATTAATATTATGATATCAGATGACATATATTGGGTACCTCAAGGAGTCAAGGTTGATTGCACAATCGACGATTTAATCCAACCCAAAGTGATAAATTTTGCTCCCTTCTAATTTGATTTTAATCAAATAGCTAAACCAATAGAAGAGAAGAAGGAGAAAAATATTGAAGATGAAATTTTGGAATTATTGGGAATTACTGAAAAAGATTTGTTATTGGAATCAGCACTTTAAACTTATGATCATAAATTATACGTAGAGGAATTAATTTAAGAAGCTTTACAAGATAAATAACAATAAATACAATATTCACCATAACAAAAATCTAACTCGTTTAACAGTTCATTTAAAACATTGTATGAACGATAATATTTGTCTTATGCAGACAGCACCTTTAATTTTGAAGAAGAAATTAACTTTAAAACTCCAGATCTGGCCTCTTTAAAAATTTTAGTGGAATAGTATTGTAATGATAAAGAAGACCTTGAGGATTTGGAATAGTATTTGGCGAATAATCAATAAAGTAAAATAATTCACAAATTTTCCCAATTAAGAGGTTAAGCAAGATAATTGGTTTTCAATTATATAGATTTACAATAAAAAGATAATTAATTTATTGAGATTCTTTCCTAAAAGTTGAAAGAACTTTCTCTTATCAATTCAGTCAAGACAGAATATTTACTTGACTATTTTAATAAGGATTAATTGAGGAACATATTAGACAATCAAATACCAATAGTGAGATTTAAAATACTATAAAGTCTAAAAAAAGATGATAAGTTGATGATTGAATATTTTGAGTTGATATGTTAATTGCATCCTGATCAGGTTATAACAGAACTATAGAAGGGAGGTTATCCTTAAGATGAATGTCTAAAGCTGTGTAGATACTATGGTAATTTGAAAGGTTTAGCCTATTTATTGGAGAGAAGTGGATCAGTATTGGAGGCAATTAATTTATAATTCGACGTAATTGTAATATTAGATTATTTAGTTATTTATTTAAGGGTTAAAGTAATAATTGCAAAAGAATCCATAATTAATAGAAGGATAGAAGGATTTATATACTTATATTTCTGAGACCTTAGAACCTACTTTGAGTATTTGTAGAGCAAACACTAAAAGAAATGATGATGAGAGTGATGTATAATAATTAGAAATATTAAATAGAACAATTGGTTTTAGGTTTTAATTAGATTGACAAAATTAAGGTAAGAATTCTACAAAATTCGATTCTTTCCTGCTTTAAGATGTTTTAACTCGCATTTTACAAGGTTGTTAGAAGAGGTTTTGGAGAAAACGAAAATCAAAAGTTTGCTTGAAGTAATGTGTAATAAATTTATTTATTGTAGAATTTAAATGAGACTATGAAATATTTTGAGTTCCAAGAACTGAAGTCAACATTTTCTTAACTTCTTTCGGGTTAACTATATGAATTAGCTATTTATGGTTAATCCACAATGCTTATAAAGCAAACCTGTAATAAGTATTTGAATTCTTTGTATAACTAATTGCAATCAGGAATCTCAGTTGATATTTATTGCACTCATTGTTAGAAACTAATAGAAATGGCCTCTAAAGTATATATTGATTGCAAACATACATTTCACATTGAATGTTCTTCAGAACAACTTTGTAAGGCGTGCATAAATAACTTTGGAATTTTAATCAATAAGTTATTGACTCTATACACCAACAGGAAGAGTACAAGAATGCAAGTACCTATCTAAACAGTTGAATCTAATCAACAAAAGGAGGAGGACATAAATTAAAGACAAAGTAAATTAAATAAATTAAGGGAGTTTGATTATTTAAGATAAACTAATAAAGGGTATTGATTTATAAATCATTCAGAAATTGAAAATTTAAGTAATTCTATTTTAGATTATTCTATCATAAAAGCCATCTTTTGTAAAAATATCTGATTAAAATTAAGATTCTGATTTTGGTTAATAATCCTTCATAGATCTGAATATCATCTATTTGGATCTAAGTTGAAGATTATCATCTTAAGGTTGAATTAAAGTTTCAGAGTTTTTTTAGATATGTTTTTATTTTTCTGATTCTCTAAATTACTAGATTAAACTATCAATGGATTCTTTGTTTAATTTGCTATTATGAAGTTTATGGCCATTATTAATAGATTACTACACTAATTCAAGATATCTATTGACGTTTGCTTATTTTAATGGAGTTGGAATGATGAAATTAGTTTGAATGTTTTATTGCTTTAATTTTTAGTAACCTCTTAATTGTTCATAAGCCCCTTCACTTATATATACTTCAACTTTCATTTTCTTTTTATCATTTTATTTTTTCAATTTTTCTTCAGGAGATTAGAGTGATTCCTACACATTAAATAAATCATCTTTATCCATAAATATATTTTAATATTAAAGAATTAGATTATTTTTGTACTATTTTCTATAAATTATCTTCTATTTTATAATACATCATTAATATGAATTAATAATTAATTATTAAGAATATTCTATGTATCATTCATAATAAATTTACAAGTAAATGATTACTATGAAAACTTAGAATATTTGATAATATTATAACTGTACCCATAAGGTGTAAGCAACTTTGAAGGTTTGCAATTATGCAATTAAACCAACTTATCATAATTTTCAATCCTTAATGTTAAAAGCCCTTAAATCAATTTAATTTTCAACTCAATGCTTATAAATTATAAAATGTTCCAGAATTATGACATATCAAATAGGAATTCATTCCAATCTAAATTTGAAATTTCAATTTTCTCTAATTAATTGAAAGATACATTAATAAGATTATTCTTCATAGAGCAATGATTTCATTTAAGAATAATCTACTTTGGAATTAGCTCAATAGACCTATCTTGATGAGTATGCGAACCCCTCTAAAATCTTTTTTTAATTGCAATTAGAAATCTAATAATTATTTTATAAAAATGTCTAATGACTTAGGAGTTTAGAAAAAAAAACATAAATACATTGATTCTGAAGAGGAAGAGCAATAGCAATAATAGCCTGTGTAATAACCATAAGAATAATCTCCAATTGCATAAACAATCACAGTTGATAATCAGAAATGGAAATACTTATTTGAACCTGATTCTTCTGAGTAATAGGAAGGTATTAATTTGAAATCTATTATGAAGAAAAGAAAGTTAAAAAAATTCCGAATCCATAAATCACCAAATAAAAATAGCCTGAACAAAGAGTTAAGTAAATTAAATCAAATCCTGACACAGATGATTTGAGATATGAAATTTTGACTAGATGGTGGTATTGCTTTGATTAATGGCCACCTTCCGATTTTGATTATGAAGAAGCCTTGAACAAATATAAATTAAGGAAGGTTGATTTGTCAGTTTTTAAAAGGGAATCTGAGATGAATGGTCAAGGCTTTAGAAAGGTTTATGAAGTTAATGGATATAAAGGTGTATTTAGGACTTCTGCTGTACATATACCAAATTTATTGATAGGGTGATACTCTAGATCTTAGACCAAAGGAGGGTTGTCCATCCTTTGAATAAATCTCAAAGATTAATTCAAAAAACTTGCCCAAAATATTAATAAAAGGCTTGAAAGCTTAATTGGAAGACTTAATTAAGTATGAGCCTAACAATAAATAATTAAAAAAAAATTTAGAACACTAATTAGCATAAATTTAAAATTAATATCGAAAATAGATGGAGTGATAATTGTGATTTAGATTTTATGTAGAAGTAGTGAAACAATAAAACAATAAATAAATTATCTTATTATTCATATGCATGATCTAGTTCGTAGTTTGAAGAGTAATATAATGAGAGTCATTTATATTTAAGATTCAAAGATGAATCAAGCTAATAAGTTGAACTTCATATTTCTAAATTCAATACAAAATGCGATTAATTTGCTGATTCTTATTTTCTAACTATTTGTCTAAATCGTCCTTATATTTTGTCTAAACAACTTTTTTCCTTGTTTATTGATCCCCAATCAATATTACATTTAAAGTACTTTCTAATTCAATCTTTCTTAAGAATTATGAAATTATTCATGACTTTAGTTTATTTAAAGCACAGTAGTATATTTCAACTTATAGCTTTTAACTATGAAAATAGCTGAAAATTTTAGAAGTCACTTCTACAAAATAAAAATAAATTTGAAAATTTTCATTATGAGATATTAATATCAGAATTTTACTTAATTTGTTGGTTATCAATTAAAACGAATATTTGATACATACATGAATAAATTATTGATGAATTAATTCGTTTTTCCATTTTTTAATAATCTTATTTTTATAAATTAGAGAAATGAAGCGCATAGTATTGAGCTTACTGTGTATAGGCATATGCTTATCCATTAGTAATAGAAGTGTGCAAGAAACACTAATTGCTGAGATGGACAATGAACACGTAAATGAGCATGACTAATTGATCTTTCGTAATTGGATGTTAGAATATGGCAAATCATATGACAATGATTTTACAGCAATACATAGAATGCAGATCTTTATGAGAAATAAGAAAAACATTGAAGTATGCATAGGTTTACTTATAGATAGAAACATAATCATGTTGGAGCAAAATATAAAGCTAAATTGAATGAATTTTCAGATTAAGATTATGATGAGTTATCATTGAAAATGTTCATGCATTTAGATTTTAGCGATGACGATTTTAAATTCGGCAATCCACATTTCTTTAGCAAAGAAGACATCAAGGAATTGCGAAATCATCCCATCCTGACTCAAATGAGAGAATAAGCAAGGAAAGGAGACTCTTTGGATTGGACAAAGCAAGTAAAAAATGGTTGAATTTAGGTAACACCCTCCAGACCATAAGGAACATGCGGTAGTTGTTGGGCATTCTCCTCCTCTGATGTTGCAATAAGTAGACTTGCATTGAAGGGAAAGGAAGACTTAACCCAATTGTCAAAGACTCATTTAATAGATTGTTGTGTTGGAGATAAGAATAAGGGATGCAATGGAGGATCTCCTATTGGTGCATACAAATTCATAAATGAGAATGGAGCACTCAAGGAGAATGAATATAGAGAATATGACGCTACATAACAAGAATGTAAAAAGCCAGTAGGAACAATTGGCAAAGGTCAGATAGCTGATGTTGAAAAGGTAGACGATCCAAATTTTGAGTAAGTGAATCATATAATGAGTTTAGACAAATTAAAGAGGCTCTTCAAGATGGTCCAGTCACTGCCTTAATGTATGCAGACAAATCATGGTTCGAATATGGAGGTGGTATCATTGACACTTGTAGTTATGTCGGAGCCAAAGAGCTCAGCCATGCAGTTGTCATTGTTGGATATGGAAAAGATCATTATAAAGTCAAAAACTCTTGGGGACCAGGCTGGGGAGAAAATGGATTTTTTTAGGTTCAAAGAACTGGAGCTCCTGAATGTTTGGATAAGATTAAGAAGATTTCGTACCCAATTATTTAATGATGCCATTTATAATACACATATTTAGATTCATTATTCTATAATCCCATCAACTGTCCTATATACTATTTCTTATATATCCTTGGATGGAATTGGATCATTCTGCTTACCAAGTAATTTTGAACTTAATTCCTTTTTCAATTACTCATTTTATGGTGAAGCAACCTTGGATTCGTATTCCTATCGATCACAATTATAATATTATAAAATTAATTATGGTATATTTAAAGTTCTGTTGTCAATCCATAAGAATGAATTTAAATTAGACCTGAAATATTTGCGCTAATAAGCTGCGTATTGACGTGATTTTATATAGAATTGTTAAATGAACTTCAAAACATACTCCCTCTTCTATTTTTCTGCTCTCTTATTTGATATATATCTTCCTTCCAATATACTTTAAAAGCATTTTAATAAATTCACAAATTCATCATACCCTAAAGGTGTAGTGACTCGAAACTCTTTTTAATGTTGCATCTAATAAAATTAATAAAATTCTTCAATCACTCCTTATCGAATCATTTCATCACACCTGATACTTAAACAAAGAAGAATACCTTGCATAAATCTTTTTTGAAATATTTTCTTAAGGTTCTGTAAAAAAGAACCCTCTAATATCCATTTCATCACATAATCTTGGATCATCCTGATTGAACGGAGAAGTGATAGATTCTCCTTTGGTCAATAAAGCAAATCGCAACGCCTTCTAAATTCTATATCTATCTGATGAATTGATGGAGTCATCATAATTTTTGAAATGCTCCTTCAATAGAGCTTGTGGATCCCTACAATTTTCCAATAATTTTGATGCTTCTAAATCTGCAGCCTTTATTTAATTTTCTTCAAACTGCTCTTTCCTTGAGTTTAGCAAATAATTCATAAAGAAACAACATCCTCCTTCTAGTATGGCATTATCCCTTTATTTCAAAATCTCCATGACTTCCATTTTATAATGATAACTTGTGATTGTCTATTTCAATCCATCATATTTTCCTATGAGTTCGTAATTATCTATTTTTTTAGGCCAGTTACTCGATATTGGCCAATTCTTATAAATCTACAATTAAATTAATAATTCTTACTTACAGAGAGTCAACAGGAATTACAATTGTTTTTAATTATTCACCAAGCAATTAAACTAATTATGATTTGCCTGATCCTGTAAGTCCTGAAACAATGAGCAATTTTTTCATAATTAAAATTAATTGTTCAAATTATCAAATATATTCATAATTCATTATTAAGGTTGCTGTTGTTATTCCAAATATTTCCGAATCTGTCTCTCTACTAATTCCTAATTTTTCATCAGGAATTTCATGTTTTTCGGATCTTCATTACTCATCTCTTCATCATTTTACATAAGTTCCAAATATGAATTCTATTGCAAGAATAGATTTTCTAAGAATAAACTAGGACTCTTTTGATACTGATAATAAGCATCTCTCTTTAATTTATGACTCTTGCTTTAATCTAAGTACTTCTGAATCTACTTTTCAAATCCCTTGATTTTCTAATTTAATTAAATAAATGGATGTTCTGCTCTTTGCTACTTCTTCTCAGAATTGTCTTCTGTCACGACCTTCTGAGCTAGAAATGGCATCAATTCAGGTGAAAAACTCATCTCTTATTCCACTACAACGTCAAATCCAATATAATTGCTAACTCCCAAATGATGTTTTATTTGAATTGGTTCTGGGTTCTCAATAAACATTTTTAGAAGCATATTGAGATTAGATATAGGAATACGTTCCTATCCAAATAATTGCTTTAATTATTCATCAGCAATTATTTAATCTTTATTCTCTTTGTCTGTTAAATTATTTAACTGATCAAATAATTCAAGAAATTTACCTTCACATATTCCCAAAAGCAATATAAGATTTGCGATCTGGTGCCTTCTTTAATTCCAAGCAATTGCTAGAGAGTTTTATGTAGTTTATACTTTTAAGGGTAGGTTTAGAGAATGATTGAAATAAGTACATCACAAGCTGGTCCTTTTCTTTTGATATGAAATCCACTTGTTTCCTGTTGTTATTTTTATTATTATAAATGATTCCTATTCCATTATATTACATTTTATGATGCATAATATGTTTTATCAAATTGGACTTCAAGTTATCTGATAAAATAGGAGAAAGGCTTCTTGTCTTCTGAAAGCACTTAGCCTTTGATATAAAGATTCCATTCATCACAAACCAATTCAGAGTATACTATAATTCTGAGGGTCTTTTTTAGATATTAACCGGGTTGAATGAAAGATTCTTATAACTCAATTCGCTTACTTTTAATCAATTAGTCAATTCGATTATCGTATCTTTGAATAGTGATAGGATGATTACTTAACTAAATTATTCAAAATTTTAATTTATGGACATAATTGAATTGTTTCATCATCAAATTGAATACTCGATTTATCATATAGTTATTTAAGTTGTGTTTTAACATCTGGCTATCTGACAGGTTATCTTTATTATTATTATGGCTATTGTTGAGTACTTTATTATTATTATTGAGTAGCCATTTTATTATATATAAATAAATTTACAATCATTAGGTAGTCAAAATATTGTAATTGGTAGGAATAAATATTCAAAAAATAAAATCCTATCCAATCAAATAATCGAATTTCAAGTGGAATATTATTTTCAAAATCAATCAAGTGTTAATAACCTCACTATTGATTTGAAGATTCGATGATAAGACTATGATGTATAAATATTCAATTTAAAAACCGTTTTAAATTCTTAGATGGGAGGAGTCATTTTATAAATAATAAACCGAACAAAAATAGAAGTTTGATAGACTATAGATAATTTATTTCCGTCGAGAATAATAAAGTATGGTATTATAAATTAGTCAGTTCAATCCTGTGTGTAACTTAGATAGCCAACCTATACTTCGTCTGACGTCATGGGGTTATATTGGGCTTCTCTTCGGATAGCCCGAAGCATTAACTTTTAATCTAGAGGATGAGTGTATATTTTATTACATTTTAGGAGAACTTTGATTTTTGATATTCTTTTTGAGCTTACAGACTTTAGGTTGAGAGATGCCATCTCTTTGGTAAGAGATCGTGTTGAATTCTTTTAGGTTTTGGATATACTGCATGGTTGATATTCAACCTCGTATTCCTATTGATTAAAATTGCATTGATTGATATATTATTGAGAATCATTATGATTTTGCTCCTCTTCGGCTTCAAAAAAATTCATATGATAAGAAAAATAATTTAAAAATCAATATAAGATTTGGTATATGTTTAGAAACAATACTGGATAGAGACAAGTTCAAGAAAACAACTGGATAGAAAAATATAGAATAAATCCCATTTGAGAATTGCACTCTTTAATCAAGCAAAAGATTTTGTAAAATCTTGATAATATTTTCAATTTCATAGCCATAATATTTATCAAATTTATCTTCGAACATTATCGAAGAGTCCATTGCTATATTAGTGCAAGGCCAAACCCAAACCAATTCCAGCAGAATAGCCAATGATACCTACTTTATTTTTGAAGAAGATAGATATCAAAGTTCCACTAAATAACCCTGCACTTGTATATGTAAAGGATTTGACTAACAATCTAATGTAGTTTCACTTCATTACCGATTCAAAAGTATATCAGCATCTTGAATTTACTACTCAGTATATTAAAGTACTTCGGTACTTTGTCCAAGTGTGAAGTTTTTTTGTTCGGTCATTTTAATAAAATAAATTATTATTATTTTATCTTTGTTATGATGATTTGGTATTCATTTTTATTATGTTTATATAATGATCAATCATCAAAGGGTATTTATGCAGCCTAAGTGTAATCCAATCTGCCTGATGTCGACTTCCGCAGAGTCGTCTTGATTTTCATAAAATATAAATGAATTACCTAGAAGAAATACACTAAACAATACCTTAAGCCTCCTCCAACAAAGAGAACAGTGACAAATCAAATTGGTTGGCAATTCGTAATCCAGACATAGTAGAAGACAGTCGGATGATTTGGTTTATTTGATTGAGCACACTACATAATAAGTGATATCAAATACATTCTCATTTGAACTTTCTATTATTAGCAGGAGAATCGGTAGGTGGATTTTACAACAGGTGCCACAAAAGCTCTTGTGAAAGCAAAGAAACCTCGCATCACAAATAAAATTTATAAATATTATCTGATAAATTGCTTATAATATTGTTCACAATCTTCTAATTCCTCCTCTCTCCAAAGCTGATTCGGCTTAAGATAACAACATCAACTCATTATCCCACCCGTCATTGAGTTGCTTATTCTATTCCTATCTAATCCATTATATTGACCAAATACCTAGCAACCCATCCAGCATTCACATTATCAAGATTGGCCTAAGCAGTATCCAAATTAGATTATGCATCCTTTAAAAGTCCTGATTTGGTTGCGATTTCACCATCCTTGGTTTCAATGTCTCCTTTCAATTATGGAATTATCTCGTTATTCAATAAATTGATGTTCTCCTCCAAAGAAGTCAACAATCCATTGTTGGTGTCCTTTTCCAATTGAGCATTCATTAATAAAGCCTATTTTGTGGCCACCAAATCTTCCCTCAAACTTTGAAGTAACTTGACTGCATTTCCTGCTTATTCTTAATCAGCAAACCTAAGAAATTGTATAATTACTCTAATTACCCTTATGTGCTCATTTAGATCAATACTTTTGACAATGGCTCAAAAAGATGAGGAAGATGAGATACTTCACCCAATCTTCTTGAGAATGTGGCAGCTGAAACAGCCAGATCCTCTTTGTTTACTTCAATAAATGATGACTCTATAAGAATGATTGGATTGGATTACATTTAATCAATTGCAATTTTGCTATAACTTAGTCAACTATGGAAATTGATTAGTCGTATTCTGCTGTCTTCTTTGCTGTTGCCTAATCGTTATTCTACACTGTTCTTTGCAATTATGCTTGATTTTTTTGGGAATCACTCAATTATTGGCTTTTATCATATAAACTTTATTATAAGCTGTTTCTATCCTTCTTGAATGTTGTAATGTCACTCTCATGTTATGCAACCTTCGATCAATATTAAGCTAATACTTCTGTTTTGTATTCTGTAACTTGATTTTAATAGAACTCTGAATCGCTCAAGAATTACTAAAAGAAAGAATCCAATGATTCAGCTTCATCTTATTTTGCTTATTAGGTTGATTCAACTATGTCATCTATAGCTGCATATAATGGACTAAAATCCACTTCTGTAAATTATTGCAATGATATCATATTTAACATGGTTTTTCCTAATTTACTTTTGGTCAGTAATCCGAGCTATTCATCAAACATACTTGCCTAGCTTGAACATATTTTTGATGTCATTACTTTGTAGTTTATGTGCAATACGCTATTGCGATTATACATAAAAGTGCATAAATTCTCATTAAAACGGATATTATTAATATTATATAAATATATCGATTATTTTTCATCATTATCAAATGTAATTCTTATCACCTTCCCCAATCTTCTATTGAATTCCAAAAGTATGATCGATAATTCCTTAGTTTTCATATATTATCATAAGAAGTAAGTAATATTTAATACATTCTCAAAACTCTTATTATTATTCCTTAAGACTATCAATCTCTTTGGTTATTAAGGGCTTTAACCTTGGGATTAAAAAATGTAACTACACAGACTGTTAATCACAAAAATAGCATTTCAATTATACCATTTTCACTTTTTATAAGGATCTAAATATTCCAATTAAAATGAATAGTTCATTAGTTTAGAATTATTATTACACATTTATTTAACTTAAAAAGTTGTAAAATTCAAATAAGTTATTGATTCCATCTGATTTAATTATCAATCTGATCTTGATTCTCAAAGGGATGATTTTCTGATTGTTTCTATTTATTTTAAGCTCGGCCACAATTTTCTTTGATTTTTGTTAATTAACTCAAAATATGAAAGCAATTGCGCGCCATCTATGAAGTAATTTTCTAGACTTTTCAATAATAATGCTCATGATATTCCATTTAATTTTTCTGAGATTTGTTGAATTGTGGAACAAAGTGGTAATTTAACTTGGGTGTATGTTTTATTACTTAAAATCAACAGAACATATTAAGAGAATCTGAATTGCTCCAAAATTTAATGAGTACAATATTTTTGTTAAAGGAGTTTCAAATCGTAGCAAAAGAAGGATTTGTTATTCAATATTATAGTGATTAATATGTTGATTATACTCTTACTGTTTTCGCTTCTTCGACTGTTGTGACTATTGCACCTGTCAAAGAAAGACTCAAGAGTAACATTTGCAATTTTTAATATTTCAATTATTTTACTTTCATAACCAAAGATATCAAGAGAAATTAGCAGAGAGAGTTATTGTTTCTTCAAGCATAGAGATTGAAATTACGTTAAATAATACAATATCAAGATAACTAGTCTAAAACTAATGTGCTTAGTCTTCTTCTAAACAATGGAGACTTACACAAATGTAGTTTGCTGCTCTTGATTGTTGAACAAGAAGTGGCTTCGGAGATTTCAGTGTCAGAATCCATAGATTTAAATGAGAAAATGGTTTTTTTCTTGGACAACTCAAAGTTGATTTGTTTTAACTGAGGATCTGTGAATTGATCCAACAATAACTCCTCCTCTAGATACTAAATGATTCTCTTCTCCGTATCACTTATTTTTGTAGGGGTTATCTCTTTTGCAATAGGATCATCCATTAATAATTAATCTTATCTTAATTATATTATGCTCTTCAAAATTTCTAAAATCTTGTTTTAAACTAAAATAAGATGATATTATTCAAAATGTTTAATTGTATTTCAAGATTCGCATATTAAAAAGATATTAATTGATAATTTTATAATATCAAGGTTCTAATTCCCACTCATACTATTTCAATTAGCGAGTGGGACATTCCAAATGACATTCAAGTAAATAAAACATGAAATTTCAGAGATAAAAGCTATAATTTATCTCCTTCCAATATGAGTGAATGAATGACTGAGAATAAGCCAATTTTTAAGATAGTTTATATTGAGTATTTATAATCTGAATTTAAATAATATTAAATATCAAACAATATATGAATAGTATGTCGTCAATCATACGAGTAGAACAGCCCATCAATTAGTATAATAATCAGATCGTGACAAAAGCGAATCAAAAGTTACTGATAAAAAATGATAATTTAAAAGTACCCTTATTAACTAAGTTCTTAGCAATAATTTTATTTTGACTATTTTAAACAGAAAGTAGCATTTATTACGAATGATGGCTGTGTTAAGATCTACGACATCATATAAACTAGGGAAGGTCAGAAGCATGTTTATAATTGCGAAATTGAGGCGTATGATAATTTTGATTTTGAAGTCATTAGGGAGAAATCAGTTCTTTATCGTGGCAAAGTCCTAAAATGGACAATCTGATTGTCACATGTGGAGAGGATTAGACCATACGAATATTTAAGGAAACTGGGAAGGTTTGGAGAGAAATATGCAAAATAAACGAGAATAAAAATCCTTATATAGTAAAATGGATATAAAACGAACTAATTCTAGTAGTGGGATATTATGAGGGGTACTTCGAGGTAAGACAAGGAGAGGACTTTAAATGTGTTCATAGTTTTGAAATGTTTGATCAATTGATTGATTTCGATTTACAGATGATGAAATAAGATGCCATTCTTGTATGTTCTGGACTCATTGGCAATTCATAATATTTATTTTAAATGGAAACAATAAAATTTTAAGATTAGAACAAATTTGTGAATAAAAAGAAACTTTAGTATCAATTACAACAGCAAATTCAGAATTTAAAGATAGCTCCTTATATGAACAATGGCGAAATAAAGGTGGCTGGATAATTTTAGGAGAATGCAGTGGTTATAAACATAGAATACAACGAAGAGCTGGATAAAACAATTGATAAACTGACAGACTAATTAATACCAGTTGATTCAAATTGTTGGCAATTTGAGTGGTCCACCTTTGGTAATGAGTTACAAGTATATACTGAAAGAGAAGTGAGAATATATTAGTAAAACATTGATGATAAATTTGTGATATTATGAAAGATCTAATATAGGATTTTATTTTATGGATTGTATTTTTATAAACAATATTATCAAACAAGGAATGAAATTTCAGCACAAGCAAAATTGGCTCCTTTGGCATTTTAAAACCAGAATTAGCATACGATTTTGCCCTAATACTATTTAAATCAAATTTACCGATGGAGTATAGGTAGGGAAGTTTTAAGTATGAGAATAAGTGACGGGGTCTCCCTTATCATAAACTTCATCTTCTGGGTAATTGTCTTCGAATGATTCAACTCCATTCCATTTGGCTTTGAGTAAGACATTTGACAATTCTGCATGTTGATTGGCACTTCCATAAAGAGTGATGGTCTCATCCACTCCTTTGGCTGGTTGTACACTGAATGTGGCACTAGTGAATACGACCTTAGGATCTGCCATGCAATTGGTCACTTTGGTAGGAATGGCAGCAAGAGTTGTGGCAACAAGAAGAATAATTAGATTATACTTCATTCTTTAATAATATTATTAAGCAAATCCTAGAAATGAGATTGGATTTGAATTGTAAAAATATGCAATCAAAAAAATAATATCTTTAATAAATAATATTATTATCAGGATTTACGAATACTTAATTATTAATATATAAATTAATTTAATAATGGGTTTGTATTTAACAAAACCTGAGACAGCTAAGCTAACTTAATCAGGTGAGGTATTTGATTTTGCTTATGCATCAACCGCGTTACAAGGTTGGCAAATCCAGTAGGATGAGTTTGTGATTATTAAAGAGAAGTTTGACCAAGACAACTGTTTATTCTGCATAGTGGAATAATATGGGGGAGTAGAATATGGTAAATACATCCAAGATCACATTGTGGAAGCACTCATTAATGACTAAGAATATAAATAGAAGAATTACGACAAAGCAATTGTTGGTCTGTATGAAAGATTGGACAATCAGTTGAAAAATCAATTTAAGGAGAGCACCAGCTACCAGGGTGTTACTCTACTGTTAACATTGATTACTAATGAAAACATTTATGTAGCCAATGCAGGAGTACTTCATCTTTTTGATATCATAGTTGTCTAGATGTGTGATCAGATATGATGGCAAGCACAAAGTAATGACAGTAGAACATTATCCAATAAATGATCTCGAGAAACAAAGGATTCTGGCTGCGGGAGGGGAAGTGTGGGAGAATAGACTAAATGCTCATCTGCCGTATAGTAGAGGCCTTGGAAATTTCGAATATAAATCCAATTCCAATTTAGATCAGGGCAAATAACTTCTTATTTCTGTGCCAAGCATCAAGTATGTTGATAAGGAGGACACTGAGTTAATTTTGATGGGGAGTCATGGTGAGAATTATGCATAATGAATTTTAGGGTTTTGGGAAACTTGGACCAATAATGCCATCACAGAGGTCATTTTGGAACGAATTCAATAGGGGAAAGCGTTGTCTGATATTTTGGAAACAATTTGTGATTCAATTGTGGCGTAGAATGTTGAATCAGAATATGGAAAAGATAACATCTCAAGCATTTTAATTTATTTCTAAAGAGGATAAAAAAAACAAGTTATTTGACAATGAATTAAAATAATTAATTTAATATATCTAAATGTAAAAAAAACAACAATCTCAACCTTTTTTGTCAAACCAATAAGAAGTGCCGTTTTATTGTAGAGTTGTTCGAAAACATTTTTTTAGGGATCGCGTATATTAGTTAAAATACTACAATAACCAAATCACCATGACTTATGTAATCGATATTAACATACTTTAGCATCTGAATATGGATGCTCCAAAATATTTAATGAAAATCGAGGAATTCACCACTTTTGAATGGCTGATCAAATAACAGAGGTTGTTTGGTTTCAAATTTCCATATCAAGGGAAATTAAAGGAGTTTCACGCTGATCAGACCGACCTGATGTAGCTCAGATAGAGATTGAGTAACAGGATGGTTTTCCTCAATCTAAGTTACAACTATAAATATCTTACTACTCTGGAATCAGGTTCGTTTGGTTAGGTATGTAATTAACATGAAGTTTATAGGTGACTTCCAACGAATGTTTCTTCAATAATAAGAAAGTGGCCATTAAACATATATTACTAAATGGCAAGAAAGACCATTAAAAACAAATAGAGAATGAAATACAGATTTTGAGATCAATTAAACACCCAAAATTGGTCGAGATCTACGAGGTCTTTAAAACTGAACTGTATTACTAAATTGTGACTGAATTTATAGAAGGTCTTAATTTAAAACAGCTGATGTCCAATAAATTAAACCAATTTAAAAATGAGGAAATTTTAGAAATCATGCAAGTATAAATTTGATAAAATTTTAGTAATTATTTGAAGCTTTGACTTTTCTTCATCGAAACTAGATACTTCACAGAGATATCAAACCAGCTAACATTATGTACCATAATGGCAAGCTCAAATTGATCGATTTTGGGCTTGCTTGTTATGATGGAAAATAATTACTTGAAAATCCTAATTGTGGCACCGAAGGCTATGTGGCTCCTGAAGTCTTAAATGTTCATTAAACCAAATTAAACTATGATTTCAAAGTCGATGTCTACGGGGCTGGCTGCGTCTTGTACATGCTGTTAACTGGAACCAAATTAAATTAATCGAATCTCAGTTTTCAAAAAAATAAAACCTATCAAAATAGCGAAAATAGCTAATTGTTTGAATTAGTTAAAATAATGACCAAACCTAATCCTTTTGATCGGCCTTCAAGTTTTTAAATCCTGGAATTGATACGGTTAATTAAAGAGAATTGTGCCTACGATATCAGCTTATGGTACAGCAGTGCTTTTAATCTTTCTAACTCAAATAACTCTTACTAGACGGCATCTACTGCCAGATATGTTCATACTTCAAAGAATCAAAAAAGTGTTTGTAGTTTCAATAGTGCCAGAGGAATTGGCTAGACCCTCTCTAAATAAATTTTAAAATGATTATAAAAATTGATTTCAATGTTGTTATCTTGCTATTGCAATCAATATTTATAAACAATAATTTATTTTTTAATAATATATGAAATCTATTTTTATCATTTAAATCTCAATAGAATGCCTTTGAATATAGGAACTCCACCAAAGTTTAACTAATAAAAAGGAATGAGAATATTACATTGCTTAATTGCTTAGGATCTCTCTCACTAACTTATTGAGACTTCTTCTAAGTTAATTTAAATTCCCAAGAGCGGGATCTCTCACGAGGATCCTCAATAGGATCTTCAGCAGGTCCACAAATCGGAGTTGTCAACTATTTACTTTTTAAATGCAATTTACTTGAGATTTTGATTTCTGTTTGTTTAAGGGAGGAACTGCTTAGGCTTTTCTTTCTTTCTTCAGAATATCACGCTATTACTAAGTATACAAAGAATTTTCATACTTTGTCGACCTTTTTTAGATAAAGACATTGAGATTTGAGAATGAAATTTTTCATAATCAAACTTTTGCACACTCCTTAACACTAGAAGAGATTTTTGAAGAAGCAATCTAACTGTTTTCTTCTCTCTTCTATTAATTCTTCATTGTCATTGGTGGATCTCCACCAATTAGACGGAGGAAACTTCGGCAAACTCGCTTTAAGAGTCGATAAGGATTCATGCAATAGTTTTAGATGGGAATAGCGATAATCCACTGAAAAGGAGCATCTTTGATTATTTTGCGGTGAAACTATATTTAAGAATCTGACGAAATACTTACATTAATTGATAATAGACTACATCATCATTCTTTTTGAAAGAGGGAACACAAATTGAGATAGCAAACTCATTTTCTTACATATAATTATTTATTTAATGTTTTTATATACTCACTTTTCCTACATTTATAATGTTTCCCCTAGAATATCCTTCTATCTTACTTTAGAGATCACCCAAACAACAAAAACGATTTAAGTTCCTCTACATCCCTTTGTTGTACACGGGAACAGATTTATAATCGAATATTAATCAAATAAATCTTATTTTTTGAATAATTTATATAACAAAGCATTACGTTAGAAGATTGAATGTTATAAAATATTTATAATTAATTATCAGGAATTTAGAATTTCATTTATTTGCTAATACTCTAGAATCAAGTGTTTAATCTAAAATCTTAAACATAACATTTTACTTCATAAGGTGTCTAAGTCTTAAATTTCAAATTGCAATCGTTGATTTTACAAACAAATTCAATCGGAAATGATTTTATTTCTGTAATCAATTTAAAATCAATCCTGCCCAGCCAAGTTCGATTCTCAGGTTTTATGAAATGCAAACCATTAAAATTCAATCCTTCATTTATATATACATATATACCTATTAATACTTGATAACTAAGTTTAATTCCGAACTCTTTCTATTAAACCATCTAAATTGTTTCTTTCGAACATTCTACAAAAAACAATTACATCCCAAACAAAACATTAGTCTAAAAACAAGTTACCATCAATAAGGATGATAAACTCTAAATCGAATAGTTCTTTTTATTTGGATCCTTCTTCTACGATTGGGTCTAAAATTCCAAAAGTTAATTTTCCCTGTATGCCACTTCCCTTTAAATCTATTCTAACCAAATCTTCTCGGTATGCTATTTTATAACACAAGCAGGAATTGCTTTTTTCAATAGATTTCTATCAATTTTTTACTGGGTTGCAATACTATAGAATGCCGTCATCAAACAAAAATCTATGAAACTCAAAGGAAACGTTTAATCTTTTGCCAAAAATACAATTTCGAACATTAAACATTTCAATCTAACTTCATCCTATTGATATTCTAATTCTTCCTGTCTCCAAGGTAAGTATAAGTATTTTCTGAAAATAAATTGAAATTTTGTTCCATTGATAAACATATTTTTCAAAGATTTAAGAAACCCTGTTTTGCTAGTATCTAAAATAGTTGAAATCTTTTCATCATCCTCAATTACTCTTATTATTCCTGCTGTGTCCACTATAAATATTTTGAAATCAACAAAACACTTTAAATTAATTTGATTTGCAACTGCATTCTTTATGAACCAAGTTGTTGTGTTTTTCTTAAAGCCAACCTATAGGGTCTACCCAGTCAATATCATTATTTCAATGCAATATGGTTAATTGGCTGCTTCTTGCCCAATTTTTATCTATTTATCGTCTTCACTTATTTTAGATCTAAATTTCTCTTCTTGAAATGAATGGAGAAATTCTAAATTAGAATTCTTTTAATTCTTCTATTATCTCAATTTAGCCTTGTGCTAAAATAACTCAGGTTTTTACTTCATTTATTCAGGTAAACTATAGAATTTAGTGTCAAGATTTAGTATTTCCAATACTTACCTCTAATATTCAGAGTTTTATATTATCTACGGAGAATTAAGTATAATTTATAACAGTTACTCCATCCTTAGCTTTCTTTCATCAATTACTTTTTAACTCTTTGATGACAAACTCTTTGCTATTGTTGGAATTTTCAGTTTGCTATCATATTTATTCACTAACTGAGTTAAACTTACCACTTGACTAAACCTTATTAGACTTGTAATCTGAATAGTGTCAATAGTGAAGTTTGTCTTATAAAATGTAATATTCTTGTCGAACTTAGGATCTGATTCAGTCCCTAGTATTTCTACCTTAACACAAATATTATTTATGTCTTGTTTTTTATCTATTTTTGATTCAAAAATCTCTTTTTATGAGTTTATTATAAGTTAAATTTTAGTCTTCAATATTTCTTTTGTCTTGCTATCCTCATTTACAATAATGATGGTCTCATTACGATTCACAAACTCAAAAGAATTCTTAATTATTAATAAATCTTTTATGTCCTTGATAAATGACAGGTGTGTAATTGGAATATGAAGTTGATACTCCAAACTATTCTGCTTGTTTATTTTCGCAAATAAGAGTAAATTATTAAATGCGTATATAATGATTCTTTGTTCTATTTTTTTTGTGTAAATAGAACAAATATCTTCAAAGATGAAATATATATTTGGTTCAAAGATTGTCAAATTTTAGATGTTTCCAAATTGTTAATATAATTCAATTAACTTTGCCTATTTTAGATAGACATCCATTTCGCTATTGTTCTTGTCATTAATCTTTTCAATAGTTTCTAAACAATTTTTCACATTTTAATAATCAGGATGAGATTGCATTGTATGTTTTAATAAGTCCTTGAATAAAAGTACATATTTAGGCAATCGCTGAACAGGTTTAATAGTGTAATCATTTAGTGATAAGCCTTTTAATAAATTCTGTACTTCGATATCCTTGATACATTACTAGAAGGCAGGTATTGCTTCATATTAAGTAGTAATTTTTCTAGCCTGTTCATAAGCCTTGCAATATTCATAGTAGAATATAAACCCATTCAAAAGAGGAACTATGCTATCCATCACAATTGCATTAGGGTCCTTCAAATTATTTTTCTTTTACAATTCACTCAAGAATTCAGTATTAAATTTGAGAATTTCATGAATATTAAACATCATCTTTATATCGTCCTTTTTATTTGAAAATTGTTTAGCCAATTTGATTTTGATTGCATTTAGAATCTCCAAATCAGCTACATACTTAACCTCTGTTTGAATTAACTCATTCAATACATTTATTCTATATCTATTCATTTTTTCAATTAGTTGTTTTTCCTTTTCCTTCTTCTCTTTAGTCAGTTTGCATTTGATATATCGCTAAATATATATAATCTTATCCAATTATTCTAAGTAATAACTGTCATCCTATACTAAAATTAATTGGTTCTAGTCATTGAATATAAGTTTTGATTATAAAATTGATTAAGTTCGATTCGGAATGCTTATTGATTATAAATCCATAGATAACCTCTTGGATTTCTTCATTTGCGATGTAAATTCATTAGTTATCATACCTACATAAATTCTGTCTTCACTTTGTAATTCTTGATCATTGACTTACTAAATCAATTCTTGCGAATATAATTAATCATTCTTCTCATTATCTTCTTCCCAATCATCTTCAAGTTGTGAGGACATTTGGCTTTATTTCTCTAATTATCCTTCAATATGATCTCTCACTTAAGGGTTGTCATTAAACATTTTATTCAGGGTTTTGATTACATCACTTTCCCGTATAATGTGATCTTAGTCAGGCTTTTCTGATTGACTAAGTTCGACTAATATGAATAAAATACCCTTATATTAGATTTGAATCTTATTGCCCTTTGCTTGTCTAAGTAGATTTTAATGATTTAGATTATTGATCCTCTTCTTCTCTATCTTTTTGCGAGTTCTCCCAATATGACACTTTGCCTTTGACACTCCTAAACTTAAATTTAATATTACATCTTATGATTGATTGCGATATGAAAATTAATCAATCCTAAACTTAAATAATACAATCATTTATAATTATTTGTATCTTAAAACGCAGAGCTTCAATTTCTATAGAAAATCAGAATAGAATTCGATAAGATATAGAATGGATAATTTTTTATGTCATCATTAGATAATTATTAAAATAAAATCAACATTGTTTTCTATAAAACATCCTATTTTATCAAAAACAATGAATAGATTCTATATTCTTTGTTATTTTACAAATTAATAACTTCAGAAGAAAACACAAAAGATTTTCGAAATACTATACGCATATTAATTAATCAGATTACTCAATAAAATATTCGTAAAGGAAATAGAATATTCCCAGAATAATCATAATTATTACCATAAATCAACTTTAATATTTATCATAATAAAATAAATATGCTCATATGATACTAACATTAAACAATATGTAAAATTCTACTTGATTTATTGTTTGTATTTTTAATAATCATTCAATAAGTTAAAATAAATAATTAAACTTTTTAATTATATGCTGTTGAATTCATTTAAATGGTAACTGGTAACTTTAATGAATTATTAAAATTTATAAGATTTAGAATTAATAAACTTTTGAGAATATAAAATGGTTTTATTTAGAATTTTATAGATGATTTTAAATAATTGATTGTTAGTCAAGGTATTGTATTCATATTAACTGGTTGTTGGAATATTAAGGGATAACAGAATCTAATTGAAAATTGCTTGTAAGATGCATTAGACTGATGATAATGAATTTATTCATCACAAAAATATACTTTATATCTTAAAAAATTATTAATTAAAAATTATAAATGTAATAATTCCAAAAAGAAATACCATAACAGCAAAAACTTTCTCCTGAAACTACTATCTATCTTGAGTATTTAGATTAGATATGGATGAAGACTAAACTTAATAGGTAATCTCTGAAGATTATTTATATCATATATTTAAGGAAGAGGGAGAAATTTAGAGCGTAAAAATTAAAAAGGATAAGCTGACTAAATAGTCGAAGGGACAAGCATTCATTACATTTAGAAATCGAGACTCAGCAGAGTAAGCTAGAAAAAAATTTAATAACTAAGTATTCATTGAGAACAAAATCAGAGTTAAACCTTACTTCAATTTCCATAAAGTCGACAAGAAGGCCAATATATTTATTCGTAATCTTCCTGAAGATGCAGATTATTTAGAATTAGAATAAGAATTTTCAAGATTTGGCAAAGTGTTATCAGTTGATGTCCATAGAGATTAAAGCGGAAAGTAATTAAAGTATAATTAGAGATTTAGTAATTTAGTTATGGTTATCTTTAATATGAAACTAAAGAAGATGCAGAAAAATTAATGAAGAGAATTCTAAATCATCCCATTACTCACAAAGGCAAATTGATGAAACTTGAAAAATTTAAGGACTTATCTGAAAGAAAAGCAAATCAGCATCTATTTACTTAAGAGCATTTGCATCTAAGTTGTCATAACAATTGATGAGTTAAGATATTGTTGTTAGATCATTTGAATATGGGTGGCTTTTGGTGATTAAGGATTACTTAACAAGAGTTTAAGGTGATTAAGTGATGGACTGCTTTGTCAGAATAGATTCAGTTACCAAACAGCCATGGGCAATAGTAACATTCGAAACTTACAAAGAAGCTAAGGCAAACTTAGATAAATGCGAAGCTTTAAGGAAACATCCATGCTTCAATTCAAATTCTCAAAAGGTAATTGAATTAATAAAAAAATATGGACCTCCTGTCAACAGTGATGGCAGCATTTCATTTACAATTGAATAAATTACTCCATTCTTTGAAGAGATGAACAAAGACCCACATGATATTTTCAAAGGTGAAAATGATAATTTCTTTTTCAATTTGGCTTATAACAACCTCTTGAAAATAGATGAAAGACTAATGGTCATCCAAAACATCAAGAAAGATGTAACTAAGGATTAAATCTTAGAGTTTTTATCATAATTTGGAAGAGTTATTAGTTTAAAAATCGGAAAAACTAAAAATTCAAGAATTTAATTTTAATAATGCTTCGTCCATTATTAAACGATGTAAGATTTAAAAAGAGCTCGATCTGAACTTTTTGATGATAAGAATGAAAAAACTATTAAGCAAAGAAAAGAAATCTTTAAAGATGGTCACCCTGTAGAATCTACAAAAAAAAAACTCCAAAGTTGGTAATCAATTGTATAAGGATGATGGTCTATAACTAATTCATGATGAACAAGCTAATTGAATAATAAAAATTAACAAGCCAAATCAATATTTTAATGTTATATTTTTTAAGATTTATAATGCATTAAAACAAAGGCCAATTATAATAGTTTAAGATAAAGAAGAGATACTACAATATTTTAAAGAAATCTCAAGAAGAATAATTAAAATATCATTCATAAATAGATTTCATGACTTTTTATCTAATCTCTGTTTAGATTATACCTTTAGTTTATTAATATTATTTCAATCTGTTTCTGGCATTTTGCAAGATCCCTTTATATTTTTTAGTTTTCTAAACTCATCAATATTAATGTACTTTTTATAACTGTAATTAATCCACATTCTACAATCCCTCAATCAGAGCATCCTTAATTGTTTTAAATTCTAACTTTTTCTTTTCATCCTACTATTTCACCATTTCCATTAATTGATCAAAGGATGTAGGATACAATTTTAAAAATAATTCTCGAAATCTTTTTTAATCATCCACATCAAAAATATCTTGAAATTTAGCTCTTGGAATATATAACAAAAAACAATCATCGAATGCATTTATTTCTTCAGTTCTACTTTTTAATCCCAATGTTTCTTAAGTAACAATCTCATAATATCCTAATAATGACTAGGTTTCATATTTAATAGTAATTTCCTATCTTGTTGCAACAGTGTTTTATAACCATACCTTAGTTTTTACTGGCCACCTATTGGACTTTTCTAAATTGACAACAACCTTTTTAACCAGTATACCATTTTTAACAATATAAAAATTATCGATAGGATCTCCAACCTTATAAAGGCAATCCTTTGCTGACATGAATTTGCCTTTTAGATCTTCACATAATCTTTGGATTTTATGAGGTTGAAAATTCTTAAAAAAATGGATTTAATTGATAAAATTAACCCACTTAGGTCTCTCTATTTTAAACAGGTTATTCAAACATTATTAATAATCCCATCGACTCAAAATTAAAATATGAGAATTTTAAGTACAAATTAAAGTAGCATTTCTAGGAGCGTCTGTTTCTAATGCTTATCTTCCTAGATGCTCATTATCATGGAACTCTTTTACACACATATCCTAAAATATTTAATACTGATGCGTATACTTTTATCATCACTTTCACTGTTCCTTAAAAAATGATATACATGCAGTTCCCAATATCCCCTACTTTACACAAGGTTAAATCTTATTCAGATTTAATCTCCTTATATGTTAATCTACCTGCCAATTCTTGCAAAAGGATTAATGGCATTAATTTGAATAGACTCAATTTTTGCAAATACAATGCTACAATTTATTTTTAAGCAGCATCTCTTTTGAAAGTTTCCATCCTGCAGATTGAAACAATCTTTAAATTTATATCGAAATCACTTAATAACCATTTAATTGATTCAATACCTATGAGATTTCCATTTTTGAAAATCATTTCTTTCTGAAATCCATTTAGGAAAAGAAAATTCATAATTAACGTTGTTATTAGTTGTAATAACTTATTCAGATTATCTATTTACAAGTCTTCTCCTGTCATGTTAGCTTTTTCTAGCAGAAGACTGTGCGAGTGATCTTTAGGTTTATAAATTACTTAGAGATAGAGAAAATTTATTCTTTTCCAATCTAGACTAAGTTGGACTTTAGTTACAAGTCTTTGGTTCTTAATCAAGGTAATTGTTAAAAAATTCCTTTCGTTCTGTCTGAAGTCCGTCATGAAATTACATAGTTCCAAATTTTTATCTGTATTTTTAAAGTTCTTTCTCATGAGTTTCATCAAAAATTGGTTTCATATATTAAATTAATAAGAAATATTTACAAAATTTAAATATTAATAATTCATACTTTCTTGAAAATGAAAATCCTTTTCTTCGAGAAAACAATCTCATTATACTTAATTATTTGAAATTTATCAAATCTAGTCTATGTCTCTAATGTTTCCAATTAATGTTACCGATTGCACTATTTCGATTTTGATAAAATTGCTTGAAAGCATCCTTTATATGACATTTGATTAATTAAAATAGGAATTAGCATTATTAGATTCTCTGGCCTAATTATTCTACAAAATAATCAGACAAAGTTATGTCTTTAGATCTTTATAATTTTAACCAAGATGACATTTCCTTTAAAAATATTGTAATAGAATCTCAAAAACTAAAAAAGGAGTCTAAATTGTTTAAATTTGGCTGTTCTATTGTGTCGGGAAATTTTAAATTTGATCTAGCTTTTTAATTATTTAATTATTGCATAAAATTATTGATACTCATTAAAAATAATTGAAAATTAATTGGTTTTTTATTCTATCAATTTTGATGGTTATTCATTGCCAAATCCCAAAATTGTTCAACTCCTTTTTCTGCTAGAATTCTCTTTCCTTCAGCTTCACTCTTAATTTCAATAGTTCTCCATTTATTAAATGCATGTTACTTTGCTACACCTTCCCAAACTAATGTGCAGCCTAGTTTTGAATCATCGCATCTCCATTTTATTCTATTCAATAGTAATTTCTTATAAAATTTTATTCCTTTAGGTCCTCCCTCTGCTACTAAAATTGAAGGCACAATCTATTATCCATTTTAATTTGCAATTAAGCAAACACCTTATAAACTCACTTATTACGCATTCATATCTACTTTAAATTTCAGTTTCTTAGTTTCTAAATCTGTCGAAGATAAATCCTCATCGATTCTAAATACAGCAACCCTGATTTCTTAAGCAGCATCCTTTTACCATTTTTATTTTAATTTGTCTCCTCTTTATTCTTTAGTTAATTTTCTTTCTTCATTTTATTTTATATGTTTATCTAATCTAGCCTATATTTATCTTCTTACTTCTTATTCAGCCTTACTTGGATCTATTTATGCTTCAGCTCCCAAGATGGCCATCATATTTTATAAAGTTATTCTTGGTGGAGATGGTTTCTACAAACCTAATCTAATTTTATCTTATTTCTCCTTCTAAATATCCATGCGTATTTTTCTCAATCGCTTCTTCCTTTCCTTTTTAGTTAAAAATGAAGGCAAAGCAGCTTTTTCTCTATTTTGTACCAGTTCACTTATAATGAATGGTTTTGGATGCTCAAGTAATTTGGTTATTTTATCCAATAATATGTTTGTATCTGTGTATTATAATTTCTCTAAAAATGTGATATTCTTTTGTATTTCTTCTTAAGTATGGGCTGTGGCAGGCTATTTATGCTCCTACTCACTTTCAATATTTAATGGAATATAATTTGCCTAATATTCGGGAAATAATGGCAAGTCCCACCATTCTATATTTGGAATTGGATCATGATGTTTCATCTTCACACAAACTCTTTTAAAACTCGTTTGAACTGAGGTTGTAGTTAAATTTTAGATTTCCTTTACTTCTATTTTCTCTTTCTCTTCATCTTAGGGTTGAATAGAGGTTTACTATACTTATTCCTTATCTTTATTGCCATTCTCAATAAAATTAAAAGCCAAAAGTTTTCTTTTTTATCTTTTTATATTGCTACGTTATATCGTAACATTTTTATCTAAGAATCGTCCTTTGTCATTTAAAGCATCCTTTAAATTGTTCTAAATTTTAAGCATTTCTTAAATTTTGTCAAGCTTCTACCTTTCTTAATTTATTTTTAGTGACTTAGCTTAGTCATTTAATCTTATAATTTTTCCAGAGATGTCCTTTAATTTTCCCTCTTCAGTTTCATAAATTCCTTAAGGCAAGGATCTATCAATTTATTATTTAGGTTCCTTTATTATTTATATTTTCCCTGAATCTTTTAATTTTTATATTGCTTTTTCTTTTTTTTTCTTTTGTTTTAGATAAGCCACTAAACTTGCAGTATCTGGTCCAAGTACATCTTTATATTTCGAATCAATGGGCATTGTAAGCAATTTTCTATTCAAATCTGGCTATTTAAACTTTGGATTCAAATTTGATTATGGGAGATTTTAAGGCTTTCTTTCTAAAAATTAAGGTGTCTAAACATCTTTACTCACCCCTTTGTTCTTGTTCATTTTTATCAATTACTAGATGAATACTCTGTGTAATTAATATTATTAATAAATATATTGTCTGCAAAACCTTAGATTTAATATTATATACAAGAAGTTAAAAAATTATTTATATGAATTTGGTTGAGCTTTAGATCAAAATTTAAATTTTAACCAATATTAACTCCTATATAAAGAGGTAAAAGAATTTTTTGTTTGAAATTTAAGAAAATAAAATAACTCATTCCAATAAATTAAGTTCAAATAAATTAGTAATTAAAAAATTGAAAGAACTACTATTTTACTTAATGAATAATTCAAGGATGAATAACATAGATCTCAAAATTTATTATTAATTCAGATATTATTTATGAAAAATATGAATAAATTGTATTTTGATTTTTATAATAAATCATGATAAATTTGTATAATTGAAATCATTGCATGAAATTTAACTTTCATGCTTTAGAATAAATTAATAAACTTATTAGCATTCCAAATGATTCAAAAATGTCAAATATATTTGTTTGTCTAAAGTTACAATATGCAGAGTCCTATTATTTGTTTTACAAAAATTGATTATTAGGTCATAGTCAATATGACAAATATATTCTCTTTAATCTGAGGGAAGACTACAAATCAAACCTCTAAAAGTGATATTTAATATTATTTTTGAATTAGGAGCACTGCTCATTTAGCTTAACTCTTTAAATGAACACTTAAACGTTGTGCCTAAAAAACGAGGGTATTAGTCTAAAATCTGAAGAATCTTATATCTTGCATCTCTTGAATTAATGACTCTTTATTAATGATAAAGTTATATAATTTTACTCAACCTCTCATTTGAATCAAAGGTATTCTTCTTAAATAAAGGAATGTATTCATTCAAATCAATCTATTCTGCTTTAAAATGTCTTTTTGGACCGTAGTCAGCAGCCAATTTAAGGGAACAAATCAATTCTATTTCATCTTCATCCAATGGGAAGAACTGTAAAATATATTCCATAATTTTACATCACTTAAATAATCCTAGATGGCTATCATATATGCTAAGGTGAATATTTCTAAATTTTAATATGGTGATGATATTTTGATTAATTTAATCACTAATTTAAAAGAAGGTTGGGGAGTGTTAACAATTTCTGTTAATTTATTATAAGTTTAAATATGATCTTTGACGATTTTGAATAAATAATCATCATCATCTAAATAAATTTCATTTATTCTTTTATTTGTTTTAATTAAACATAAACATAAAGAGTGTCGATGATTTAAATTTAATTATTCTGCAATGTGATTTAATATATCACCACATTTAACATCAACTTGCATTTCCATCTGAAACTTTGCAAAATGATAGAAAGATATTTCATACATTAATGGTTTCATATGCATTACTTTGTTTATATCTTACTCAGTGAGAAATAGTTGATCTAAATATATAATTAAATTTACCACTCTTTATTGTATAATTGCGATAAATTCTATTTAAAATGAAATTACAATAATTTTAATGTAAGGAATTATTTTCCTTTCTTTGATAAAAATAATTGAATAACGGTTTAAAATAATTTTTGCTTGGACAGAACATAGTAGCATATACTGCCATCAATTAATAATAATAAATCAAATATGATGTGTTATTATTCTAAATCTGCTTTACTATTTACATGTAAATTTCATCCTTTATAGTCTACTCCTGATGAGCAATAATCTCCAAAGCCTTTTGAACTTAAATTTATTTAAATGTTATATATACGATGAAATATAGGTTAGTTTAAGGAGTCTATTTCTTTGGTGAAACGTAAAATATGATATAGTATTGTTTTTACAATTTCATTTTAATCATTATTAAGTGTCAATACACAATTTTTGAGATCTATGTCCTTTTGATATTAGAAATATATTTATGTCTTTATTGTACCAAAAAAAGAAGCACTTTTCTTTAAAACACTAAAACTGAAGGTTTGAAAATCTGCGAATTTGATATGATCTATGAATTCCTAAGGGTATTATTTCTCATCAAAAAAGCAATCTTTAGAATAGGCTTTATAAACCACTTTAAAAAAAGGATCTAAATAGTTTTCTAAGGCTATTTCTGTTTGCTTATTATGGAATTAGATATACTCTAATATTACAAGAAGGGATGTTATTCTTTTAATAAATTGTCATAACATGGAGACAAAGGAGAGTCGACATTGTAATCGCTCTAGTTATTTTCATAGTCTTCCGACTCTGACTCTTAATTTACATACTCAACACTACAATTTTCATCATATTCATTCTCATTCTCAACATTAATGGATGTTCGATTATTCATTAATTTTATAATTATATTATATTTTTCATTATCTCAATTATCCATTTAATACATAATGATCTTTAATCAAAAACAGATCTCTTTCGACAAGATTTAAAATATTCACCAATTATTAAATTTAGCTATTTCTGAAATTTCTATAATCATTATAGTCTTCAGCCAAGGATTTACACATGTTGTCTTTATCAATCTACAATTAATTCTTAATTTCATAGATCTCTGTAATCTTATTCAATTATTCTTAGAAATATTTCAGTTCTTTTTCAATTTATACTTATTATTCCTAAATAGTGTTATCAAATTTTCATACTTGTAATACTTCGATTTCCTGTTAAATTTATTAGATATTTTATTGATAATAATTGATGTTTGTTTAGAAATGATTCATATTTTCATCAAATTGCTTTCTTATTTAATTTCTATTTTACTCAATTATTTCTTGTATTTGGAGGATTATTTTATGTAACCTAATAAAATTTGAATATGAATACTTTTCAAAATTTTAATCCTGTTTTTCAAACTAAGATATTAAGAGCTTAATAAAATTATTATATGCTTGCTTTTTTATCATTTTGTTAATAACTTTTATATGCTCTTGCATCTCTTATTTTAATTGCAATAAGTATTGGCTCTTCTGATTGCTAAGTTAACTCAACACTTTCTTTTCAAATTAGAATCTTAGATATTGTAGGAGTTCCAATAGTTCCTAATTTGTAAAAATTTACCTACATCACATTCTTTGAGATTTTGAACTTGATTTTCTTTCTCTTACTCCATTTATTTATTGTATTAATTAAGTTATTCTTAATTAAATTGTAGTTCTTTTTGTTTTTATTAGGAAACTTATAATTCGAATGAATTATTTAACAATTTCATTTTTTATTTTATGGATGATTCCTCATACTTGATTGCAATGATATCATGTTATAAATCATTAGTATTGCAATTTTCATATTCTTGTCTGAAATTAGCATCATCGATAATCTATTCTTCATTCATAGAACTATAAATCTCTTACAAAATTGATTTCAATCTAATTTCATTATATTAATATACTTATTCTCATCATACTGAAGTTGCAGTAAGATAGTCTGTTCTAATGATTATCCAAATGAAGTTTATTTTAAATCATCTAATAATTATAAGTGCCCAGTTGCGAATGTAATTATTAATAAAAACGATATAAATTTCATGATTATATTACTAATGTTATATAATTTATTTTTTTTATATGAAAATATAAGTTCTTAAATTATGAGTTTTTTAAGTCTAAATCACTTTGCAATTTCTGATACATAAATTCCAATAAAGAGATACCTTATTTATATTGCAAATAGCAAAATATAAAAAATAATTAAAAGTAAGAGATCATAAAAGCAAATCAGCATAGAAGTATGATATTTAAGAATGCAAAAAGAGTTCATTTAATGTTTCATTAAAAGGATAATCAATATTTCATGAGAATTGACAAATATATAATAAACAGAAATTCAAAATTGCAAAAAGCAATATTAAAACAAGCTCTCTGAATCTACATTTTTATCCTCAAATGATAAATAAATAGTCTAATTAGATGTTATTTTTAATAACAATAAAATATTTTAAATATAAATTTTAAGTATGAAAACTACCAAGCTATAATTAAATAGTAGTTCCATTAGAAACCACTCCTTGAATTCATAAACAATTAAACAAAACTTTAATTATCTAGGAAAGTAACTTTTGGTTTGCCAATACATCTACAATCATTATAAACCTCTAAAGGATCAAATAGATAATATAAATTACTTAATTACTTCTGGATCACATTGGTTCAAAAGTTGATAACACCAATATTGTAATTTTATTCATTTAAAATTAAATTATTGCTGATTATCATCCATCTACTTAGTATCCATGTGCTTCAAATAAAAATTGCAAATTTATAATATAAATATAAATTGTGTTTAATAATTTACATTGCTTATGGGTCAACTCAAAACTTGCTAAGATTAACTATGATTCTATTCTAAGACTAAATTTATAAATATCAAAAGGAAAATGGATAGTATCTATAAAAATCTATTCATGCTTTTCAAAAATAATAAAAATTATTTATCAAACAGGAAATGAACTTATTCATTCATTATGTAATAATCTTAGGCTCCTTCTTATTAATTGAAGAATCTCTAGCGAATTTTTGTAAAAAGAATTATTGACAAAAATGTTATTAAATTCAGTTTTATCATTTAATTTTATTATTATTATGGACATTTAAAAAGGAATTTTAATTAGTTTATTTTATTAATATAATTCATTAATTATAATGTAAGACTCCCTAAACTCAAGTTTAGACTCAATAGAATTAGAGATTTACCACAAACCCAATCCAAAGATCAAATCGATTATGGAGTATCTAAGAAACTCAAATTTGTAATTTTGCACGGATCCAAAAAAAAAATAAGATGATTATTATTCAAACTTAACTGAACCCATAGATCAGTTTTCATTAAGAAGGAATAAATTTGTAAATAGAAAAAAAAATGAAATCTCAATAGATTGCCCAGCTCTTTGATTGTATATAGTGTTTTAAAAAGTTATTGTAAATATTTCGCTTTTTTCATTTTGTGATATTTCAAAATCACTTATTTATAATTTCTGAATTAACGAATTTCAGTATTTACTCTTTAAGTTATTTTCTTTTCATAAATGTTAGCTCACTCTCAGTGGTTGATATTTAAATTGCATAGAGTGGTTCTGATATATGAGCAAAGATGTTTACTTGCCATGTAGATAGTTTTAGAATTTTTGATAAAGTTGGACTCTAATAAAAATTTGAATCCTTTACCTTTACTTTATTCAATCTTGGAAACCCTTTTAAATGGATAAATAATATAAAAATTCAATAATATAAGAGATTTATGGTTCCAAAGAGGGAAATATAACTTAGTATTAAACCATCTAAATGTTACGCAGTTTTAAGTTATAATTATGATGATGCAGATAATTATAGAATTACTTCTATCAAATAATTAAATTAAAAAATTAATTTGCAATAATTTACCAATAACCCAGCAAATCGAAATAACAATATTTCCCTCTTAAATTATTTAAATTAGTGAAGATGTTTGAAGCCAAGTTTCAGGTTGGAGCATTATTTAAGAAGATTGTTGAGGCAATTAAGGAATTAGTAAAGAATGTAAATTTAGAAACAAATGGGATAGGAATTTCATAATGGATAGATAATGATTAAATAACTTAGATTATGGATGCTATGCATGTAGCTTTAGCAGCATTCAAATTAAATGGGAAGGTTTTCAAGAAATACTGATGTGAAAAGTCGTTAACTTTGGGTTTTGGTTTTGAAAATTTATAATAAATTCTAAGAACGAAGATTAAATAACTTTGGGAACTTAAGATGAAGAACTAACAACATCATCCTTTACATTTGAATAGATTAGATAGAATAGGTGAATTTTAATTAAATTTAATGTCCTTAGATTAGGAATGGTTACGAGTACATGAAACAGACTACTCCTCAATAATTAGAATGTCATCAAATTTATTCACAAAGATCCACAGAGAGTTAGGAAATATCAATCAAGCTGTTGGCATTGAAACATCGAAAGGTTTTATGTTAAGGGAGACATTTGAGAAGGTCAGGCTTCTGTTAAACCTATAACTCAGACAAGCTAGAGGAATATGAAGTATTTGAAGTTATAAACAAGTGAATTTAAGTAAAGCAGCGAGGTAAAATCATAATGATTATGATGGATAATTCAAATTTATTTAATAAAGCACCTACATTATCAAATTAATTGATATTGTTAATGTCTTAAGACCAGCAATTAATAATCGAGTATACAATTGGAGTTATGGGATCTTTGAAATTGTATTTAGCCCCTAAAATAAATGATGAAGAATCTTAATGACCAATTTTTATATTAAAATATTTTTAATTTGGTATGTAATAATAATAAAAACAACCAATTCATGAAAGGCGCCGTAGAAGTGGAGCTTTGCATGCCTAAACATGTGAGGAATATCTGAAAGTATGATGTAATTGTATAATTCAAGAAATATGAATAAATTGGACAGATAGTAATAAGAGAGAGTTCAAGAAAAAAGAGTTTATCAGAATCTGCATTTCTCAACTTTGACTTTATACCTGGAGACGAAGGAATGGAGGACTTATGTTAGCTGAAAATCTTGATCTATTCCCCAAAATTGAAGATGAATGAATAAGAATTTTTGCAACTTTTGAAGCGAACAAGAAATAGATCAATCACTACTGATAATTTACCAAATGTACGTTAGACATTTGATTACGATTTCTTTTATAGAGAATATGAAGTCAATGAGAAACATTTTGGTCTCCATTTTTGGGTCGAGAATAATCCAAAGCACAAGCACTCTCTCATTTTTTCAGGTATGTATGACTAAAACCTAATAATAATAGAGAATTACTATCGGTTCTTTAATGCAGCTATACTATTATAGCGTGATCTCAATGTAGAGTCAATAATAAGAGAAAATAATCCTAACTGTATGATTAAATTTTTCCCATTTGTAAATGTTTTCGTATATTAACTAGATGGATGAATTGCTTATGGAATCACTCTAATCTATTATTGCTGAAGTAAAAGTTTTATATACTAAACAAGATCTGTCATAGCAACATCAAATCTTGATTCATCATATATTAATCTACTTGTATACAATAATTATATATATGAAATAAATATATATAATAAATCATTAAAATTTATTGCCTTTTTTTATTACATATTGATGCATAATATCCTTCATAATAATATTATTCATAGGTCTAAAAACAGTGGGTCCACTTGCCAATTTCTCAAATATGTTATTCAATTAAAGAAAAGATCTTTTGTAATTGCTAAGATTATCAGATATTGTTTCTAAGAGCACTCTTTTGTCTTGAGCAGGAGCAGACTTAGGAGCATTTTATAGTTCCCCAATAATTTCTCTATACAAAAATCCCCATTTATCAATAATTTGATCTGCAACCCTATTTAAGTAGTTTGATTCAGACTTCTTGAATTATTTCCACTTCTGTTAAATATATTTGATCTTCAAATAAAACGATTGCATTTTATTCATTCCATTGGAAAGATGACCATATCTATACAGAAAATGATTGAGTATTGAATAAGCCCTTTTGGTAGCATTGTTTCTCATAAGTTTAGCCCCAAAATAAAATAGAATATTTGTGTCAAGATAGATAGCCTCTTTTTTCCCATTTTAATATCTGCTACTAATCTTATTTAGCATAATTCTCATGAACTTTCTACAACAAACTTAAACCTTATTACTAATAACTATTCTCATGACTCGTTTCTATTTAAATTTAGACATACATAATATTAATGTTTGATCTTCTTGGCTAACAATGTAATAACTAGTAATTCTAACCATAAGATATCAATGTTGCTGATATGGAACTTGATTTCACTTCTTAATCTTTGCACTCTTGATTGCAATCTATCTATTTCATGAGTGTAAGAAGATTCCAGTAATTGAACTTTCTTATTAAAGTAAATGGCAGACTTCTTCTTCATCATTTCTTCAATTAATGAATTCTTTTGTTTAGTATTTTTGATCTTAAAATCCAATATTAATTTGAATTTCACTTATGATTCCTTATTAGATCGGATAAATGATGAGCTTGTTTTAGGCTTATGCACTACCAACATATAGGTTATTAATCATACATGAGAGATTACTTCGATAAGTATAACTGCCTGGTTCTCGAGATGTCAATAATTCTCTAGGAAGTTAGAGCATTGGAGTTTATTATCTTTTCTAAAGGCTTCTATTGGTGTTCAATTAATGAACCCCTATTGTTGCTTTGATCTTCAAATCTGTGTATTTGTCAGTGTATATTGACAAGTATACATAATCGCATTTGAATTTTGTGATATGAGATGGTGGTTCTGTAAATTAAAATCTTGATTTATTCTAGTCTATAAATGGCTACCTTTACAATCACTTGTAAACTATTATTTAATATATTTGGACTATCAGTTATTGATGATACAAATATTTTAATCAAACATTAAGTATTGTTAGATTCATAGACAAAACTCAATGGTTTTGCTAATTCCTTAACTTTAATCTTTATATATTTGAAGATGCTTGGATACATTTGTAAAGTTATGCTTTAATTGATCAAAATTTCTTATATTAATTATAAATGTTTGTACCCAATCGATCAGGTTAGCGCTTTAATTGGACTTGATCTGGTTATGAATATGTCTTTCTATGACCTACTTCATATTGCTTGAACTCTTTTGTAGTGATATCATCGATAAGTTTTAAGTTTGCAGTGTAGTCTAGTTCATTTTTATACATTATTATTTTAATGAATAAAGAATCTCGCTATGCATATGTAACAATTCAAATTAATTTGACTAGACAAAATCGTCCATGTCTCCAAATAAGAATCAAAGATCTTCTGAAGCTAATGCCACCTACTCTACAGGTTTTTCCAAAAAAACAACAAACAAGGCACCTCAATCAAATTAAACACCAATTTCAAGTTAATTGCCAGAAATTACCAAAAAGAAAACTAAAAATGACATACTCTGCTATTCTTAAGAGTTTCAAGATATACTTCAGGTTGAAATTGATGAGAGGTAAAGATTTATTACTAAATTAAAGGTATCGATATTTGGTTAAAAATGGAACAATCAAAAAGATCGAGAATGGAGGAAACATTATTTTCTCTGAATTATAACAAATACCTGGCATTTGGGTTTGTTATAGACGACCCATGGAAAGATCTAATAACTTAGAAAAATTAAGTCTTGATTATTTAGATTTGACTCATATGCCATTATTGGAAGGAGAAGAAAAGTTAAAAATTCTCACGTATCAACATAATAGAATATAATCAATCCAAAATCTTGTTTCATTGCCAAATCTACTATATCTAGACTTGTATGACAATTAACTTAAAGAAATTGATGAATTAAAATAAGTTTAAAAATTGAAAGTGCTATTGTTACCAAAAAATTAAATCAGACGAATATAAAATTTAGATCATCTCACCAAATTAGAAGTCCTGGATTTACATAGCAATCGTATTATTAATTTAGAAGGATTAAGTAAATTGAAAAGTCTCAAAATTTTGAATGTCGGTAACAATCTAATCACAAAATTGGAAGCACTTGAAGAATTAAATTCTTTAATTGAATTAAACATTAAAATGAATTAAATTGAAAACATAGATCACTTATAAGGTATATTCATATTTTTAATTTAGTCCTCCCTTAATTATAAAAATTATTTATGTCTTAAAACAAAATAAACTCTTTCCCTTGCATTTTCAACCTATCTGAATTATCTCTTGAAAACAATCCCATTTAAACCAACAAATCTGATTACTATAGATATATCTGCTAGACTTTTGAGACATTAAGAATTTTAGATGGGAAACCTATAGATTAGATCAAATAAGAAATTTTGTTTGCTGAAATACCAAAAACTGAACCAATCAAGAAGAAAACTGTCAATCAACAACCACAATAATAATAGCAGATCTAGCAAAAGACAAAAAAGCCCAATTAAATGGGCCTAGAAATTCTTGGAGTGGCTTCAGAGTTTAAAACAAAGGAGGATATTGTTCCTTTTGCCTAAATTAAAAAGGACCCAACAACTTATAAAAATTCATTAGGTTAATAATAAAGTTAGTAGTAATAACCCTTAAGAGAAACAATACCAAGTATAAAGAACTCTTTGACAAATACTGCTGCTGCTTAAGAAGATGATATTTTAGTATTGATTAAAAAATAATGGACAGCAGAATCTAGAAGAATTTAAACACTAGAAAAAAATAATTAATTTAATAAGAAGAGCTGTTTAGAACATTAACTTGTAGAAGGAGGGCATGCTGAAGTCGAGGATGTATACCATTGTGTATAATATTTAGGATGTCTTTTTGCTGATTTATGGCACAGCTTCGGCTATGGTATTACCAACTTAAAATTTTAGTTAAATAATTGAAAAAATCCATTTTTAATATGTATTCTTTGATTCTATCATTGACACTTAATTGACAATTCTACAAGATTATTCAAAATTAAGAGAATTAATTTTAAAGGATAATTACATCAATAGTCTGTTACAATTAGCCAAATTAGAAGTAAATTATAGAATACATATCAAAGCATTTAAATGAAATTCAAAAATTAACAATACTAAACAATCCAATTAATAACTGCTCCTTCATGTTTTAATTTTTGGTGTATAGGTTTCCATCCATGATTTAAATTAATGGGAAAGATATAAGAAATGATGATAGGCAAAAAGTATATTGTTATATATTATTTAGGCAAAATAATTATTCTCCAATTTTGACAAATCATTGTAGATTCCAGAAAAATTATAAAATTTTGAAAATATACGACAACTAAAGAGTTTCTAAAAGGATAGATCCTATATCAAACAATTTCATAAATGTTTGAACGATGTTTCAAATGAATAAAAGATTGTATATAAATATCGAAAGACTGTAAAATATGTTTATTATATATTAAGTTTGACAATACTTATGAAGAATACTTGATTTAATTAATCCAATAATGTAAAGAGAAAGAAAAATGATTTATATTTTTCATTTAATATTATAAATACTAAAAAAATTCAGATTATAGATTTAATCAAACCTTAGACTTTAAAATACACACCATCCACTTCCCTTTGAAATTATTAATCATCTTCAACCCTAGATAATTTTACATTCCTTGTTTTGAAGTTCCTTTTATTGATTGTTAAATTTCTTCACATTCTAAACATCATTTCTTTATTTTTAAAAGAGTCTCCGTTTTCTTTCTTGATTTCTGGCAAAATTATACTTAAGAACCTCATTTAAATATATAAAAATGATTCTTTTTGAATTCTCTAAATAAACTCCTTTTCCATAATATTTTTACATATGTCTGCTAATTTATTTTATTCATTTTAACTAAAACAACCTACTGCATTTGCAAATTACAACAATAGTTTTTGTATATATAACAATCTCACTTCGACTGATATTAATTTTCAATTTTTAAATTAGACAAAATATTATCTTATTAAAAATATTATATAATTATTTGATCAAACATAGTAAATTATATTAAATGGAATTTTGAGATTGATTTCCTTTATTAAAATTTCTCCATGAACCTGATTACTCTATTTCCAAAGGCAGATCCTCATCTGTCTGAATAATATCTAAATATCTCAACAGGAAAGATAATAACAGAAAAAATTATTTGATGCAATAGCACTTTATTTTTTGTTTTCTTAATCTAATGTTTCGATTTCACCAAAGATGCTGCCTTTAATGATATTTAAGAGACTTTGACCTCATTGATCACACAATCTCACTAAAGATGTTTCAATTATAATTGTACTTCTCCTGTTATCAGAATATAGATAGAAATACATAGACATGAAAGTTAATAATTTTGAGGCCATATTAATATCCAATTTAAATAGATTAGTATTTACAATTATCTGTTGTTATGAGAATCATATAATATAAATTTTAAGTTATCCTTACAAAGAGCCAATTGTTTAAATGTACCTTCTATGACTCTAAAAGGAATTATTTTCTAGATTGTAAGTTGGAAAGTTTGAAACTTAAATATATAGCTACTATATATCGAAACATGATTTAAAAGAGTAAATTTATTTATCTAAATATTATATGAAATAAGCTAATTGTTTAATAAATTGAATATTATTAGATTTTTATGATATCTATTCTGAAAATTAAATAAAGATTCTTTTAGAAAAACTTTCAGAAGTATTGAAAGATGCATAAATCGATCAAGATCTAAAAAATACATAGCATTGTAGACTATTTTGATAAATTTTGAGTAAATTTATAATGCCTACTAAATTAATGAGCTAACAATCAAATGAATATCGGAAATCAGTATCTTAACTTTTAATTTGAACCTTAAGAATTATGAAATGAAATGAGATCGCAAAATGAATTTTTAGAATAGATCGAAAAATCATTAATGATGCAGAAATCTCTGTGTTTTGATGATGAAGAATCGATTATCAAAAATTTTGAATGGTTTCTATATACAGTATAGAAATATTTTGAATTACGTTAATAATGAACTATTTAATTTTAAATAATGCTAAACAACTGTTATACTCTTCGTCACAGTCCTGTATTCAGAAATCCAAAATCGAATGTAGCAGTTTAGTAATTAACTACTCTAATTAATGAAACCGCAAGTAGGTCACCTCCACTTCAACCACAAGTCAAAAAGATAATTGGAATTAAAAAAAATTCATTGATAGATCACTAATTACCTCTTTGTGATGTACCCTTTCAAACTAATTTTTTTGCATAAAATGAAAATGATCTTTCCTATTCAAATAGAAGCAATATTTAAACTAATAGATAGTTTAGTAGAAATTAAAGAACTTAAAGTGTTTACACAGGTAATAAAGAAAACTTCGTAAGAAGCCCAACAAGAAGTCCATTTTCTAAACCAATTATTTAAAAAGATTGTTATACTCCAATTTATAAAAGAAGTCCAATCTAAAGAGTATAATCTCCTGGAATAATAGGGGGAATTAGGCAGACAAATTAAAGAGGGTTTGGATCCATAAGTCCCTTGAGGATTTAGCAAAAACCTAATTAAAGAGAACCCTTATCGGAAATGGTGGATAATTTAAAACAAAATATTATGAGAGACATTTAAGAAGTCACAAGAAAATATTCAAATACAATTGTACAAGTCAATTTATAACCAGAGAGATTCAAATAAGAACAAAGAGAAGTAAGGTATGATGATATCAAAGCTTAAGAATTGAAAAAATAGAAATATCTGGAGCAATAAGCTCTATTATTGCAATAATAATTGGAATTAATCAAATCATAATAATCAAAGTTAGTTGTACTCAATAAACAGACTTTGTGTTCTTAAGATAATCCCATAAATGCAACATCCGACCCAAATAAGTTATATCAATAAAGATAAAATGACCTAAGTTTTTTAAGGTCTTTGGAAAATCAAAACAGATCACAATCTTTTGCAGATTAATAAAGCAATTTTTAAAGTCTTAGATGTGATTAAACACAAAAAATTAAATAAATTTAAGAAATAAAAAATTGTACTTGTGATCCACAATATTAAGTCTAAGGAGTTTAATAATAATATTGTGAAGAATGGATGCCGATCTAAAACACTAGTAAATACAATTATTAAATTGATTATTTACAAAAATTGAATTACAAAATTGAATCAATTTAAAAACATTAAAATCAATAGTCTGTCAACTCTAATAATTAAGAATTCAAGACTTTAGATGAATTTTGTAGAACAACAAGACATCAAGAGTAAAAATTAATAAACTCTCCAGATTTAAACTAGGAAAAATAAGCATTAAATTAATATCAATCTCGACCCAATTTTAATTAGGAAAATCAATATCCAGAATTTTAAACTGGAAGAAATGGCTATTCCCCAATTAGAAACAAAGAATAAATTACAGCCAACAAAGAGACAACTCTTTATATGTTGAATAATAATAAATAAATGTTATCAACCTTAAATTCTTAAAATGAATTATAAAAGTTAAAGAATTTATAGTTAGAGTTGATGCAGAATAAACCATTATTTGAATAACCTAAGCCTTCAAAAATTGAATTTAATTTTAACTAATAGAAAGAAATATTTGATCTCAAAATTGATAAAAATTATCTTAATACTTTTTAATAACTCTCAACTATGCAATAAGAGAGATCTACAAAGGAAGAAAATATTGAAGAAAAAACTTACAAAAATTTAAATTTTAATAAAAATAAAACAGCTGCCAATAAAAATGTACAGTAATAATAATTGTCAAAATTTATTCAGCTTTAAAACTAATAAGAATAATTGTAAGAAATAGGTAAATAATTACAATAATAATAAAAACTACCTGCTTATTTGAAAGAGGCTGATGATACGGATGACGATGTTAATAATCAAATTACTATTAGTAATTTATCATCTATTATTCCTGCTGAAATCTCAGCCAATTAAAATAAAAAGATTAATGTATCTTTCGAAAGTAGTATTGAATAATAATAATTTGAGTATCTAAAGGGATCAGATTGCCGAAACACTTTTGGACCTTTATAATTGGAAATCATTTTAAAATCTCCAAAAAGTCATCATGAAATTATACCTTAATATCTGTCACCTTGCCAACTTGGTGATGATGTAAATAATTAAAGGCAATAAGTATAAAATCTTCAAAATGATTAAGACATATCATCTTATGATAAATAAGATAATGTAATAAGTAGATAATTAACTAATAATCATAAAAGTGAAAAGAAATAATCTGCATTAAATTATGATGAGGGCACACAACTTTGCAATAAAATTGAGTAGATTGAGACTGTTGAAAAGAGAGTCAATTCTCAATCAAGAGATTAGAAAGAGCTTGAAAATTAATCAAGAGAGTATAAAGTTTAAAACAGTAGCTCAACATATAAAACAAAAAGTTCTTAGAGTATTAGCAATGCTAAATACTAATAAGCATATAGTCCAATCGGAATTAAAAACTCTATTGTTGTGCAGCCATTTTTTAAGGAGAGTCCAAGCAATAGAATTGCAACAAAAGAAAGTGAAAAAAATAAAAATTAGATTAAATCTCAGCAAAGTGTTTTAGAAAATAAAAACTATGATAAAATATGTTCTGGGCAAAGCTAAAGGTATAGCGACTACAAAGATGAATCGAACTAAGTTGAAAAAGAAAAATAAGAATAGGATGTCTCATTAAATAACTCATCAAGATATGAATAGATGTTATAAAATTTCTAAAGTATGAAAAATCAATCTAGAATCGATTATTAATAAGAAAATCAAACAATTAAAGTGTCAATGTAAATGAATGAATGTGAACATATTAGTGATTTTGTTATATTTAGCGATAAATAAAATGAAAACTAATTAGAAATTGTTAAAAAGAAAACCGTTACATTTAATGATCAATTGATTTAGCAATCTCCTATAGATAAAGATAAAGTCCAAGGTGGAACAAATTTCAGTGATTTTATGAAGACAAAAGCTTTAGACATTCTCTCCTCCGACTCTATTCCAATAATTCCTTAGGATACCTTCACTTTGGCATAATTATAGCCAAAAGGAGGAATAAGTAATACATTATTTTATTTTCAGGTTTTTTATAATATAAGCAACAATTAGAAAATTGAGTGAAATGATTTTATTTTTGGTTGAAATGATTATAAATACACACAACTAACATCCTTAATCATCTCTTTTTACAATGAAAATTCCTTTTTCTTACAAATTTTTATATTTCTAAGAAATAGAATACCTTGTTATTGATAGCTAAACAAACATTTTGATAAGGTTTTTTAACAGTTAATGGTTTATAACCTCAACATAAATATTTTATTATTTGAATTATAAAAAAAGCTTTAGTCTAAACTGAATATTTCTTTTTTCCTATCATTCTGCATCGCATGATTCTAAGGAATCTTAGATATACTAGGTTTAGACTAATAATTCAAATAATTCTATGCTGTATACTTTAAAGGTACTGGAGATATTTTCAAATCTTTTCAAGAAACATTATAATATTTATTATGAGTACATTATTTTATAGTAGAGGCATGATATCTTTTAGATTTATATGGTGTACAATTCTAAATTCTATATTTTTTCATTTAGAAATATTAGAAATCTAATAGCCCAACAAAGTTGATTAGGATTATTAAAGATTTTTATGAAGATAGATGTTAGAAGGAGATAGTATGAGTTATGATTTCGAGAACATAGAAGCTCCAAACTTTAAAAGAAGAAAATGAAAGATATTGCCTTTGATTCACCCCAAAAGAAAAAATAATCTTATAGTTATGTCAAAAAAAATTGATTCTCATCAAATGTTGAAATGTAGAATAAATCAATTCAAATTTTAAGATTTAAACAATCAAATGTCACAATAAAAATAAATTTATAATGATATTTAAATTTAGTATATTTCAAACAATGTTTAAAAATAACTTTTAGTCTTATATTAATTACCAGTCATCCAAAGTTATGTCTTCTCTGTAATGCTCTTTTAATATTAAAATAGCTCTTCTTGTAATCTAAGGAAATGAAATCATTAAATACCAAACTTGTTAGTTTGTTTCTAAAGTGATTTGCTTTCCAGTCTATATAGCTTAATTTGTTCCAATTCTCAAGGCAATTGCTCCTGTAGTAGCTTTGGCTTCTTTCAAACTCTCTTATGATTAATTCAATAGTCTCAACAATTCTAATTTTATTTTTGTTACTATTTTAATCATAAAAGAATAAAGGCGTTCCTATTTTTAATATTACTTATTTAATTTCAACACCTAAAATTACAAGCTCATCAGGCAATATTTTTACATCAAAAACCAACTTACATTACATCATCTTTTGATACTGGCCCAACACTAATATTTGAAAAAGGAATGTTTTAACTATTCAAATATTGTAGAAGAGCTTCTAATGAACCTAAAGTAGACGCTGCAACTCCCACTCCTTAAATTTTATAGTTTTATGTATTTTGACCTCCTCCATCTCATTATTAATTATTTCGGTTACTTTATCGATATCTTCTTAGATATTAGCTAAATACATCTGAGATCCTGCCATAGATTCTTCTAAACCTCCTGCAGATATTTTTAGACTCATAGATGCATAGATAAAATCATGAAGAATATATTAACCTTTAACTCTCCTTTCCCTCATAGGATGAGGAGTTAAAAGCGCTCTCTACATATATCGTTCGTCTACAACTTGTAGTGCACTTTAGAGCAGATTCCCAAAGTCGATGGATAGCAAAAAATTGCAAGCTTTACAATCACCTCGAAAACACATTTGGTTTTATTATAAAAAAATTCTTCCTCCAAATTTGTCTAGAAGGATTTGAAGAATTAGTTCTCCTTAACCTTTAGCGGCTTATAAGATCTAGAAACCTCAAACAAATTGGGAAAGATGCAGAGATGGGAGCCAGGATAACCTTACCATAGTCCATTGCTGAGACAAGATTCTTAGGCAAGGAATTATTGGTGGATGTCTTACTGGGACAATCCAATCTTCCTTGAGCTATTGTTGGAAAGGATCTAACTTCTTGAAGGCAAACTTAAGGTGGCAATCGTTTGGGATTGCTCTAACAAGCCTCATTCAAGGGTGATGTGAGGATAACCTCCTAGAATTTGGACTAGTCCAAAAGACAACTAGATATGGACTGATAAAAATAGGAATTGATTTTGACACTTCATATATAAATGCTTGTGTATAGAAAACATGTGCATTCATCTGCTGAAGAATCATCCTTAAAACTTAATATGTTGTATCATTGAACAATTACTTTATCTGGAACATCCTTTAGAGGGTAATATAAATGCACTCACTCATTATGTATGCACTGGAAGATGTATATTTTAAGAATAAGAGCACTTAGTATCAATGCATATATTATAATTAGCACAAGAAAAACGATAGTTATAGGGACCAGCATTTAATGAAACTTGCCTTAAATAAAATTATGATTCAGGTAATCATAGTGTTCTAAGCAGTAAAAAGATTTCAGCAATAACTTGAACATTGACCCCAAGAGAAAGCGGACGCCAAAGGCCAACAAAATCCACAACAGAGGAACAACGTTCCTCCTCAAAGAGACCGCTAAAAGGATCGATGATTAATCGATGACCCAGCACTACCTGTAGACAACATTCAAATAATTGTGTGTCCATTACTCAAAATCAGATAAAATTCAAGTATCTTATCCTTTCTAGTTATTGGCATATAATTTATCAAAATGTTAGAGTTTTCAATACTGCTGATATGAAGCATTTGAATTACAGATGCATAAAAAGAATAAGACATAAATCCATGGTAATTCTAGGTCAACATTGCATATTAATTTTGCAGACCATACATCTACATGCGTGTTCGATAGCACCTCTTCAATGTAAATACTGCAGCTCAAATTGAAAGGAATAAGTAATGGCAGTGATAAAGGATACAGATTAATGCATATCCAACTGCTAAGAGGCTGAGAAAATGAGCTATATGAATAAGGACACTTCTGACTTTATTGATTTGACCTAGAAAAAGTGGTAGTTTATTGACAACATTTAACTACAAAGATACTTCAAAATTAAATATTCATTGTTAAGACAAATCCAAACTATTACCTTCATAAAATCAATTATTGACAGTATTACTTACAACTATACAAAGGTCAAACTATGATTCGGAACATTTATGATATGCTTTGCTGTTATACTATTAACTAGCTCATTAAGCTTCTCAATAATTGTTACAATCTAGCCAGCAAGTATATCAATTTTTTGTCCTCTTATCAGGATTAAAGTCTACATGACTATTATTATATCAGATAGAACAATACATCAATAATTTGGTTCATATGGCTACAAGAAACACAGCATGGAATAAAGCTCGACATATATGAATTGGAATTGCAACAAAACCACCAATATGATGAAGTTACTAAAGACTCTCTAGAAATAAACAGGATCTTGAGAGGTTTATCAAGGAATATTTGAGGGTATCCATAAAATCATACTCACTAAAAAAGATTCTCAAAATTCAATAACACCTTTAGATTGAATGCTAACAATAGTTGTGGTTATATGATCTGAATTATTGAGGTTGTTAGAACTAATTATCTAATGCCATAACATTGTCGACAACAGTTTCAAGTTTCACTACTCCTTACAAGTTTGATGACCCTTATCAATTAATTAACTGTTAATTAAATACAATTTTGCTGGATAATCAATTTGAATTGCAAATGTTACTACACGGTTAACAAAATTTAAATTTATCTGATTGAAAACTTCATATACATATGAATAGAGATCAGGATGAACTTAGTTTGATAAAGTTTTACACATTGATTTAGTCGTTAAAAAAAAAGACAAAGATTAGTATTTGAAACCCGAGGTTAAGCTGACTCATTTTACTTCGTAACCATTTAGCGCACTAGTAGCACTAGAATTTTATGCAAAGATGATATCTATCAAGTATAAAAAAGAACTACCACCACTGTACCATGCCCATAGAAGGATATCTGAACAGTTTAGATATTGTTCAGGATGTTCTTTATAAGGAATTTTTCATCAATGCATCTTGTGAAAAGAGCATTGTTGTCAACTACATCTTCTTAGCAAGATGCATATAAAGGGAATGATAGAGATTTGTTAATTACAGAAAACAAAGTAGTGCTGGTCGTCATGATTTTGAACATCCAGGAGAAGAGGAGGAAAATTACCCTATCCATATCACTACATCACTAACAGAATGGGTTGCAAGTTGATGAAAATCTCCTTTCTAGTCATCAGTCAAAAATATTCAAATGGAGTACTTTCAAAAAGGTTTCAAGGTTCAAACTACCATAAGGGAGCCGTCCTAAGTCATCAGTTGTTTTAGCTCAAAGCTTCCATCATCTTTTACACCATTAGTAACAAAAATATCATTAATATTAATTTGATTTGTTCACTTAGATCGCAAATATTAGTAAAATTGTAAAAGATATTTATTACATTCATCATTGTATATTGCAAAATGATAGAAAGTTGAGAATTATTGGAAAAACTCATATTTTAGTTTAAATTTGTATCTAAGCATTAAGTTAAAAAAGTTGGATAAGATAATTCGGAGCATGAAATAAATAAAAAGGTTGGTAAATCATTTGAACATTGGCTTATAGAGGGAAGAACTTTTTCTAATGAATGAGCATTCCTAACTATTCCAACCTTCACGATAGTTAAGCAGTTCTTGCTTGCAACTTAAAGGTAGAATTACAATTGAATATCCTGATAAAAGATCATTTGTTTTATAGATTACTGGGCCAGCTTTTCAGTTTTAGACGCAATAAATTCTGAAGATCAAAATTCAATTAGTGATTAAATTGCTGTATTAATTAATAATAAAAACAACAAAAGTGGTTAAGTTGGACAATTTTGGAGCATTATTGAGAGTAAATTGTAAAGGAAAAAATAAAGATTCATTTTAGGCGATTCAGAACTTTAATACATCGCTCGCAACACAGTAGTAAGCTGAAACGAATTAAAGGTAGAAATTTAAAAGGACATAGACAATAAATCAAGTAAAATCATATGATTTTCAATCCTATACAGCCTCAAATGTATATCCTGAATACTGATGAAAATGTTAGATGTAGTATAGGGGTGTATGAAGCTATGACTTTAAAATTAAATCAAGAAAGAAGGAGAGGCTTCATTAACACAAAATTCAGATTTTATAATTAAAATCAACTTTTGATATGAATATGTGATTCAAAAATCAAAACTGAAATTGGAAATGATTTTATATCACGTTTGCAACAGGATTGAATGAATTTTTCATAGAAGCTAGATGAATTAATGATTAAAATCTATTTATGTAATTAAATTTATATATTATATGATTGGAGTTTGCACAGCTCACTACATCCCTAATAGCAATTTAAAGGGAAAGTAATTATTAGATTTCAATATTATGATAACTGTTGGGAAAAGCTATGCAAGTACATGTATCAATAACAGGCAAGCTCCTAATTTGTAACTGTTATTGACATCGATGGAATATTTATTCAGCAAAAAGGATAATAGATAACCTTAACGAAATTTGATGGCTCAATTATTAAGCATTTGTCAACATTTATTCTTTTGCTAGAGTTAAACATTAATCGCATTTAAATACTCTTTCAGCAAATGTAACATAATTATTGCAATTCTTTCGTTGCAATATTTCAAGTCTCAAATACTTCAGCCTTGCACTACTAACTATTTCTATATAGCTAGTGACTGTGAGCTCCAAAGTTATAATTTTTGTATTCACAATATTTAAAAGAGCTGTTTTGCCATTGCTCAACATTCATTTATATATACCAAGTACAAATACCTATGTTCATAAAGCAAGGCAATATGGTAAAGCAGCAGTTTATTTTTTTAAAATCATTCTTGGCTCAAAATTGTTCATTTGACACAATTAAATGCCACTACATACATTCAGCTATGATAGAATAAGTTATTTAATGAGGATACCATTAATCACGATAGCTTATCTTTCTAATAGATAGCGTATTTGCTAAGATAGGCAAGTCAATTTCTGTTATGCTGAGAAGCTTCCAAAATTTTAATCACCGACTCTAATTATCCAACTTGAATTTCTTAGAATGTTGACAACCCTCTTTATTTATTATTTAATATCAACTGCAGCTTGTGTTGACATATTCTTTTCCAACATTACTCTATATCTATTAATTAAGTTTGTGTTTAATGTGCATTCTTTAAGCATCCAAACTTTTGTAGGTACAGGCAAATGGAGTGAACCTTTTGTTCCTATGCTTACCTAGAACTACAAATTAGCTAAACAATATTCTGACAGCACACTCATTTATATTGGCTAGTCATGTCGCGTGTGCACATAGTCTTAATGTCTTTAGATTTTGCAATCTAATCTCTTTTTTTCATTTATGATTAATTGGCATCGTAGATAATCTTGAAAAACTACTTTTATTTTATTTCACATTCCACACATTCCAGATTCTGCTGAATTACTTAAGCTTATGACATATATAGAACAATTATGTGCTTATTTTTTGATGAATTCTCGCTAATAATACCTTTACTTTTTTCCTTTCCTTAATCTTACGTTTATCTATCTCCACTTTGCACAAAATTGTCATGAGCTTAGTCTTGAATATTTGCATATAGCAATGATTTCAAGTTTATCATGCGCATGCGTATCCTAAGAAGCTTTGACTAATAAATTGTTAATCAAGGTAACAATGATTATTAAGTGCAGATATTACACCTTCTAATTTCAGATTAGATATATAACTG